CCCCCCCCCCCCCCCCCCCCCCCCCCCCCCCCCCCCCCCCCCCCCCCCCCCCCCCCCGGCCGAGGCAGGTGAAGGCACCTCAGGTGGTTCTTTCCCAAACCTAAGAGTGGTTGTCAAATCTTGATCATAAATGACCTCCTTCCGTTCACCTCTTCATACCTCCCAATTTTCAACACATATACCTACTTTAGAGCGACGCCTTTACCCTAAACTCAATCATACCACAACATCGACTGCAACCTCTCTATTCCGAACAATTTTCGCCGCGATCATCCATTCTACTCACTCCATACTGGCAGTGGATCATCTCCTGACCTAGCCAGGTAACTGCGATCATGACGGTCAAGGGCAGGAGCTCTACGCTTTGTGAATGGGCCCTTGGAGTCAGCGTTGAGGAGTATTACGACTCGGTTCAGCGGCGCAGGCGCAGACAATCGACTGGCCGACAGCGAATCAGCGTCGAGATCTCGACTGATGACGAGTCTGAGGAGGACACCGTCAAGATAACATACCCGCGCGCCGGCGTCAAGAAGACCTCTGGCCAGTCAGCAAATGTCAAGAAGGTCCGCTTCCAAGGCGCGGCGCCCAAATCGGCGTTGAAGGTGGTGGACTCGGACGTCGAGTCTTCAGGTGATTCAGAGCCCGACCCGGACTGCGAGTGTCGCGATTGTAAGATAGGACGCAGGAGACTAAGAGAAGCAGGAAAAGCCGCCGAGGATCAGGCTGCTGAGACAGACACATCCGACTCCGAAGAAGAACCCAAGTCGAAGAAGAACGACAAGAAGAAGCACAAGGGAGAGAAATCCAAGAAGAAGAAGGTAATAGAGTCATCATCAGAGAGTGAGGACAGCGAAACTGAGACGACAGAGACCGAAGCCGAAAGCGAGGATGAGGCACCTCCGTCTCCCGAGAAGAAGAAGAAAGAAGAAAAGACCAAGAAGGTGAACAAGTCCAAGAAGACGGTACCAGCTGCTGCCGACATCAATAATGTCGGCCCTACGAAGAAGAAGCGGATCGATAAGAAGGAAACACCGCGCAAGGAGAAACCCAAAGCCAAGGAGGCTGAGAAGCTGAGACCCGAGGCTTCCTTGTCTCCCAATCTACGCCGCCCAAATCTTATCATGCCCATTCGAGCCGAAGTTCTTCAAGTCGAGCATGCAATCGAAGGAGCTGAGGACCCTCGACCAAATGCTTTCCATGACTCTCAGCATGGTGTTGTCCGAGTTTACCATGGACCGGCCTACGGGAATCCGTACGGGCTATTATATCCAGCTCGGGATCAATCCAACGCAACCTTGCCCCTCGGCATGCCTCACCCTCTGCAGAACCCCTTTTTCCATGGGTTTGCAAGTCCTTCAAACCCCGGAGACAATCAATTCAAAGGGAATTCTCCATGGGGGGCCATCCCTTTTACCTGCATGCCTGGAGGAGCTCCAATCATGGCGCCAGTCGAACAGATGCAGATGCCGCAAATGCCGCCATACTGGACTCCAGTCTCACCAGCCAAGACGACCTCGGCAAAGGGATCGCCCAAGATGTCCGGGGCTATTCGGGGAGACAATGCATCGACGGCGGCCAAGGACAAGGAGAAGGGATGGGAGACCAATGTCGGCCCCCGAGGCAACAAGACCGCTTCCCCTGCGAAGAGCGACAAGACAAAGCCGATCAACAGCAATGTTGCTCCGAAATCTCCCATCAACATCAGCCTAACAGTCAATCCGGACACTCCTTGGGCTGAACTTGCAAACAACCTAAGCAAGAAGTCCAGCCCGAACAAGGACGGCTCACAAGCCGGAAGCAAGGCAGGGTCCAACAACGGCAGCAAGAAGTCATGGGGATCCAATAAGTCACGTACCGGTTGGAAACCCCTGGAGAGCGGTCAGCACGCGGACCTCGCTTGGGGTGCTTCATCAAAGAGCCAGTCAGGAAGCAATTCAGGATGGCCTCAGACAAACGGAAGTACGTCGGCTTGGGGACAGACCGGCGATGGAAACAACGACGTCTGGGGTACGACCGGCGGGTCTGGAGGCAACAAGAGCGGTTCTGGAAGTAACAACAGCGGCGGAAGCAACAGCGGCTGGAACACAGGAGGCAATGGCCAGAGCAACGATAATTGGAACACGTCGGGCGATACTCAGAACAATGATGTGTGGGGTTCTTCGGGGAATGGTGCTCAAGGGGCATCCGGCGGTGATGGTTGGGGAACGACGACCAACGATACCACCTGGGGGGATTCTGGCAGCAACAATCAGACAATGGCCGCCGAAGGTTGGGGAACCTCCAACAACGATAGTGCGGATGCGTGGGCTACCTCTGGAGGTGATTACAACAACAACAGCTGGGGAACGGCGTCCAATCACTCGAATAAGTCAAAGAAGTCGAACAAGAGCCAGAATGGTGGAGGAAGCAACCGCAGTGCTAGCAGACAACAGCAGCCAACGACTAGCTGGGATAACCAGAGCAACAATGTCGGCTTTTCCGGAAGAGCCGTGTCTAATGGTTCAAACAACTCTCAGAAGTCACGCAAGAGCCAAAGTCAGCCCTCCAACAATGGCTGGGACAGCAACGCTGGTCCATCTACCAATAGTCCCGTGGGAAACGCGTCCAATAAGAGTAACGGATCCAAGAAGAGTTCGAAGGACAATGCCGACGGATGGAATAAAACCACGGACAACTCGACCTGGATCCCTGACAACAACGCTGGACCGACAACCAGTAGTCCCAACGCGTCTCAGGTGTCGAAGAAGAGCGACAACAACAATACAACAGCAGGCGAGGGTGCTGGATGGGGGCCTTCTACCGCTGGGGACGGCTGGAACCCAACCGGCACAGAGTTGAGCAAGGGCTCCAGCAGCAACAAGAGCATGCCAGGTGCCTGGGATAACTCTTTGCCATGGGGCGATTCGAACATGGCTGTATCCACCCACGGAGCGGCGGACCAGTGGTAGAGGAATGGTTTAATGAACATGGCCTGTGATACAGAATCGCGGCTCAAGGCAAAGGGGCGGATGCTAAAGGGGTTGGTGCACTTGGAGGCAATGTACTTGTGGTGAGGGGGTTTTGCGAATTTGCTTGGGACATGGAAGCCAAGCTATGGTCTCTGGATTTAGAGACTGCGCTGGCTTGCGGCAGGCAGGCTTTTTGGCGAAGGGTTTGGCGGGCACGGGGAGTTTCCTTAGATTTTGAGACTTCGGCGCGGGCAGTATACATAGATAGCTACGAATGTGGCCCCGCGAAGTCGGCGGCGACACAATCCAGAAACTAGCACATAAGCATACTCATTACCATAGAAGAGGGCTGGACTGAGGGAGGATAGTTTCTGAATTGCATTCTACAGAATGTACTACCTACTTAAACCACGTGTGCTTGTTTACCAACCAACATGGAAAAGCGGCTGGACGCTAGGCGTGTGGGAAAGAGCGACTAAGTTGACGAGACGGAAGAGCAAAATCCAAGCAACAGCTGACTTCAGGCCCAACAGCATAAGCTGCAGCCATGGGAAGGGGAGCACAAGCCGGCACGAATCTACTCCTCGTCGCTGGACTCCTCCTCCGAAGCCTCCTCGAGCCACTTGATGAAGGGCTCGGCCGCCTTGCGAATCTTTTTGCACGTAGCCATGTCGACGTACTTCCTGCTCGCCTTGGAGCCCCACTTGATAGCGACCTCCTCGCTGAGCAGATCGTGGTTGTAGTACAGCTGGAGGATCTTAACAATCTGGCTGTACAATTCGGGGTGCTCCTTGCCAAGGGTGCCGATCAGGCGCTCGGTACCACCCAGAAGCGCCCTCTCGTGGCGATCAGAGCTGATGACCTAAGGATCAAGTTAGCACAAGTCTGAAATGGAGGGCAGGGGGGTGTAAAACGTACCTGCTTCATCATGCCGGCGCGCTTGGGGATCTGAGCGACAATATTCTCGTCAAAAATGGTCTGTACCAGGACGAGAACGGAACGGTGCTTTGTCTCGATGCCGAGTTCCTTGGCCTTGACGAAAATGTCAATTGAGTCGACCTTGTCGATACCGCCCTTGGCAGTGGCCTGGTCCTGGATCCAGGTGCCGAACTCGTCGTAAATGGTGTTGCCGCCACCCTCACCGTCCTCGTCGTCCTCATCGCCGTTCATGTTGAGCTTCTGCTTGAACTCATCGGGGAGCTGAGCCTGGCGAGCCTTGACGGCTTCCTCGCTCATGTCAACGGCCCACTCGTGCTCCTTGACTTCCATCGTGGCGAGCTCCGGGGCTTCCTTCTTCATCTTCTCCAACTCGTCGTCACTGCCAGCATCCTGGTCGTCGGCATCGTTGGATCCGTTCTCGGAACCCTCGCCGCCGCTTCCGCTTCCCTGGCCATTCTCCTTGGCCCCGTTGGCCTTGGCGCGGCGAGCAGCCTTGCGCTCGGCCTTGTCCTTCTTGCCCTTCTTCGGCTGGTTCTTCAGAATGTAACTGCTGAGCTTGAGGCGCAAGTCGACTTCGGACCGCTGACCGCAAGCCTTGCAGTCGAGCAAGATGCGTCCGTCCTTGATGTTGACGTCGGTCTCGGGGTTCTTGCACTTTTTGCAGAGAACGAACTTGTTGATGAAGCCGTCGAGGTGGTCTTGCAACTTGGCGGCGTTGTGAGAACCGTTGATGATCCAGCGATCATCAGCGGGGTCGACGTTGGTCTGGGCACCCAGCTCGAAGCCGAAGTACTTGATGACATAGGCGCCGGGACGGGCGAGAGACTGGGCAACGCTGCTCAGGTTGACGATGACGGTCTTGATACCGTTACCTTTGCCCTCGATCTTGGTAACGAGCTTTTCCATCTTGTAGCGATAGAAAGCGTCCTTGACATCGCGACGCACGTTGACGAGGGAAGCCATGATTGCGGTATTGTAGATGGGCGAGTGGATGTGTTTTTCGTGAGGAGTGTTGATAGATTTAGAATAGCGAGGTTTGGGTCAGGAAGCGTAGCTCGTATTGATGCTGGGCGTCTGAGCGGGCGAGTAGCATGAAGAAGCCGTGATTCGGATTAGGATCAATCGAATCGGTGGTTGTAGGGAAGCTGGAGGGAGCAAGAAGACGGACTCAATGCTCAACGGGTGTTTTGATGGACATAGGGTAAAGCGAGACTAGATCGTCTTTGCTGTCGAGAATTCATAGACTCCTGTGGAAACTAGACTTCAACCGACGGAACTGATGTTGGGGCTACAAGGTTTCCGCGCTATGCGAAATGATTGCAGCTTGGGGACGAAGTGTCTAGAGACGTTGGTCTTGTCGTGCTGATACATAAACTGCTGTGTGGCCTGTACCGCGTGTGAGTGTTGGGTTATGAACGACTCTCGCGAGGAAGGACTCGGTCGGTAGTCGAAGGAAGCGCGGCGGGTGGTGAATTGATGATGCTGGTGATGTTTTTTGGTAGTCGAGGACTGAAGGTGGTGTGGCGATTTCTCAGACGATGATATTTTTTTGTGCGTGGTGATTTAACCGCGAGCGGCGCTAGAATGCAGAAGTGCCGGAGCAGAAAGAGGTGGGAACTGCGAGAGCAGAAGATATACTTGCGAGAAAAGGGATATCTCCGAGTGGAGGCGGATTTTGCGTGTTTTTTGTGTGCGGGAAAGAGGAGACACGGAGTTGACTGGACAGTGAGCGCAGAGTTTTGGAAAGGTTGGAGTGGAGTGGGAGGAGGGAGGAAGACGGGAGTCAGGAAGTTTTGGAGACACATGAACAATAAAATTCCTTAATAATGGGGCCCAGTGCGTCCGTCGGCAACCTGTCGCCTTACCACTCATCGCTGCAACAGGCGGTCCGATTCACTGGTACGCGCTACCGCGGCACATTATGTACCGTTACCAGAGGTATAGCAATAGGTATTGTCCGTACCTGTCAATGTTGAGGTACTCTGTAACACACCTCAAATCCTGCCACTTGTTACCTACCTCCCACGGGTGAGCGTCTAGGAGGGAGTCTGGAGCCTGACAGCTTCCAGCTGGCCGGCTCGTCTCGGTGAACCTGTCGGCATTAAGCCTTTCTCCATCCGTCTCTCCCGCCCATCCACTACGTACCTGCTTAACTGACATGTTGAATAATGGCGGCATTTCCGTCCCTCCCATCAGTTCTTTGTTGTCAAGTTTGAATCTAATGGTCCTCTAGGCTCTGTCCAGGCAGTCGTCTGTTGCCCCACACGTGCCACCGTTCGAGTTCCAGTTCCAGTTCCAATCCAACGTCCAGAAACCAGGATCCAAAACTCCACGTCCTCTCAGCACGCAACCAGGCCCACTCCCTGGGTCTACCTTAGTGTATCCGTACCTATTCTGAGGTACCTCAGGCTTACGGTGGTACCCTGCCCTTGCCTTCCGATATCTCTTGTCAGTTCTGTTTTCCCATCAACTAAGGTAGGTAATACATCAAATAGAAGGGAAACTGCGACGGATCACCATCGAGCACAGACCAATCAACGGTCTTCCCCGCTCCAGGATGCCCAAACTGTACGCAGAATGTGTGAGGAAGCTCTTTTCGAAAAGAAACGGGAATACTGAGCAGAAGCCGCTGGGAAACCTCACTTGGGGAACCTGCAGATATCCAGGGCAGGAATAAAAATAAACATGCTAAGGTATGGTGTGAAAGCGCCTCGCCGACACCACCTGCGACTGCGACCCCATGTCTACCCCTCCCTACCGCCTCGCCTCGCCTTGCCTCGCCTACCTCCGGCGAATAAATCCGAGCCAGTGAAAGTGGGATGGAGGTTCAATCCTGCAAATCATCCTCAACCTACCTGGAGCCAGAGACGTCCACGTACGCAGTAAGTGACCGCCTGCAGGAAACGAGGCCAAACTGGTCAGCCTTCATCGGGTGGCTCGCCATTGGCTTGGGCAACTTAAAGCTGCCTCAGCCTGCTGAATACACCAGTATTGGAAGTGGTGTGCCAAGTTGTCTCATTGACTAGACGATCTATGTTTAGTCTCTTTAAAATTCCTCTTCTCCTTGGAACATGTGCTGCCCTCCAAAAGTTAGACACCGATGAAAATAAAACGCCAGCAATTATCTTCAAGTCATATATGCTCCAAGTTTCGAGCCTGTTAGATCAAATCCACTTCTGCTCAGAATGCAGATCATTCTCGTTTCTCGGCAATAGGGATAAACTGCAGCAGACACTTTTGACCATGAGGTCGCGATGAGATCAGCTGGTCAGACATGGCCATCGACTCGGCCGTCATTGACGTATCAGGCTGCGTCGTGTAACGAGTATAAATATCCGCAAGAAGAGTTTTCATCTCAGCAAGCGCCAGGCTACACGGCAAAAGTCAGAGATCCGCGTTACTCGACAAGGCGAGACATGACGGAGCGACTTACTGCTTTCCCACGCACCCTCTGCCGCCGTTTGCAAATGCAAACATGAGACGTTTCCTTTCAGCGTCCCCTATAGGCTCCATCCAACGATCAGGATCAAACAGGTCTGGCTGAGGAAACACGTCGCTGTTGATACGGTGGACCGAGAAGGCTTGGCAACTGACGATGGTCTTTCCCGGCGTGAAGTGCCCATCAATAGTACGGCCGCCCTGTGGTACATACCGCGGAAGAGACATAGGGATGGCGGGGAAGCACCGAAGGCCCTCTTGTATAACGGCGTCCAGGAACGGCAGCTTATCAAACGAAACCCCGGGATTGTCCCGGAGTTCCCGCTGCAGCTTCTGCTGGAAACGCATCGACCTAGGTTGCGAAAGCTCCCACATAAGGAAACATAACCCATCCCCAGTAGTGTCGATCCCGGCGGCCATGTGATCTAGGCACTCCCCTGCCTTGTCCGTCTGGTCCAGGTCGCTCGACTTTTCGTGCAGCCGGCTCAGTAACGTGAACTGAGCCGGATCGGGCTGCCTGCTGGACTCCATCACGAAATTGTCGGCGAGGGGCGTTTCCCGCGGCTTGGCGAAGGCATACAGCACCCCGGAAAGTGCCTTGTGCAGAACCGGGCTGTAGTGCTGGACGAGGCGGTTCTGCAAGCTGTCGTCGACAGCGACTTCGTGCATCATGTCTTCGTCCGCCTTGTCCTGGAGGCAGTTTGTGCCGTACGGGTGGAACAAGTGGTGTGTGACGCAATCGCAGGCGTAGGAGTGTAGGCTCATCTGCAAGCAGTTGATGAGAAAACCACTCCACCGTGATGCCTATGCTACCCGGACTTACAAAGATGTCGTGGCTCTTGCCGACGGAGTCTTCGCATCTCTTGATGAAGTTGAGAGACCTCTCCTGGATACCGCTCATGGGCACGGGGCGCAGGACATTGCTGTTTGCATAGCGGTCTGCGATGATCCTCTTCCGTTTCGCATGCTGAGACGGATGGTGAGCTTCTTTAGCCTCCTCCCGGGGTCACAACTGGGGGCCCTCCCTACATCTTCTTTGTTCAACGTGGTAAACATGGTTCTGAGGAGTACGTGAGCTTTCGGGATTTCACAGGATAGTCAAGTCAGTCTTACCGCCGCCCGTACACTCTAAATAAGTTGTAGAACTCCGTCTTATCATACCCGCTGCCGCCGGAGCAGTATATCTCCTTGACAGCGTCATATGAGGTGAAAGAAACCTCGTTTGGCGCTATCCTTACAACGGGCCCATACCTTTGGTGAAGTCGATGGATATATTGCGTCCTGTTGGCTTGCAATTCGTGCCATTTCAGGAGAAGTGATGAAAAGGCGGATATCCTCGGGCCGGGGAGTTTCCTCAACGGTGAAGACACGCATCGGACGAGATAGACGGCGATGAGGACAACGAAGGCCGTTCCCAGGAAGAAGGGAGACAGCAGCAACATTTCTGCAAGTTTGCAGTTCGTTTCTAGTCGAGTAAGGTTGTATGTAAAGGGTAAGTAAGGTAGGCACGAATTTGCGAATGTAGACGGCCCGTGAATCATACACCGAAGCACGAGGGAGGCCGGGGCCTTCTTATCAGCTCCGGCCGGCGATGATAGGCGCTGTTCAATCAGCGGGTTTTTATTCGTAAATGACCACCAACCTGGGCAAGCGTCGGCGCCGATAGAGAGGCCAGTAATCACCTGGAAGGGAAATTTAGGTAATGTGAACCCACTAGAACCCCAAATGAGGGGTGAGGGGCACAAGGGAATGAATGCACTTTAGCGATAACACTGGCGACCCCTCCATGCATCACTTTGTTACTCTTCCCATGGTGTTTGAATCGTACATTTTGGGTGTCTTCGGAGCGATGAGACACCCCAGAGGAAATAACTCGAGAAACGAGAAGGATTTTATGAAACTTCATTCACCTCTAACCCCTCGCATGCCCTAACCCTGTCCGTCCAGTCGTGAACCACTATCTCGAATCTACAAGTCAACGCCACGCCTCGCCCAGTAGTTGTACACTCGTCATCTCGTCGTGCCTCCCACAAGGTGATGCGTCCATCACAGCTCTTCCCTTTTCTTAGAACCCTGCTTCGCCTTGTCATTCGAACCGCCACCGCCAAACAAACTGCTCAGCCAAGACATACCAGGAATCGACACAGAGCCTGCCGGCGGGTACTCCTTGCCGTTGACGGTGACTCGGGGCGTGCATGTGCACCACTGGTCCTCCGGGACGCCGCTGAGAGCCGAGGGGATGTGCTGGCCGCAACCGCGCCAGGTCGCCTTTGCTATTAGGTGTGTCAGCTCTGGGGGCTGCGTTGTCCTCCTCTCCTTGAGTGGTCTTACAGCAAGTCGAGCAAGTAACTCCGAAGCACATGTTGGATATAAACCCAGTTGAGTTGATGTTCAGAGCTGATGGTGGGAGCGTGTGCAAGATTGTGTGCTGAGATAGGTGAAAGATCGTCCGGTTGAGAATACCTAGCGCGTTTGATTTGTGGATGTTGTGAGTTTGTCTAGGGATTAAGTATTCGCGGTGCCCGCGATGCCACAGGTAAGGTAATCAACGGTTTTTTGGGGGTCGGCGACCTGCATTGAGCATCGCCGGAGACCTCTCCCCGAGTCGGTGGGTCTCGGTGCACGACCCTGCTCATCGCCGACCTCGCCCTGCCATCTGGCACTCCGGGGACGTGGGGTCACAAAAGACAGAATGGAAAGCGCACTATCATACCAAGTGTACAGTCCTCCACGGTTATTTCTCCTCGCAACTAGGCACTCCTCGATGCCTCTATTATTCCATTGCCCTCGCCAATGGTAGCTCTAGTGTTGCGCTTATTATCTGTTGTCGTTGTTGCTACCCACGTATTCAACTAGGAGCAATAAGCGTGGAGTCGTGTACTCTCCGGTTAGAACACTTTGCAAAGAAACGTATCAGTGTCATTATTCTTCATTTTATTGGAGATCTATTGTTACGCATCTTTGGTTTGGTCACTATGTCTGCTACCGAGATCACAAGTCTGGCGAGCAGTCTGGACACTTCAGACGTGCCACCGACTTCATACTTGAAGGATGAATTGAACCACACGGTCTGCCAACCATGACTGGGCATCTGGGCTCTTCACAGTATGGCTCGCTCCTGGGATGAGACCAGACAACTGGTGTACCTTTGGGCTCACTTTCTTCCATGAGTCTATGAGAGCCTGCTTGTCGACGCTAGCTGGAACAAACTCGTCCTCGGCCGAATGCAGAGCCATGACAGGTTGGTCGAACCTGTTCCACACAGAAGACACGAACGACTCGTCAAGGTCAGATGAGAAGTAATCGTCATCGCCACTGGGATGCATCAGTACGAGTGTTTTCACTTTGAAGTGATCAGAGAGCCACTCACCCTTTGGCTGCCAACGAATGCCAGCGGTATGCTGTGACAGGATCGGAGAACAGGGACGGCACATGGTCTTTGGGCATTGCCTCATCTCCCATTCCTTTGGAAAGCATCTTCTCTGCTAGGTCCAATCCCTTCTTCAACAGTTCGGGACTGACGAAATCAACGATGCTCTGTCTATCAGAGGCAGGGCCTTGAAGGATGAAACCGTCGACGGGGTCGTCCTTATGCTTGGTATACTCCATACAGTCCTGGAGCGATGAGTGGCTTGTTACGCAACCATGACCTCGGGGATCGACCACATACCTGGCATCCGGTTGAATGACCCATGAGAACAATCTTCTTCTTTCCGATGCTTCGGAGATATCTCACTAGTGCCGAAATGTCCTCGACATCGTTCTTCAGGCTGGAGTAACCGAAAGCCGTGAAGGAGCTCCTCATCCGAATCTCAAAGACAGACCAGTCCTGTTCTGTCTTCTCGAGGTGCCTGGCTATGGACAGGGTGTAAAGAACGGTATGGGGTCCATCTCCGAGACCGCCAATGAAGAGGATAGCGTTCGAAGCTCCAGAAGGTCCTATTTCGTAGGCGGCCGAGTTCGAGGTTGGGGAGTCGTACGGATGGACTGTGCAGGAGAAAGGCTCTGGGGCCATGATTTCCTCGGTTATGGAGAGTCTATCAAGTTCAAGAGAGATCAATGTATGACTTTTTAGAAGAATGTCGTGATGCACAGCTCCTTTCTCGAGGTGGGTTGAAGTTAGGAATCCGCCGAGATTGACGTAGCAAAGGCACTCGGATAGCGGGGTGTCTTGCTCGTACCTACCTAGGTAGCGGGGCACTGAGCTGCTTCCAGGCGATATTGCAGTGGTGTTGACGCCCGGCACCGCTGTCACCGACAGCACAGTGGAGCTGGCTTACTGAATCTGCCCCGCAGGGAAGCTCAGGTACCTACGTACCTTACCTTGTGAAGGTACCGTACCTTACCTCAGCCGATTGGCTCCGCTCCGATGCTCTTCAGTCCCACAGTCCTTCGCAGGCGCATTCTGCCTGCTGAAGTGGTTTCCAAACCCTATGTGATCATTAATGTTGCTGCAACTGGAAGCCTACCTGCAACGATGTTGCTCACTTCTTAGCCATACATTTCTTTTCGCAGTTCTTTGTTGATCACTACCTATGCCGATTGAAATCTACAATCAAACCGCAACAACGCGCGGACATAGCCCAGATACCGCTCGAGGTTGACATTCTCATCATGGCGACCGGCTCGACTACATCAACTCCCGCCCGGAATGAGTTTTTCCAACAGGTTCTTTACTTCAAAATCCAGTCAGACGTGGACTAACGGCTCTCTTCAGCTCAAACCATGCTGTGTCTCCATCAGCCAGCTGGCCATACGGCCACCCGAAGGCACCTCCTCCTTCAAACGGCTCCCTGAACTGATGACGGAACTTTTCCAGATTCTCAGTGACCAAATCAACAGAGATCCCACAGTTATGGACGCCAAGCTGGCCGACTACATTTTCTTCCCGCTATCTCATGTTTTCCGCAATCAGGAGCAATACCCGAAGCGTCTAGTCGAGCTCGCCATCAAGTGTCTTACGATCGTCATTATCCATGGCTGGAAATCAGACATATCGCCGGATATCATGCAGCAGCTCCTGATGCTTCTTACGTTCATCGTCGGAGGAGTTCCAGGTCGCGAGGGAGCCAGTGACCCCCCCGAGGAAACCGAGCTTGAGTCTCTGAGGGCCTTGACCGCGCTGATAACGGTGACCGGTTCTTCTGCCACGGCGGCACCAGCTTTGACTGAGGAAAAAATGGTGCCAACTCTCGGCCACACCATTTCAGTTATCCTCGGATGCGTTACGGACGGAAGAACATCCGCGATTCAACTTGAAGCCCTACGAACTCTGGGCTCTTTCTACGCAGGTGTCAGAGACCACGCCGCTCTCGCTTCGTTTCTTCCTGGAGTGGTATCCTCTTTGACGAAACTCCTGGCCAAACCTCATAGAGAGAAGATACGAGTACTCGTCACATCCATACAGTCCTTGAAGCTTGTTCTCGTTCAAGTTTTAGGCGATGTCAAGACTCGAACAATAACCGCGAGATCGCCCCCTGAGACTCCTACCGATTCCGAGAAAGGGCAAATACTGAGCCCATCATGGTTGAAAGCAACGGCATCGCAGATCAAGCTGGCTATGGCAACTATTCTGAAGCTGCGTACTCACGACTCCCCAGATGTGCGTGATGCGCTGCTCGCACTGGCGCTGGGACTTCTTGATGAGTGTCATACCTCATTGGAGGCTTGCGCGTCAATTTTGGTCGAGACAGCAATGATACTTTCCTCCACAGACCAAGCTGTGTCCCTGTCTTCGACGAGTCTGCAAGACTTGGCGATTATCTACCCTGAGCTTGGAGAGATTGTCAAGGTCAACTGTTACAACTGGATTACTAGCTTGCCTCGGATAATGCAATCCGCCGACGAAGGCAATAAACAGGCGGCCATCCAGAACCTTATGAAGGGTATGTCTATGGTGGCCGATTTGCAGTTAGATTCGTCACTTCTCGATGAGTCAATCGCCGCAGCTCTAAGAGATAGTGTCACATCTTTGGTTAGCAGCACCAAATCAACCAAAGTCATGGACGAGGTATCAACAGATTCCTCGTGGTACAGCCAAGACGTGGTGAAGTCGGGAGAAACATCCCGGAGTTACCAAATTGTTTTGCTGAACCAAGAGAGCCAGGCAGGCACAAGGTCAGCAATGCTCAACCTGTTGTCACGAGTCGGTCCAGCGTCTCAGCAGACAAAACTTGCCGCCGAGATGCTAGATTATGCCCGGGATGTCACAGGTGACGCTCAGACAGCTTCTTTTTGGTTGAGTTTTGAGCTCATCAAGGCTGCTCTGTCACGCTCCGACGACCTGGACGAGCTTCTCGATTTCTCCACATTGAGCCCCTCCAGCGAAGACGCTAACAATGTATTTCAAGAACTATACTCGCAAGCGGTTCTTATTCTCGACTCTCATTCAGAACTTTCCGAGGTCGACTGGAGGCTGGAGGCGACGGCGCTTGAAGTAACTTCATTTGCGGCAGCCCGTTCAAGAGAAGCTTTTAGGCCGGAGCTCATTGATGTTTTGTACCCAATCACCACGTTTCTGGGTTCCCCAAGTCCTCATCTCAGGGAACACGCCATCACAACACTCAACATCTTGGCCGCATCCTGTGGATACCAAAACGTCTCCGAGTTGGTCATTGAAAATGTTGACTACATGATCAACTCGGTTTCACTACGGCTGAACACATTTGACATTTCTCCGGCATCGACGAAAGTGCTGGTAATGATGACTCGTCTTACCGGGCCGCGCCTGCTTCCGTACCTGGATGATGTGGTGGCATCGATCTTCGCTGCATTGGACAATTATCACGGCTATCCTATCTTCGTGGAAAGCTTATTCTCGGTTCTCAAAGAAGTAGTCAACCAAGGCGCAAAATCAGAAAACCTCCTGCTTGAAGGCCGACAAAATGGATCTGGGAATCACAAGAAAGCCGTCGGCAAGCCGGTAACAATAGACGACATAGTTGATTTATTGAAGAGACGATTAGAACGACAGAAGCGAGCAGAAGAGGAAGCAAACGTCGAGGAGACCAACCGACATCCGCAACAGCCTTGGGGCCCAGGAGACGGCAAGCACAAGGAGGGCTGTGAAGACGAAGAGCAGGCGAATGACGAGGTTGAAAAAGAGCAGCCACCAAAGACTCCGACATACACCTTGCTCGAGAAGATCACCAGTCTTACTCAGCATTATCTTACTTCGCCAAGTCCTACCCTGCGCAAATCCTTACTTGACCTCTTGGCGACTGTCTCTCCCGCTCTCTCTGGGGACGAAAACTCGTTCCTGCCTCTTATCAACAGTGTCTGGCCGGTTGTTACAGGCAGACTATACGACCAGGAAGCTTTCGTGGTCATATCAGCGTGCGATGCTCTGTGTATGTTGTGTGTAACGGCTGGCGACTTTCTGAGCTCCAGAATCAAGACCGAATGGTGGGATGGTCTTGGCAAATGGTGCCGCACAAAAAAGCAGGAAGCAGTCCGCTCCCAGAGCAAGGGGAGGTCTTATCAGGGGAGCAGCAACACCGATAGACCAGCCGCGTCTGCGAGTCATGGGATACTCATCCCCGTTCGGTCAGGTGGTGATTTACTGGGCCAACAAGCCGCCGACATTGCGAACAACTCTGGATCTGGCGGGCTGGGTAGGTTCGCCCAAGCCGCGCAGGTCTGGGAGGCTGTTGTGCGACTGTTGGTGGCAATCGTGTCTCACGTTCGTATCGAGGCCGAGATATTCGACGAGTTCCTAGACCTCTTGGCCGACGTGCTCGACAAAAACCCCGAAGCACGCCAAGCGCTTGAAGTCGTCAACGCTGACGCTGTGTGGTTCGCCTTGTATCAACGGGGGCACATTCAACCGTTGCCAACGCCGCAACTCGAAGGGCACAAGTTTGTGCCGCTCCCCAGCCTGGGTTGAGATGCAGGCGTAATTTGACGCCAGGGATGATTTTAAAGTCTTGGCTTGTCATATTCCACCACTAGAATCCTCAAGCCGCCAAGACCGTTTGGAAAGATGCTCAGTGGCGCCCATCGAAGCTCGCCCGAAAAGTATGGGCGTTGGTGTTGGTGTCCTGTCATAACCTGCGCAAACTTCACTTGCATGGAGAAAACACAAAACCTCATCTAGAAGGGCGCTAGAAGTATTCTAGCGCATGCAAAGACGAGCTTTTGGCTGAGCTAGTGCGAGCTCAGGTCACATTGTTCCACCTACTTGCAGAAGCAGCGGCCGTTCGACCTGAACATGCGGGAGCCGAACACCTATCTGACCAGGCGAGGCAACGCAAGATGGACGGGCCTCGTAGCATTTTGAGTCACCCCTTGGCAGATCTTGACGCCCGGATCCTGTACGCGCAAGCGGTTGGCAGGCTCACAGAGTTAGCACCTCTCGGCGAGCCCGAGGTCTCGCGATACATAGCAGTGGATTATTATCGGTAGATCAGTCTCACAGCCTGGTAGTCGATAGTGATTAAACAAGCTTATCTGCGGTTGAATCTGTCCTGCCCTTTCCCTGGTACTCGGTCTCCTTTCGGACATTCAGACAGCGCAAAGAGCGTTTATTCCACTGATCAAGTTTCTATTCACAGTGAAGTTGGCACGGGGGCGATGAGACAAGGTTTATGCTGGTGTCCGTCAAGGAACAATAAGTGGCATCCAGTTTCCCCGGATCTCTGCGAGGGCCTCTCAATGGTCAGAGGAGGAGAGGGGGGACAGGCTTACGGGCGCTCCTGGCGAGATAACACATTCCTATTCTAGCCAAGGGTGTCTGGGATTGTTCAGAAAACTGTGCATCACAGTTAACCGGTTCATGTTCACGGGCTGAGTATCGCCGGTCACGCAAGCCTTGGATAAGCTACTTCTTCATGCTACTTCTTCTGGAAGTACGAAGTTTCTAGGCCGACGTTAAGTGGGATCAATTGACGTGGATAGAAACACTGGAGGCCAAGTGCGGCTAGGAATCGCTCGCCTGCTTGGCTCTAGATCGAGCCAATGGTCATCGGAGAGACCCAGATTTCCCTAAAGCTTGGTTTTCTCGGCGCCCAGGGCAAGATGAACTTCATCTGCAGATCGTATCGAACTTCATACCGAACACCGTCGCGACAGCTTCGTGGCGTGGGCAAGCCACGTACCCGCTGCGCCTGGAGTCAATAGCTTGTCCTCATGAGCAGTCAAATCAATTGCAAAATCCGTCAGATGAAAACCGTCTCAGGTCGACTTGAGTCAGATCCTGGCGCAATGTCAGTTGATGATGGGGACGTAATCCAGCGTCCACGATCCAATCATTTGCCGGGAACCCTGCTGTGCGCCACGTCAAACAAATTCTAGAACAAATACAAGCTGACGTCCGGCCCGCGGCAACTATCTCGAAGAGTCGCAAGGAACGGGGAGGCGTCTCTGGCGCGCGAACATGGCGTGCTCAGCGTTATCGTCACAGACTCACGACGTTCGGAGCATCTAACCCTTTCTTGACTAGAGGCGTACGATGGATTTCTGTTTTGCCGAGTCGGGAAGACTCTTCCAACGCCTCAACCTGAAGTCAATCGCAACTTGTTCATCCCTAATTAAGAACATCACGCAAGACACCTTCTGGTCAGATGAGGTAAGAGATCAAACATCAAACACTCCCAAAGCACTTCTCAAAGTGTTTGATCTTATTCGAAGCCAATCTTTGGTTTACCTTCCTTATCTGCGAATATGCTTCTATATCGTTCATACCAGCTTATCGTGGACAGGGGTACGGGGCAGGGGCTGGCTGGTTTGTGGAGGTGCGCCGGGATGTATGCTCACCCCAGAGTCTCACCGTGGAAGCCAAGATATCAAACCGCTTGGAACCAATCAAATACATTATCTCCAACCCGACCCCAAAACCGAAAGACGTTCCACCACACCCGTCTATGTATGCTTCCGCCCGGGAAACAAGCTAACGCCGCCTATCCTTATCAAGCGGCTTGCCTGCCGCGGCGGGTGACAATGGGACCACCCCAAAGCCAGGTTCCCCCTCGTCTAGAACCACTGTCTTGGTCTCTTTCCCCCTTGGGAGTGGACTGGTCTTATCATCCGGAAAGCTTGTCTCGTCTACATTCGTCCAAAGCATCAAGGGTATGGCCCGTTCGAATCTTCTCCGTATAGCGAGGGAGAAAGGAGACTACTGCAGCGGCGAGCCAGGGGAGTGGTAATGCCTGCCCCCTTGGTTCTGGGACTGTTCTGTTGCAGACGACGGGCCAATGAGTGCTTTGGTCCCCCGTATCAATCATCAAACGAGTTCGCACTCGTAGCCTGCCTCGAGCGAAGGTATATATCAGGGGCTTCTTGGCACCCCATCCCATGATGAGCAGGTGTCTTCGGTTCGTGCCTTTTATCGGTAGCCAGCGACAACACCAAGGAAGCGGGATCATCCATTTATTCGCCAACATGTCATCCCAACCCGTCGACGATGAGAAGCACTATGCAAAAGACCCTGTGGTGGATAGCCAGAATAGCTACGAGGGATCACACGATGAGGAGGTCGGCGTTGTTACCAAGGGCCAGCCCCTTCAAAGGAACCTGCGCAGTCGGCACATGCAGATGATTGCTATTGGTACGCTGCTCTTCCACACCGGCCGGCTCTGTTCTGTTGGAGAAATACTGATGTTCTCACCCAGGTGGTGCTATTGGAGCTGGTCTCTTCGTCGGTTCCGGCGGTGCTCTGCGATCAGGTGGTCCGGCCGCCTTGGTATGAGCTCATATACTCATGCCGCCTTAGCGCGTCTAACGCAGTACAACAGGTCATCGGTTACATGATCGTCGGAATTATGTTGATGTTCACAACCCAGGCCCTCGCCGAGATGGCAGTCCTCTACCCCGTCAACGGCGCCTTCTACACTTACGTTTGCCGCTTCGTCGATCCCTCCTGGTAAACTTCCGACTATCCTCGCGATACCAAGCTGGAGACTAATGCAGATTCAGGGGTTTCGCCATGGGCTGGGATTACGCAATCGCCTGGCTTACAGTCCTGCCCTTTGAACTTGTCGCAGCAAGCATCACAATCAAGTTCTGGCGCGAGGACATCAATATGGGCGTCTGGGTAGCCGTCTTTCTTGTTGTCCTGGCTATTATTCAAGTCTTTGGCGTTCGTGGTTACGGTGAGGTCGAGGTACGTACGATACTTGACAATCCGAGGAAGGGCCAGTGTTGAACTCTTCAACTAACTCGCATACTAGTTCGTTTTGAGCATCATTAAGGTGAGCTGCTGCTAGCGGTGCATCACGATCATGAACACTAATGAGCATCATTAGGTGGCGGCATGCTGTGGGTTCATTATTTTTGGCATTCTCGTTAATACTGGGGCTGTTGGTGACCAAGGATACATTGGTGTGAAGTATTGGCACGACCCGGGAGCTTTCCAGAACGGCTTCAACGGTTTCGCGGGTGTCTTCGTGGTCGCTGCCTTTGCCTTTGGCGGCACAGAGCTTGTTGGACTGGCGGCAGCCGAATCAACGAACCCGCGCAAGGCGATTCCCATGGCTTCCAAGCAGGTGTTCTGGCGTATTGCGTTCTTCTATATCGTCAACCTCTTCATCTTGGGTCTCATTGTCCCGGCCAACGACCCCCGCCTCCTGGGATCTTCTGGCGCGAACACCAAGGCTTCTCCCTTTGTCCTCGCCATCCAAGACGCTGGCGTCAAGATCCTCCCTTCAATCTTCAACGCCGTCATCACCATAGCCGTCATCTCGGTCGCCAACTCTTGCACCTTTGGCTCCACCCGTACGATGCAAGCCATGGCCGAGCGAGGGATGGCCCCTCGCTTCCTCGCCTACGTCGACAAGCAGGGCCGTCCCATCTGGTGCGTCCTCATCCAGATCGCCTTCGGTCTTCTCGCCTTCATCGGTGAGTCCGCCGACAGCAGCACCGTCTTCGCCTGGCTGCTTGCCCTCTCTGGCCTGTCGTACTTCTTCGTCTGGGGCTCCATCTGCCTGTCACACATCCGCATGCGCATGGCTTGGAAGCTGCAGGGCTACACCCTCGACCAGATCCCCTACAAGGTGCCCTTCGGCATTTGGGGTAGTGCCGCTGGTCTTTTCCTGAACATCATCTGCCTGATCGCCACTTTCTATAACGCTCTCTACGTAAGTCGCTCTCACTTGAAGCCCGAGGGCAGTATTAACGAGAATAACAGCCGTCACCCGACGCCGTCCCGGACGCCGAGGCGTTCTTTACCGCTTATCTGGCCGCTCCCATCGTCCTCGCCTTGTATCTTCTCTGGAAGGTAATCTCTCGCGATTGGCGCTTATACGTACCGCTCCGCGAGATCGACCTGAAGTCGGGCGTTCGTCTTCGAGAGCCTAGTGACGAGCCCATGCCCGAGAAGACTTGGGCCAACCTCCCTAGACGGATTGCCCGCTCCCTGTTCTAAGACGGTCGACAACTCGCCACATGCGAAGTCGGATCGCCTGATATTCCCTACCTGTGGTGAAAACTTGGATCCGGTTTAGGGATCGTCCCGAGCAGTAAAGGGGTACGGGCAGAGCATGAGATAGACATCATCCGACATGACCTCGCGGATTTCGTAAAGCAGTAGCGCAACCTTGAATCAAAGATGCCAATCGGCTGGTATGTTTGCCTTGCTTCATTTGGGGGATATTGGTCAATCTCACAACGCCAACAGTTGGACAATCGAGACATGCAACTCGGAAGTTCAAGATCGATTGCTCGAATGGATGCGTCGTATTTAAACAGTTTTCCAAAACCGTATATACAACAAAAGAGCTCTGCGGGCCGTGTGAGACGATATCCGTAGCCATGGCCGTAATTTTTTTTTTACTTTTTCTTCTTCTTTGGCCGAACACAAAGTTGCCCGCACACAGAATTCGACAGTTTCTACGCTTGCTGATGAGTGTATATATTCAAATCTATCCCAACTTGCCCACATGTCTTGGCTTTGCCACTGGAGATGGCCAGCCGTCGATGGGAGATGGGCAACTTCTACCTCGCCGGTCGGTGCTCGCCCGCCTCCGCCGCGAGGTCACGCTCTACCATTTCGATTGAGCCCAAACTAGGGAATCGCTTCGAGAAATCTTGCAGGTATTCGTCTTTTTCCTTTGTCGACATTTCGATTACGGGCCGCCCGGGAAGCCCGACCCCCACCAGGTGCTCGGAGGGTACAGCGGGAGCCTGCGACGACTTCGGCGGCGAGCCCGATCGACCGCCGGTTGGCAGGCTGTTGAGGTGCATCGGCTTGCGCGGCGCCACCGGTCGTGGGCCGGGCGTGCTTCTTCCTGCTTGAGGCACAGGGTCGCTAGCGGATGGGCGTACCTTGTGGACCATGACGTCTTGGGAGTTGGACGGTGTCATAGATCGGGTTTTGGTGCCGCCGACTGGCTTCCGAGGTATCTCGGGAAGCTGCTTGTCCAACCGGCTTGTGGGTGAGGTCCCATCGGTGTACACCCCATATCCCTGAGCAGTACGCGGAACCTGCACCGATGATTTCTGGCCCTCATTCAAGAGGTTTTGCACTCTATTCTGAATGCTGACGGCACGGGAAACACCGCCAATGCTCTTCGGCAGCGGAGCCTGGCCGCCGGAGCCGGACCCTTGGTTGGTGAATCGTTGACGGTATTCTGCAGCGGCAGCTTCGACGCGACGCTCTTCCTCTTCCAAGCGAAGACGTTCGAGCTCTCGTCGCATAGCTGGAGTCATGTCTTCGGTCTCCTCCATGCCGTTTCCATCATCAGTGCGGCCGTCGGTAGCCTCTGACCCATCGATGGGGGTCAATATAGGGCGATCAAGTTGCTTCAATGGCGATGGTGTTCGAGCCGGCGCAGGGGCCTGGTTGCCCTCGAATCGTTTGAACGCATCCCCAAATCTTCCAGCCAAAATGTTCTTCGTCCCGGACAAAGAGCTCAGGCTTCCGCGTTTGCCATGCTTCGCACCCCATTCCTTCTTCTCTGATTTCGCCTCTTCCATGCTACGCAAAAACTCCACGTTGGATTCGATATGAGACTCCTCTTCCTCCGGTTCCACAGGCACCGCGGGAGACGGTACTCTGTCAGGGAGATTTGGTGATAACAGACTGGGAGATGGCAGTGGCTGCTTGGAGGAACCTTCCTTTTCACGAAGGAAATCCAGGTTGGATTCGAGGTGGGTGCTGACTGGCCGCGGGCGCCCGTCGATAGACCTCCGTTGAGCGCTTGCATCGAGAAGATCCAGGCTCGGGCGGCCGCCCTCAAGCGATGGACGCGATGACGACGGATGTCGAACATGAGTTGGCCGGAGTTGGTAAGATGGAACACGATGAATAGACCCAGTGCTCGGGTCTTCGGGGCGAACGGGAACACTCGGCTCTGTCTGACGAGGAAGACTGGTCGACCGACCGTGGTCAGTCGCGGGCACTCGCCAAATAGGCATTTTCTCGCGAGCTTGCTGCTGTTCTGGGGGAGGGGTATTCGTCATGGTGCCTGTCGACACATATCTCGACGGCGGCGCCTGATATTGACTCTGGCCCTGGACTTGAGTCTGGGATGAAATAGCTTGCAACTCGGGATTCTTGTGAATGATGGCATGTGCTCTGCTCATCTCAGCTTGCTTCAGGGGGGCCGAGGCAGTCTTCGTCAGGCCGATGGCACCTGGAGGGGGCGACTTCACCGTTGGAGGCGTATGAGAAGAAGCACCCGCTGGGGCAACAGTCTTAGGACGAATGGGCTCCTGGCTCTGGGGAGGAGAATGAGCCGCGACGAAACCTGCATCTGCGGGCGTCTCGTTGGGCCTCTGGGCCTGGCTCCTTTGATGCTGTGTCGGGGGCGGCGTATGCGAGTCGAAATTGAATTTGGACCCAGATTCATGAAGGATGGAAAACTGGTCCAAAGATGGGAACCGCGATGCAAACTCATCCGCATCTGCCGCCGGAGCAGCTGCGGGGACAGCTGCTGGGGTTGACTGCTTGTCCAGGGCGGCGAAAGGATCTCCATTCGTAACTCGCATAGGAGATGGGCTCGGTTTCGCGGCTACTTGCTGAGCTTGTGGCTGTTGGCTGGCTGCCGGCAACCTTCCCCTTCTCATCGGAACAATATCTGGAAGGACCTGTTCCTCCTGCTTGGGTGGAGCAAACACGGCACCGACTACTTGCTTAGCTTGGGAGTGGTCAGCAGAGGACCGGTCCTTGCTTTGCGGCTCAGAGCGCTGTTTTCCAGTATAGATCTGCGCATTTTCTTAGTAAACCACATATCCAAACACAGCGCACAGAGGAACTTACATCGTGAATAGGAACATCACGACCCTGCATGGCACAGCCCTCGCGCAAAACCTGATAGATATTGGGTCTGGCTTGCGGGCTTTCACGCAGCATGGAGGCTGTCACTTGTTAGTCGGTGGTCCAGTCCGAGCTCTGACTCACTTACCAATAAGCTTCTTCAGACGATCTGAGAAGACCGGATAGCTTGGGAATCTATAACTCGCGTTGAGGATGGCAAGTTGGCCTTGGTCCTCGAAAGGAGTGGTATAGTAGCACAGTTTGTACAGAAGCACGCCCAATGCCCAAATATCCGACTTCTCGTCGATGGGCAGCTTGCGGTAGACATCGATCATCTCCGGACTCCTGTATTGCATGGTTGTGTGCTTTTGAACGTCCTCGTCCATGAGCCTGCATTCGACGACGGTTTGCGGTGCCGGTTTGGGTGCAGCGGCTGATCCAAAATCGCAGAGCTTGAATTTCTTCTGGGCACCGTGGCTAACAATCAGAACATTCTCAACCTTGAGGTCTCGATGAAGTAGCGGCGGCTTGAGGTAGTGCATGCAGGCTACTCCCTCGGCGATGTCTGTGAAGATGTGTAGGATTTCGGGCTCGGTCAGGCGGTGTTGAAGACGAGTGTTCATGAAATCGATCAGACCGCCTCCGTCGCAGAATTCCATGAGAAGAAAGACTTCATATCCTCCTCCGCGCATCTCAGAGGCATGGGAATCGATGTAGGTAACGATTGGGCGATGACCCTTCAGCCTCTTCATCGTCTCGACTTCGGTTCGCATGCTTCGCAGTGCGTCCTTATCGGGGACAGCCACTCTCTTTAGAACAGCCATGTCCGTGCCGTCGATAGGCTTGGGAAGCTTGACGAGATATACATGGGCAAATCCTCCTTCAGAAAGATATTTCTGAATCACAACCCGGTGGTTGCCAACTTGTATCTTCGTTCCGGGAGCGAAAGTGCCCGCAGGGGCTGTGGACACGGGGGCAGGCATTGGAGCGCCGTAGGTGGCAGGATGTGCGGCTCGCGGGGCTGCCGCGGGCATGTGATGCCCGTAGGATGCCATATCGAAAGGTAGAGGCCTCGAGAAGTCGTCGTCGACTGGAAATGGAGGCTGTCGCCGCCCGACGTAGTGAGACTGGGTAGGTGGAGCGTCAGCGGCGGGTTGAGAACGGTGAGAGGGATGGTCGAAAGAGCGGATGGAACGATTAGAGAGACGACTGTAGCATTGACTGGTATTTGCGACCCGTTCAAGGCACAGTTAAGCCATTCTTGGCTGTTGATGGCGGCTGTTGGCGTATTTGATGAGTTGAGTCCAGGTTGCCATCAAGCTGGACCTGAACTTGGACACGCGTGGTAGACTGGCAGTATGGACGGGCAGCCAGTACGTAGTGCACAAGTGAGTTAGGTAGGTAGGCAGGTAGGTACGGAGCGTCCATCAGCCGCTGTTAGTGGTGGAGCGCTGGCATAAGGCTTGGGGGAGCTAGGTAGGAAATTCAAGACCCCGGCACACCCTGTTCACAGTTCCATGTTTCGCAATGCACCTCAGTCGGGGAAGTGTCGGGTAAATTTTATGCACTACAATTCATGTCATTGGTCCAGCCCAACCTGACATGCAGCCCTCTCCAGGCGGCACCACCTGAATCTCACTTCCCGAAAACGGGCGGTGAGCCGATCCAAGTTGTGGTGGGGTTGCGAATTTCCTTATCGATATACGATAGCGATAAGTGTCTTCATCCCAGTCGAATTTTTTTTCTCTCTCGGACCTCGAGCCTATTGCCTGGGATGCGGCGACACTCTTTTTTTTTTTTTGAGCTGATCTAGCAGCAAACACCAAACCTTACACCATTTCTAAACCGACGACCTCGAAGGCGACAAAGATGGCGGGAAAGAGGAAGGCGCCTCCTGCTAAGGACGCAGCGCCCACCAAGAAAGCAAAGGCAACTACCAATGGCTCGACTTCGAAGGATACCGCATCGAACGGCCCGGCCGAGGAGTTCACGATCCAGATTGTCGCCGGTTCATATGACCGAGTGCTCCATGGGATCACCGCCACGGTCAAACCCGAGGGCACTGTCGATTTCGCCGATACCTTCCTCTTCAATGCGCACACCTCGGCAGTACGCGCCGTCGCTGTGTCGCCCCCTTCAGCTCCTGTCCCCGGCCAAGGCCAAAAGGTCTTCTTGGCATCTGGAAGCACCGACGAAAGAATCAACCTGTACAATCTGTCCGCGCATCCTCCGAGCCGCAAGAACCAAGAACTTCTCTCTTCCGTCGCTCCCCGCCCGATCCTCGAAAACCCCAAGAACCGCGAGCTGGGCACATTACTTCACCATTCATCAAGCATCACCAAGCTTGACTTTCCTACACGGTCTAAGCTCTTGTCTTCGAGCGAAGATTCCACAATCGCCATTACCAGGACAAGAGATTGGAACGTCCTTTCGACAATCAAGGCGCCGAAGCCCGTGGCTCAAGGCAGACCTACCGGCGACACGGCCCCCTTCGGCGGAACGCCGTCCGGCGTCAACGACTTTGCTGTCTACCCGAATATGAAGCTGATGGTTAGTGTCAGCAAAGGCGAGAAAAAATTACGACTGTGGAACCTGATGACTGGCAAGAAGTCCAGCCCTCTCAAATTCCCATCAGACTTATTAAGGGAGGCTGGAGAGGGCAAGTATTCAACTGGCGAGGGTCACAAGATTGTTTGGGGGCCGTGGGACGATACAGATGAGTTTGCCATCAGTTTCGATCGCAACGTCGCGGTGTTCGGCATGGACGGTGTACCAAAATGTGTGGTTATGCCCGACACTCGGACTAAGATCCACGATGTTTCTTACATCGGCATTGAGGGCGAGACGAAACAGAGCGTGTTGGCGGTGTCGACCGAGGATGGACGGGTAGTCTTCTTCTCTACGCAAACGGATGACCTGAACGACATTGAGAAAGACAAGAAGTACCCTACGGCAAAACTGATGGGCCAAGTTGGTGGCAAGGACGCCGGTGTCTCTGGCCGCATCAAAAGCATGGTTCTTCTTCAATCCAAGCAAGACTCGACCGCCGTGTATGTGGCCGGAGGCAGCAGCGATGGCAAGGTGCGACTATGGAGGATTGGCAAGAAAGAACTGGTTTCAGGAGGGGGCAAGCAAATGGGAACGCTGCTGGGAACGTACGACACGCAAAATCGCATCACCTGTATGACGGCTTTTGGTATGATACCCCGGCCGGAGGGAGTGGAGGACAGCGAGGACGAGGTTGAGGAGTCGGACGATGATTCTGAGGATGAAGATGACGAGTGAGCCGACGCGGCGCGACGTGCATAACCAACGACAATAAGATATCCGTTTAATCAATGTGCAAATTCGTGTTTTTTGGACAAGACTGCGTCGCCGTTGGGGAGTTGAGACGGGACGGCGGCGACAAGACTGGCCCCGACTGACCGCGTACCGGCGCCGCGACAGATGGATGGTCCGTGCAAGAGCCCCGCCGATCGGCGTCGGACGTGTCTCGAAAGAGTCTGCGGATTGCATGCCACTCCCGGTCGTGTCTTTTGGCGAGTGTTAATCGTTAGCAGTTGAGTCCTCTAAGACCTGGAGAGCTGCAGGTTCAACCTTGGTAACGACAAGAAACCGTAATGATTTGGTGACGTCCGGGCCCGTCGCAGCCAAGGGAGACAGAAATCAAACGATTTTCAATAACCAGGCGTCCCTCAAGTTGAGTGGCACTCATTCAGCTCCTCCTTCGTTGCTGTGCAGGTTCGCGGGAGATGCGGGCCCGGTATATACAGAAACTCTTTTCTCCTCTAGGCTCTACCTAGCGGTGAAGTTGGCCAAGCAGGCTTTTTTCTCCCCATTTTATTTTCCCAACGTTCGCAGGGGCACCGCGCTTTTTGAGGGGCAGGGTCTCCGTTATACGCGGACAGGTCGGAGACGGGCGAACACCTAAGCTTAAGAAGTCTCCGCCCCAACGTGCGTTAGGTAGGTACGTAAAGAGAGAAACTGCCAACACTGGTCGTCGAGAGGAAAGGGACTTTCGTTACAGTTGCAGATAGTATTCCTATTCGTACTAGATACCTTAGCACCTTTGTGAGAATTGGAAGTGGTTGCTGGAGGGAAAGAGCCTTAAGGGAGCGGAGGGAACGGGTTAGCAGAGTGTGGGGTAGCGGCGAATCAGGTGAACAAGAATGTCATTTCAGGACCCAATTTAGCGTGCACCAGTCATGTGGCTCCACCGGAGACAATCCCATTGCATGCAGCTGCATTGTACGGCTTGGCGCCAGTCCCCTAGCTTCAAATCGTTCAACAGCGGCCAAGGGAAGTGCTTAGGGGGGATCCCTGCCTTTTTCGGTCATTTGGCACCAGCAATACCTACTGCGATTACTCGTTCGTTTTCTCCAGTCTCCAATGCAACAATGCAACCTGCAACCTGCAACTGCAACTGCACTTCGTGCAAGCGTTTCTGTTTCCCGTGCATGTCATGCCTTACTTGCTTTCCCACGGGTACCGCGAAGCAGTTGCACATCCTGATGTTGCAAGTGCTGCGGGTGCGGTACCACTGGAAGGCAGAGCTGCAGGGTATCTACCTTAGGTAAGGTAGGTAGTTACGAGGTACCTTGGAGGTGGAACACAGCTACCTACTTACCGTAAGGTACCTCCCCTCCCGTCGTTCTTACCTAGCCCGCTTAAAGTCTAGACATGTGAATATTTCCCATCCCTCTCTACCCTCTCTCTCTCCCAATCCCGTCGTCACTCCTCTTCTTCTCCTACTCTGCGAAATTGCTATTTCCGTCTCCATATTCCAAGGCCTTGCAGCACTTCTGCAATAGCTCCTCAGTTCCGACTGCTGGTGCTGACCCCATAAGCCACACAGCACGCAGACCACACCACCACCACGCCGAAATTCCCCTCTCTCGTGTGTTGCCCGCATCAATCCGCATCTGTTTTACCGGCGTGTCTTGCCTCCGCGCCTCCGACCAAGAAACGCGGCCAAGGTCCATGACTGCAGGTAGCACGAACCCGACCACATGCAACAAACAAAGCAGCGTCTTGATGCTGAGTTGGCTGCTACGGGTGACGGAAGTCGATGCCGATGCCTCGTAGATTTTACGAACTGACCTCTGAGAGATCATGCCGCTCGCCGCCTTCTTCACTCCCGCCACCTTAATCTTGAACTCCCCCGTTGTTCATAAGGTTCCAGACAGCCTTACTCGTCTCTTTGCTACATATCCCATCTTTTCCCCTCCACCCCAGTAACGGCCACGCCCACCTCCCTCACATCCGGCCCACGACAATCCCGCAGCACACGACCAGGTTGTCTTGCATCAGCTCTTCCGAGCTCCCTCGTCTCGCGCCGCCGAGTTGACCCTCGATTTCCCAACAATTCTCAGCTTTTCGGAGCAGCCCTTGAACATCGTCTCCATCGTCTCTCATACTTCTGGCCAATACTACGAAGCTCCTCTGTTCGTCCAATCCTTCGGCTTACATCGTCCGTCCGCCAGTCTGAGGCGAATTGTTTCTTAGCCCACGTGAGACGATACAGTGTTGCCCCGTCGTCTGAACTTCCGAAGTGACGACGACAAAATCCTTCCTTCGGCCCGTGGATCTGAATCTACTCGTACGTATCAACGTTTCGGTCTCCTAGAAACTCCGTCTTCCTCTCCGATGTGAGCTCATCGCAAAGCCTCGGCGAACTGGCGAGCTTACTGGATATCTAGCTAATAATCGCATTGTTTAGCCCTTTCACACTCTTCCCACGATCCGGTTGCGACCGCGTCCAGCCATCATGTCTGGCGACGGCCCACCTCTGTTGCGGCCTATCCCCCGCCGCCCCTTCGACTTCAGCCATACGAGTCCTACTCCTCCAGACGAGAACTCCTCTTCCCCGAGCCCGAACCCCGATATAGACCTCTCGAGACTGCACAATGGCCAGGCTTCCTCAGACTCCGGGTCCCTGCCTAGAGCCCAGTCCATAATGAACCTGACATCCTCAACGTTATTCGGCATTTACTCCCCGACCACTTACGGGAGTCGTGATGGTAATGAGAGGGACGAGCCCGACACTCCCTGGGGGACAGGGGCGCAAACTCCAATCAAGCGTCCTAGCGTGGACGATACGACGTTTGAGCTCATGAAGGACCGCTCGAGTCTGTTACGCCGGCGGTCTTCCCACCGCGGGGCTAAGCAACAGTCACCTTCTACTGCAGCCTCAACTTTGTTCACGGTATCTAGAATAGCTCTCCTTTTCGTGATTGGCATCGGATATGGTGTCTTGGTCACCCGGTTGCAGAGTGAGCAAACATTTTCGCCGTTTCAGGTCGAGAGCATCATCAAACCGAGTTATGACTGGCAGTACCTGTCTTTATGGGGCTTGTCGGGTGTCGTTCTTGGCGGTCTGCTCCCTTGGTTTGACGGAGTCTGGGAGCATACATTTGGCGGGGAAGAAGCAGTCCCTGAAGAAAGGGACAGTCCGTCTCCTGAGGACATTAGCCCTGTGAAAGATTGGGCTTTGGTCGTACGCAGCATCGGCGCCTTCGTTGGCATCGTGTTTGCCATTGTGAGTCCCTCATACAATGCCATACCATGTAACACGAGGTTAACAATGGACAGCGTAAACTGCCCTGGGCCTCGACGCTGCAGGTATCCCTCTCGTTGGCCCTGGTCAACCCGTTCTTGTGGTACCTCATTGACAGGTCGAAACCCGGTTTCCTGCTGTCGATGGCCGTCGGAGTGACGGGTTCGGCGGTCCTCCTCGGCATCAACCCCGATGCCATGCCGACCCCGTCTTCTTTGACCTACCGAAATGAGTCAGAGAGAGCGTATTCAGAGCCTATCACTCTGGGTGGATTGGCCAGTCAGGAGACCATCGAGACAGGAATCTGGATGCTCAGCGTTCTGTTCTGCAGCTGCGTCTGCTTTGGAAACATCGGGAGACGTCTTGCCATCAACAAATCGGCTACCGCACGGGGCCGCTGGGCTGGATTGAGATGAGGTCCACGACTGAGATCTGTTTCTTTCGGTTCATCTGGGTTCACGGGCGGTGGAAGTACTCGGCGAAGACTCTCGGAAAAGGGAAAGCTGGTGGGCATATATCCGGCACAGACGATGATCATTGGTTACTTGGTATGGAATATTGTATTGTTACGAGCAGCGCAATGAGAATTCGCTGTGAGCGATGATTTCTATCGAACAGCAACTGGAGGTTGAACCAGACAGTATTGATTACAGCTAGTTTTGGCGACCGCGATTTCTCAACAACATCTTCTTCGGGGCGGTCTCGTCGTCAAACTAATCAATACGGATCAATCTACAAACAAGACATCACATAATAACGAAGCACAAAAATTGTCAATTAAAGTCCCTCCTCTTCCGGCGTACCAGTCTCCCGTCTTCCAAGTCTATACTTTTCTAAACCCTAGATCCAGCCTCTGTTGCCCCTTTTCTTCCCTCTCCCTCGCTGCCCAGTATTTTCTATCAAACTCATGGTGTATTCCGCACCGTTCCCCCTCGGTATCGCTTGTTATCTGGCCTGCTCGATGGCCTCAACGACGGCCTGGGACTTGGCGGTGACGTCGCTGCCGTAATCTACCTGAGGAAGACCCATCATGGTGAGGGACCGCGGGCTGCCGACCATCTCGTTGACGGTGGCGGCTCGCCCGCAAACGTCGGAAAAGGACTCGGCGGCGGCGGCGGGACCGGTTGTTGGACCTGGGATCCCCATGTCAGCGGAAGGTGTTCGGGGTGCTCCTCTTTCTCATCTCGGCCTGGCCCGCCCGCTCTCGCGCGCGCGGTAGGTAATCCTGCGGTGCGGATGCGGGCTGTGCGGGGTGGGTGCACAGCTAATTAGCCGCTGCGGGATTGTCCTGACCGGATTGCTGCCGGATCTGCTCCGGATATTGCACGGGCTCGCCGTCACGGATGTGATCGAGCTCGGTCATGATGTACCGGGACCGGTTGACAAAGTCCCAAACGTGAAATAGGCCCCTGTGGGGATTCTCGGGGTCCCAGGCGGGGTGGGCCTCGATGGCTCTGATGAGATCGGACAGCCGTTCGGTGATGTTGGCCCGGGCTTCGGGGGAGGGAAGAGAAAAGGACATTTCGGGGGGTTAGAAAAAGGAGCGGAGAATATTCGAGGTGCGTATATTCGGATGAATTCAGAAGCGATAGTGACCGCAGAGTTGAGATGCTGCTGTCGAATGGCAGAGATAGATAGGTACAGTCAGGCAAGTAGGCTCATGTCAATAGGAACTCGGTGGGCGTCGAGGGTTTGGTGATGGGAACAGAAACGAAGAAAAGTTCAGATGCTCGGCCTCGTTGGATTAATTGGCAGTCACACGGCAAGTTTCCTGATCTGTGAGTTGTCGGTGAGGGTAAGCAAGGGTTTGGAACGCGTTGCCGCGAGTTATGGCATGTTTCCATCGCACAGACTCAGACTCGGCTAGACAACGAAGCCACCGCCTTTACTTTTGCGAATTTTAGGTTGCGTTTGCTGAGGGGAAGCGAGTGGAGTCGTCAGATGGCGGAATTCGGCTGGTCGGAGGGGTTTGAGGGTTTGATGGACAACAAGGGGACACAATGACTGGTCCAGACCGGAGATCCGTCCTACTTCTGGCAGCCGAACTCCAAGGTCGATTTGTCGAATATCGAGAAAATACTATACAGATGTCACAGTTGGATGAACACCCGGCCTGAAGCCGCTCGCTCCGCTGTTTCCCGGTGATGGGTGATGGGATCGGGGATCGGGGTCCTCTTCCTCGGGAGTACGCTTGGTCGATTGGACATCTGTTGAACAAAGACTTGTGTTGTGACAAGCTGGTCATCGACGTGATGATTCGATGATATGCAAGGCTTCGGACATTGGGTCGGAAACTGCGAAAATGCTCAAGATCCAGCAAGAACCAGACTGATTAAGGTGAAGCACCCGTCCTCTGGTGTCTGGAGCGTAGAAGAGGTTGGTGAGGCTGAAGAAGCGAACTAGGGAAGCTTCACCAGGAACTCGTCTCGCACTTCTTCTCTGGGTTAGTAGCCGCCGAAGCTATGAGATTAGACTGAAGACGAACTCCTCCAGACGATAAATTCATCAAAAGGCAGGCAGCGACTAGCGTCGGAGATTCGGACTTATGTGTGAATAATGAGCTTGCCAGACTGTGATTCTCGCGGTGAGGTAGTTGGTGGCGGCAGTCGGAACGAAAGGCTTTCGTCAGCACGATAGCTTCATGTCTTTGCCCAAAACAGACATGAGCGTTCCATCAGTAGCCTCATTGCCTCGGCGCCACGACAGTGGATTGGCGAGGCTGAGATCGAGATTGCCGCCCGACTCGTTCTGGGCTCGGATGACTAGCTGATTAGCCAAAGGAGTCATGCAGTTATTGCCGAGTTTCGAAGGTAGTCGGAGGCTGATCGATGTCTCGTTGGCCTTCCTGTGCAATCCTGGGATCAGCCGTGACCGAGGCCTAAGATGGCTCTTCCAGGACTGGGGTCTGTGGAAAGACGGCATAGTGTAGTGACGACCGACAATGAATGACCAAGAAGGACGTGTTGCAGATGCTGGGAGATCCGAGACACAAGAATTACTATGCAGTAGTCGATGAGAGACGGCCTACGCTCCCACGCTTGTCAGAAGGTCGGGATTGCCTGTCGTGGTCCCCAGGCAAAGAAGTTAGCTTGCCCTGGTGTGGCTTGACGGGAACTGCAGCAAGTGCATAACGGAGGGTACAAATGGCGTCGGCTGTCCCAGGCGGAGGCGAAAGTAGCGCTGTCATGACGCATTGGATCTGGAAAACGAGGTGCATCTGAGTGGGCGCGGCAGCGAACAGGGCGCTCCAAATGCTGGACCCTGGGTGTGTTCAGGCTGTCTTGGGTGCGTGCATTGGCTAGCGCCGATTGCTGTCCTCGAGAGAATCAGAGGGGATCGTTGACATTGGTTGCGATCACTTTATCAAGGCCATCTTCGTATGGCTCAACACAGAGGAAAACGCAGTTTTTTTCCGTGTGGGAATACGCAGTACGGGCCACGGCGCAAGGTGTCGTCTCCAGTTTCCCTGATCGCAGAGAGGCGTCCGCCCAAAACCGGTACACTGGAAGTCAAGGTACTTGTCGGCATGGATAGAGCGTGTTATTGGCCATGCTGGCTGATGTCAGGGTCCTGGGGCTCGCTCGCATCGAGATCTGGTTGCGGCCACACGAAATTGAAGCCGAGAGTAGTAATCTGCATCTGTATCCGTAGTCTGCTGCCCTCTACGGGCTTGCCGGTTCGAAAGTTGTTGATGGAATGGATTGAACCATCTTTTGCATCCGGATCTTGTTGTCTGCCGGCAAACAGTCAGTCGGTCCGTCCAGTCCGTGACTGTCCAGTATTCCCGTCTTGATGCATGTCGTACTTTCCCGGCCGAGACGCGGACGGATACAATGGCTGGAGACCCTTTGAACGTCACGTGGCAGACCTGTCTCAGTTCCGGCTGAGGTAAGCACACTTCCAAATCGTTCAAGGAGGGGCACTCGATGTTCAATTGCGTCATGGCGTTGAGTGACATTTAGAACCAAGTTTCCTCTCGCCATGAGATGGGGAAACTGGTTGCCAAAGGCATACTGGGCAACAGTCCTGACGGCGAGAGGCAACTACCTTATGCCGATGATACTGAGAAAGAAGATTGTTACCAAGTTGAGAAAATGTAAACGTCCTTGGTCCAGCGTTGATACTCCACAAACCTTGAGTTTCCGACTGTTGGGTACCTTAGTTGTGTCATGTGAGTACCCACGTAAGACAGACTGCCTTAGTTTGGAGATAATCGAGAGGATGGCTAAGACATGATGGTCTGTCTGAGCTGGCAGCTGAGGAGAGGACGTTCGTTCTTAGCAACGAAATTCTTACCTCGACTGGTGGCTTCGCTTCCCTAACGAGAAAGTCCTCAGCAGTTGAACCGCTCGCCGTTGAGAGAATATGTGAGGAGATGCTTTAAGTCGCGTTAGCGCAGTGCAGCCTCCCCGATGCCAGAACGAATGGCCCGCGGTGTCGTCACGGCTAGCCCACGATTCGTCTACTGACAACAGGCCGCTAAACCCTTATTCGCCTAGACGCAAGGGGCCTCTTCCAGGGCACTTGGGACAAGCCCGCCCATGCGTCCGTCGCCTGCCGCCGACTTGGAAAGCAGAAGGGAAAGAAAAAAAAATCGAGAAAGGTACCGGTACTTGACGTTACTTTTTCAACATCGACATGGGCCGCCGGCTCTGGCGCTGTCCGGGGGCGGCTCTCTTCTCTTCTTTCTCTCATCTTTGCGCGCGCGCCGTCTTTGCGTCTCATCTGCTTCTCTCCCCGAGTCCTGTCTTGCTGGCCTTTTGGTGTCCCGTCTGCTGGTCTTTCTGGTCTGGTCCTGCCCGGCGTTCTGGTTGGTCCCATTCCCTCACCCCGAATTTCATTGACCTCATTGCACGGCCACACCATCTCAGAAAACACCCCTCCATGAATCCACCCATACGCCCAGCGCCCAGCGGATTGGTAACGGCACGTTAAATGTATGACGCCTGCCTGCGATTCTCCTCCATTGTTACTTCGCGCCCCAAACGTATTCTTCGTATGCCGCCGACACCTACTTGGTACATGCATGCCAGCACTCCTCCAGCTTCTAGCTCCGGCCCTCGGTCAACTAGCTTCGCCGGCGCCCCTTCACCTGGCCGCTTCTGATCTTATTCACGCGCATCATGAGATCCGCTCGTTTCTGTTTCTCGAACCACTGCAGCTCTGATGATCTCGCATATATGACCCCTGGTCTCTGTCCCCCCGTCACTTCCCTGTTACTGGAACGCTCATACGTCCGAGTGGTTGTCTGAAGGGAACGAAATATCGCCATCACCAGTCGACAACTTCTGATGTTTGGTGGCCAAACGTATAGACGTACAAGACGGATCCGACGAAAGAGATTCTAGAGAAAGAAGGGAGGAAGAAGAAATCGAAGGAGCAACATAGTGCGGAAGAAGACACCGCCAATCGATTCAAACATCGCCACCAGATACCCTCCGACGAATCGCCGCGCCATCGTCGCGCTGGAGGACACACTTCATGTCCTCCGACCAGCCACGGGTTGTCGAGAGCAGACCATCGGCCTTGACGTCCAACCCCGTACACGAAGCAGAGGACGAAAAGGACCATGGCACTGTCGAGCGGCCCCTGCTGGCTGAGCAGGTCCGCGAGGTCATCCGCCTAATCCAATGTCGAAAGTGCTCGCGCCCGCTACGAGAACCCATTACACTCCCCTGCGGCCGGAGCCTCTGCAGAGAATGTCTGCCCGAAACCCACGCCCGCGAAAACATATCGTATCCTGCCACTCCAGGCAGGTTACAGGGTTTCGAGTGCCCATATCAAGAATGCGGACGGAATCATGCAGTGGGAGATTGTGGTGTCGACGTTATCCTCACCAAAGCTGTCAACAACTTCAAGGCCGAGATCGAAAAGGCAAGGGTTACGAACACGGCTGCCGAGATATCTACGCATGTCGTGATACAACCTCCGAATACGGCCAAGAGCGACGCGGATGCGGATGTGGGCGACTGCACGGTTTCAAGAGACGTCAAAGGAGGCCCGCTCATTGCCGTTTACACGCTTGCTGAAGAGGGCGAACTCGATTACAACTCCAGCATTAGCTTTGCAGAGGTATCTTCACTGGGAGACGAGGCGGCGGCTCTCGACATGAAGACTTTTTCAAAGGTGAAAGAGTCCGTCAGGACAGAAATGGACTGTCAGGTCTGTTATGCGCTGTTCTACGACCCGTTGACGACGGTCTGTGGCCACACTTTCTGCCGTTCCTGTCTGCACCGAGTGCTCGATCATTCATCATACTGTCCCGTCTGTCGAAGAGGCATATCGGTCAGCCCTCTACTCTACCGAGAATCGTGTCCTTCCAACGACCACTTGAAGACCATCATTCAAACATTCTGGGCTGATGCCGTCCTAACAAGAGGTGACGCTCTGGCTGCGGAGGCTCTGAATCGACATCGGGAGTTCGACATTCCAATATTTGTTTGCACTCTCTCCTTCCCGATGATGCCCACTTTTCTACATGTCTTTGAGCCAAGGTACCGACTCATGATCCGACGGGCTTTGGAAGGCGATCGAACTTTTGGCATGGTTCTACCGCAACGACCGCGGACACCGAACGATACGCACTTCATGGAGCACGGCACATTACTCCGGATAGTGAACGCCGAGTACTTCGCGGACGGTCGGAGCCTCATCGAAACGACTGGAATCTCGCGGTTCAAAATTACGAGACACGGCATCTTGGATGGTTATCTAGTGGGAAAGATCGAAAGAATGGATGATATTTCAATCGCCGAAGAGGAGGATTTGGAGGCTGCAGAAACCCAGCAAGCCCTGGAAAGATACGAAAGCGCCAATACGCATCTGAGCGAGGAGTCCACGATACCGAGACCACTTACTACGACGCCAGAAGACCTGTCAAGGATGCCGACCAGCGAACTGCTGTCTTTTGGCGTCTCTTTTGTCGAGAGAATGAGACAACAAAGTGTCCCCTGGCTGGCACAAAGAATGCTAGCGATCTATGGAGAGTGCCCCAACGATCCGGCTCTCTTCCCCTGGTGGTTCGCCAGCATACTCCCCGCCAAAGACTACGAGAAGTACAAACTTCTCGGCACAACGAGCGTACGAGAGAGGTTGAAGATCTGCTGCAGCTGGATTCGTGAGTGGGAGTCAAGCAGGTGGTAAGTGTTCCCCACCCCCTCGTCAAGCTTTGCCTTGGCAGTCATCCCTGCTTTTTGAATTTGATCGCATCTTTTTAAACTTCACTTCGGTTCAAACTTATCCCATGGGGTGAGGCTGAACGGGAGATGTTGCTGCCCCCGTTTGCTTGTTATCAGACAATGAAACAGACGGGCTAAGGTGCAGAATCTCTCAGGGGTGCCCATATTGACGGCCGCTCAGGTCCCTCACAGACTGCAGAATCTTCTGATGCTGGGGACTAGCCCAGCCGCTGGTGCTGCAGGTCTTACGCGAGTGGCCTAGGTGTTATGTGCCGGCCGGTGCCAAGGAGGCGGATGGGGCTCGCGGGCGCTTTTAACATCCCATCTCTTCGAGGAGATGAGGAAATAGATGGGTGGAACACTACATTTTCGCATTTGCAAGACGGCATTGGGCATGCGCTAGTATTCTTCACGGCATTATCATGATACAGATACCAAAATTGGGCCATGTAAGTATTCTACTAGACAGCTTGTCTAATCGAGAGCCGAGGAACGTGAGTACGCATACAAGTTTCACTGCTACATGGGAGGGTGCGAAATGTGATCGGCCTCGGAGCCACTCGGGAGCCGGTTGGCTTGCTCTCCAAACCACGCCACCATGCTTCCCATGTGAATAGCTACTGCGTTTGGTGACCACTGTCGCGTTTTTGCTACGACTAGGTTCTGTAGTACCAGTCAGGAGCTGGCGAATAAACGACAGTGTCGACTAACAGCAAACGGGCGGTACATGTGCTGACGGTATTTGGACAAACTTGGGATCGAGTTCTTCCGGGTGGTGGACTGCAAAAAAACCCAGCTTTCTTCTGGGGTTTACAGGGACAGACTTCTCGGGTGAGCGATGAGTCCTCTCCGATGAATGAGGAATCGAGACGCTCGAGGACGACAGGAGGATCAATCTGATGTGACGAGGAAGGGAATCCATACATAGGATGGGCATTAAGGTCGGCAGGCATGTGGGAGTTGAGAGCAAGGGTGTTGTCCGGCCTGAACTGCCCCATGCCGGCTTTGGTGTCACCGTCGGTGCCGGACAGCATCTCGTCCTCCTCCTCGATCTTGTCCTTCTTTCCTAGGCATATTGTCGCGTTCCGTGACCTTTGGCTCTAGCTTGGAACACTATACATCTGGGAAATCACCTTCGGTTAAAGGGACCTTGTACTTTTCAAAAGAATTCCAGAAGCGGTGAGCGGGAGCTTCTCGAATGCGAGCAACGAAGGGCTTGGGCCCGTGTCCTCTGTGTCCTCTGTTGGCTAGTTTGTCGCCAGGCAAACCCCGTCACGGCGAGCTGTTTCCGCTTAGTCGCCGAGAGTGTGCTCGCGCGGCTCGGCGAGCTGAAGCTCGCTGGATCGGGGTCCATCTTGGGCTGGGATGCTCTCGTCGCGTCTACCGCAGTTGCCTGCGTGACATCGTTGGTACACTTCAAGCATGATGGTTGGCTCTGGACAAATATCTCGAGCGAGGAGACCATGCCAAAGTTTGTGTTGGCCGAATCTGAAAGCCGGAAACCTTTTTCTTTCTTGTAAAAAAAGTAAGCAAAGGAGAAGATATTCGTTCGAGACCAAGAAGTCATAAACCACACTTGTCTGTCGATGAGAAAATCCGTGGGCCTTTCACTTTTGACGGCAGCACGTGACAATTTCCAGTGCCCAGCTACGGCTGTACAGGTAACACCCAAGTGATAGCAATACTTGCCGCCCAATCTATTATCCAGAGCTGATATAAAACGTTGCAGCATACTGAAGCCTTCTAGAGAGCGGCCGATCTCGAAGTCCGGTGTGAGTCCTCAGCATCAATGTATGCCTTTCCGTGTCCCAAGCTAACCAACCCGTAACGCCTGCACAAAAATTGCAAAGAATACCAAGTTCCCACTACATGTCAAAGAAGGCATCGTCGAAATTGCCAGTCTCCGTATCGTCGAAATACATGTCGAGGTCCATCCCCTCGAGGTTCGTGTTGCTATCCAGATTGAACAGGTCGTCCAAGTTAGAATCCTGCTTCTCCATCTTGGCCTCGACAGGCTTGTCTTGGTTGTTCGCTGGCGCTGGCGCATTTCCACCCGGTGCTGCGGGTATTGCTGGTTCCGATTTCACATTACTGCTGGTATTGTCAGGCGGAAGCAAGCTGTCGAGAGACAAGAGGTCGCCGCCGATGTCACCGGAACTGAATGACATATCCATGTTCGCGTCTTGAGATTGGGGCTGACCCTGAGAGTCGTTATTTGGCGGAGCCAGGCTGAATGTCATGTCGGTGAAGTGGAATTCCGAGTTGTTGGTCTCCGGGCCGCCGTCCGCGTCGCCACCAAGACCGAAGAGGTCATCCATCGGGGCTTCAGGCGCCCCGGACTGTTGGGGCTGCGCGGTAGCTGAGTCCTGCTTCGCTTCGGACTTGATATCCATAGGCGCCATCATCGCTGGCGGTGCCGGTGCCGGTGCTGGTGCAGGCTCCTGTTTGATTGCATGGATAGATTCCACCGGCGGCTGAAAGCTGACGCCCATGTCGGGAAAGGGGGCCATCGATGGAGCTGCGCTCGGCTCTGCGGGGACCCTGTGCGGCCCGGAAGCCTCCGTGATCTGTGGCTTACGGTCTGGAGAGGGTTCACGAGAGGAGTCGAGATCGATCGCCATTGGTGATTTGGTCTGCGCTTCCACTGGGGCCGGTTGCTGCGCTGGTCGCCTCTGTTCTTGGATTCTATCCAGGTCTCTTTGCAGAACTGCCTTTGCTCTGATCTGTGAGGAGAGTTAGCGATTCGGCATCTGGACGAGAGGAAACAAGTGACTTACGATCTCGCTCTCCAGATCGTCCAGTTTCCAGTGGAAGCTCTCGATGATTTCAGGCATCTTGGTTTGCATGGAAATCTGCGCCTGAACTTGGTGTCGGCCGTCTTTACTCCATGATTTCAAAGCCTTTCCAGTTTGAATGAGCTAGGGAAGGAACCATCAGCCATTTTGCTCTCTAAAATGTTCAAGCGTTGTTGCCTACCGCATCGTTGATAAGCCCCTGGAGAGCATCCGCAGGGTCAGTGTTCATTGATTTTGAGTTGGCCATGTTGGCAGGAAGGAGCTGGAATCCCTCAAGCAAGGTATTCGTGAGTTTGATGAACTGAGCGGAGATCAAGTGCGAAGTACGACGGCTTGGAACAGGACATAAGTTGAAACTGGCCGGCTGATGGTTTTCATATGGAATATATTTGTTGAGATTTTGCCGTCAAAGAAAGCGTCAGCTGGTGAATGCCTACGCTTGGCTTTGTTCTTGCGGTGGCAATGATTAGCAATGGTCGTTGGTGTTTGATGTCGTTTGAATCAGTCTACCGGCCTCTAATCCCAACTGGCGATACGTTCTGTGGAGCTTTGAAAGGAGAAAACACTAATGGCCTGGTGCCAGATCAGAGCTCAGCCTCAGGCTTCGAGGAAGACAGCTGGTGACAGCTGCGCATGAATTCACGGGAAGCTCACCTCACCGAAGAAACCCCAGAAGTACCCCGCACCTCCAATAGGTACCTACGTTGAGGTACTTACGGCATGGGTGTAGATGCAGAGACAAACTCAAGGTGCGGGCGGGAATGTGACAACAGCGCGCGCGTAGGGCAGTTTTCCCCTCCTTCCGCCTGCTCGACTTCCCCCACCTGCGGCTTCCACGCATCAGATCACAATCTTGGGACGAAGGCAATTGAGGGAGGGACACGAAGGGTTTTCGGCTCATTTGAAACTCGCAGGCCATGTTGGCGATCCGCAAGACATGTTGAGGTGAGCTACCTAAGTAGGTACTGCGAGGGGCTGAACGATTTCAGCGCTGCCTCATGGGCTTCTAGGTAACTCGCTGCAGAATGAAGCACAAGCTTCCCAAGACTGGCTTGGTCTATCTCGAAAAGCCGCCCACTGTGCCTGTGCGGACATGAGATCCAAATTGAACGGCGATTGGTGTGCTTGTCTGGCATGCCTTAACCAGTCACCGTCTCCCGGAGGCTTGCCGAATCTCCTGAAGTAGAAGAGATACAAAGCAGTTGCGGATGCCGTTGCTGCCACTTAATTGTAGGTTGCGGATAGCGGAAGGCAATTCAAGGTATGGATAACCCTATCGTTGCCGTGTGTTCACACAGGCTGAGTGTTCGTCCCATCCGTGCCGGGGGCCCATCTTCCCGGGAAATTGGTTGTCCTGCAACATGCAGTTTCGTCATCCAAACGCTCCGTCACTGATGCCTTGATTTGTTGGATACCATTGCTCGGTGGCTTCCTTCACGCAGACTTTTGCTGCGAGCCATATACTCTAGTGAGAGAAGACCGTTGGAGTAATGGCTTACAAGGTAGTTGTGACATCCCGTCCACTAAAGGATTGGAAGATACCTAGCTTTCGCTTGGCACTGTTGGGGGGAAGGTGAATTCTCATCAGTAGTTATGCTGCAGGAGACGGGATGTGCAATTTCGGGGATAACGCGTTGAGGGATTGAGGCTCAAAGACGGGAGTAAAACTTTTCTGTCGACACTTGGTTCATATTACTAGGTTTTTAGGTAGGTAGGTATCCAGCAACACCATGCGGCTCTTGATTGCTTGCAATATAGATATGTCACGATTAAGGAAGGCGAGGCAGGACGGCCAAAAACGACCAACGACGGAGTTAGAGCCAGGGACACCCTGTCGCAGCAGTTGATCGGTTGTCATCGTGAACATTTTGCTCTTTCTGAATTAAGCCTTGGATCCGTTCACACAAGGACGCTTTTGCTGCATTTACTCCGCATGTGTCCGTAGGCCAGGGCTCCCATGAAATCGACTTTTTGTTTGTTTGCGCATGCATTTCAACCTCATCTCGTCATGCTTATGGTATAAATTTCGGCCGTTAGCGCCCTCGTTTAATGTGAGCCACCGCAGCTAGCCGCATCCACGCCGATAGTCAATGCTGCCTATATCATGATTCTATTATACCCCTTTCGCTGGGGAAATCATCCATCGATGAGAGGCATCAACAAGCCCGCCCTCCCTCGAATGATGTCCGAAGGCTCTCATGGTGCAGTCCTCGAAGTTTCCACGTTGTACGTACATACCTAGGTAGTAATTGTCCGTCTGTTGTAGTGGCAGCTGGGTCTATGCCGGAGAAAGACTAGTCGAGTCGCTTAGGCATCTATCTGTTGCAGCAACACCCCTTTTCCTGCTGCCATCCCATATCAGCTCACGCCACAAGCCCTGACCCGCCAGAAAGGCCCCAAGTCTTTCTGACTTTGTTTCTCGGTGGAACGATGCGGTAGCCAGAAGTACTCGGCACTCCCTGTCATCAAACAGAGAATGGAAGACAAAAAAAAAAAAAAAAAAAGAAGCCCACGCTGCTGTGGACCGGGCAGCGAACAGCCACCCGAAATTTAGCAGCACTACCCTGAATTGACTGGACGAGCGAGCTTCTGCACCCAGTGAGAATCCTCGACTGGACCGGCAAGGGCCTGGGCTGGCATTGGCGGACGGGATGGCGGGGCCAGCGGTGGGTATCGTCGTGGGCTGAGGTGAGGTGTTGACGGGTGATGGGTACTTCACGAAACTCATATTTGGCTGGTGCTTCGAGGTACCAAATTTCAGGTGACCTACCTACCAGCAGCAAACCTGGAAGTAGGTAGGCAAGTACCCTGTACAAAGCGGCAGGTGCTAGCCCAGGTCGGTGTGTGATGCTGCGCGCGCTGCACTTTAGCACTCAATTCTCATTGCCCGCACACTCTGCTGAGGTGTGCTGAGGCGGCAGCCGCTGCGAATCTCTAGCCGCAGAGCACCAGGAGCTGCAGTTTGCGGCTTGCTCCATGATGAAAGTCCCCTCAATCGCCCGCCTTCTTCTCCCTCTTTCCATCTGCTCCCCTCCCCCCCATTCGCAGAACCTCCTTCTCCTCTCCTCCACGTCGTCAAGAAACCTCCTCTCTCTCTCCTCTCCTCAGGTCGTTTTTGTTGCGATTCCTTTCAGGGGGTTCCAGTCCTCGTTTTCCTGCCTGTTTCCTTGGTGCTATCATTTCCTGTCATCTACCTACCTTACATACAACACCACGTACGCTACCGCCACAGCTATAGCTGCCATTACAACGACAGCTACAGCTAAGGTACGGCACCCTGCGCAGTCAAGTACCTTACCTTACTTTGGAGCTTCTCGGCATCTCTCTTATCATTCGCCAACTTCCCCTTGTCTCTCTATCCGCTTAAGCGTCTCTCTTGTCACGTTGGGTCGACGTCCTTTTTCTACCTGGAAATCCGTCCCCACGTCCACAATTTTTCCCAAGACCAAGAGACTCCCGGTTGCTTCCCTCCTCTCAAGTCCAAGTCAAGTCTTAAACTCGTCCGAGCCAGACCGCCAAAGACTCGACTTCGAGGCATCTCCTGAATCTACTACGAGTCTCGACACCAACGACCGCTTCGACAACTTTTCCTAATTGTGCCCGCCGCGCCTCTTTCGCTCCCGCTCTTTTGGCCTCGTTGCTTCGCCTTGCGTTGGGGTTCTAGGGTCACGTCAGACAATCGGGGACACTTCTGTACCATCGTTGCCGCCCCTCCTTACGCCACAACACCAAACTGTCAACAGTCAATCCTGTTACTCAGAGCCAACGTCCCTGCCGCACTGTTGCACCTGTCGAATTGCGCAATACACTAGTTCGGAGCTCTCTGCTGCTAGAGTTGTCCGGATTTTCTCTCTAATATTGCTATCGATCGTCAGCATACGACTTCGACCCCTCGTTGAATCGCTCGAGACCCAACCGTCGCGCGACCTCGTTCTAATACCAATCGAAGAAACAATGGCGGATAACGGTGCTCCCAACCCGGCCCAGCTGCCTCCTCCCCAGCCCAACGCTGGTGCCCCTGGCTATGAAAATGGCCAGAACGGGCAGTCGAATCCGGCTCACATGCCGCCTCCTCCTCTCCACATCCCTCAGAACACCAACCCGATCCCAACCGCGGTGACATCGCCCCTTTCTGGTGTTGACAAGATGATGTCGCCCAGCAGCGCGGGAGGATTCGGACGTCGCGCAGCTCCCGAGCCTAACAAGCGGGCGTTGTATGTTGGAGGCCTGGACCAGCGCGTCACCGAGGATGTCCTGCGTCAAATCTTCGAGACCACTGGCCACGTACAGAACGTCAAGATCATCCCCGACAAGAACGTGCGTATCTCCTCTTCCATGGGTGAACTACGAGCTCGGATGCCGCTGGTTCCGTAGAGGCAGGGTTGAGCCATTCGAGGGCCTCTTCCTCCTCTTTCCACGCTCAAAGATGATTGCTGACTTTTTGGCGCAGGCCAAGGGCTACAACTACGGCTTCGTCGAGTACGATGACCCTGGTGCCGCTGAGCGTGCCATGCAGACCTTGAACGGAAGACGTGTTCACCAATCTGTATGAAACTACCCCGCCATCGCATATCGTATTCTGACCGATGACCAGGAAATCCGAGTCAACTGGGCTTACCAGTCCAACACTTCGACCAAGGAGGACACCTCGAACCACTTCCACATTTTTGTTGGCGACCTTAGCAACGAAGTCAACGACGAGGTTCTCACCCAGGCTTTCTCAGCCTTCGGCTCTGTCTCGGAGGCTCGAGTGATGTGGGATATGAAGACGGGCCGCTCCCGTGGATATGGTTTCGTTGCTTTCCGCGACCGCCCTGAGGCCGAAAAGGCATTGAGCTCCATGGACGGTGAATGGCTCGGCTCGCGCGCCATTCGTTGCAACTGGGCAAACCAGAAGGGTCAGCCCTCCATCGCGCAGCAGCAAGCCATGTCGGCTATGGGCCTGACGCCCACGACGCCGTTCGGCCACCACCAGTTCCCCGCCCACGGTGTCGCCAGTTACGAAGTCGTTTTGGGCCAAACACCGTCGTGGCAGACGACCTGCTACGTCGGCAACTTGACCCCGTACACGACTCCCAACGATGTTGTCCCTCTCTTCCAGAACTTTGGCTACGTCGTCGAGTCTCGATTCCAGGCCGACCGCGGATTTGCTTTCATCAAGATGGATAGCCACGAGAGTGCGGCTATGGCCATCTGCCAGATGAACGGCTATAATGTTAATGGGCGCCCTCTGAAGTGCAGTGTAAGTTTCGATCTGAATCAAAACCAGTTGGAGAAACAGCACTGACATTCCCCGTACGAAGTGGGGCAAGGACAAAACTCCTAACCCTCAGAGCGCCGGCGGCTTTGACCCCTCGCAGCAGGCGTACAGCCCTCAAAGTGCCTCCGGACCGGGCTACCCCGGTACCCCGACGGCTTACTTCCCGCAATACGGAGGTATGTGCTCGGCCACGGACTTTGGCTCGCAGATTCATGGGACTGACACATCTCCTACAGGTCAGTACGGCGGTCAGCACGGCAACTTTGCCGGCCCGACTGCTCAATCCCCGGCCGGTTATGGAGCGCAGCCGATGGGATACGGCGGACCCCAGAGCGCAGGAGGCTACGGACGTGGTCAACAGCCACCCAACGCCCAATGGTCTCAGGGTCCCCAGGGACAGAACTTCAACAACGGCTTCGCCGGTTACCAGGGCTAGATTTCAGTCGGCCTTGCTGGCGATCCGGAGCGTATCGCGTTGCATGTTGGTTGATACGAGCGCATCTCTCTCCCTTTCTCAAGTGTGCGCGCATGCACAGCGTTGCCGGGTTCTCGGGGTACTTTCTGCGGAGTTCTTCATGTTTTTGGTGGCAGAATGGCATGACCGACGCATCTCCCATGTTTTCCAAAAATCATTTCTTGCCATGGCGTCTCTCTATCTCTCTACTTTCATTTGCGATGAGGGACATGTGTGTTGGTTTCTCTTGTGTGAGCACTGGGAGTGCGAAGGGGCTATCATGTGCATTTCTCGGGATGTGTTACGTCTTCTACGTATTTTTTTTCTTCTACGGCCTTAGTGATTCCCACAAGTCACAATATGTCTTCTTCTTTCCTTACGCGGTCGTTTCTCTCAACCTGTCGGGGCAAGAGGCAGACTTTGATATGCGGTTTCCGTTGACATAAAAGTTTGCTGCTTTCTGTTCTCTCATGGATACCTCTTCAGCATGACGGATCTGTTGGATTGACGAGTTTATGACACTACAAAATCTCTCCCTTTTTTTCTATTTGGCTACAGAACATTTCTCATACTCTATGTGTGCGTGATCCCGGGTACTTGGATCAGTCACACACCCGTTTAGATAGGTACGGAGCAGACAACCAGACCGGACAAGAGACGTGGAGGTGGGTTGGAAAGAGGATGGGGGTGGGGATGGTATGTATGGTTGATAAAGTGAAGGACAAAGCGGTCGTTTGGGAGGCAAAGTGATTGAGTGAGAGTGATACGGTGAGTGGACGCTTGAAATGACGAGAAGAGCTTTGAACAAGAACACTTGACTTGATGCCCTGGGAGCTGACGTTGACATGCATGATGGCTCTACGTGATGGCTACCGGGGATTGGTCGAGGCGTTTTCGCGTGACGTCTCGCTTGTTGCTTCTTCGGCGTGGGGGATAAGGTATACTAGGTGCGGTGGCCAGGATGTAATTACTAGGCGATGTGAGATGAGGCGAGGCTGCGAATCTTAACCGGATGAGTTGAACTGCAGGTGGAATCGGGATGCATGCTTTTTGTCATTGGTCGCAGTGATCCGCTGAATCCAATTGGTAAGTGTTGGGCAGCCTGAGCATGTTGATTTCTCGCTCTACCTATCGAACAACCAAGGTACCTGCGCGCTTGCTTAGGTATCCGTAATAATGGAAGCTGTCTTTCACTTGGGATGGTTTCTTACCTAGGCTTTCTCAGCACGCCATAGCCGGTCTCGGGAGCCGCCATCATCATCGAAAGGTCCAGTACAGCGCCTGCCAGCAAGATAGCTCAACCTACCTTACCTAAGGTACCAACATCCAGTACCTACCTTACCTCGTCGGTACCCAAGCATAAGGTAGGTACGGAATACTGACTGTCTTACCAATGTTTGATGGTCAGATTGGATCACTGTGATTCTGTAAAGGTAGCAGGTGCCGTTGTGATTGGGCGGATACGGGATGGACCTCCACTTCTTTGGTGGCACGCGGGTAAAATCACATATGTAACGACTGATGAAGAATTGCTGCGGCCTGCCTTTTTGTGCGTTGGTCGTCCACAATCGAGAATAACAACAGTATTTGTAGGCGCTGCTTTCTATTGCCAACTATTGCCGAGAAACCTACCTACCTTGGGTCCGGCAGAGAAGATTTGACAGAGTAAGTAGGTATGGTACGGACGGATTGGCTTGCTGGACGGGACGGGACTGCAATTGCTGGGAGCGGATATTCGGAACGTTTGGCACGCTGCCCGCCCGGGCTAGGTTGGGCTTAGCTAAACTCGACCCACTAAGGTACCGAATGAAGTGAGAACCTTGGAACACTTTGAAGCTCAGAGCACACACAGCACCAGCACGCAAGGTACGGCTATCAAGTGCACATCAGTCATTGACTGTTTCCATTTGGAGTTCCACTCCGCCTATGCGTCACGGTGTTGGTTGTTGGGTCCACGTCTTCGTCTTCGTCTTCATCTTCGTCGTCGTCGTCGTCGTCGTCGTCGTCGTCGTCGTCGTCGTCGTCGTCGCCGCCGTGGTCATCGTTGTCATTGCCTTCTGCGTTCTGCAGGCGGGGCCTACGGCCTCCACTGCAGCTAAGTTAGTGGTCATTCTTTATCTTTTTGAGGTTCCAACTCTTCCTCTTAAATGGTAATGACATTGGTGTTTAAGCATCTCGTCGTGCTCATACTGGTTGTTATTGCGCTCATCAGTGAAGATAATCGAAATGGATGTGTGAGCTGGAGATGGAACTGGGCGGGAATGGCCCCAGAGCTAGTCCGGTCCATCATGACCACCCGACGGCACCAGCCACCGTGGAAACCCAATCCGAACCTGACGTAAGGCGCCTATCTTACTTGGCCTTGGCCCCCAATTCAAATTGCTCCCCTCTTCATGGATGGTGAAGTGCCTTCAAAGTGTCCTTCAGTGTGTTCTTCCCCCTCGGGCTCACCTCAGTATCTGATAATTACCTGATACCGCATCGACTCTGGCTTACCTAAGGTAGGTAAGTTACCTGGGTTTGGGTTGTTCTGGTCGTCGTTGTTGCTGCTGTTGGGTGAGAGTGAGGCGTCCGCTATGAAACCTAAGAGACGAGCGATTCTCTTCCATTTAGGAGCACACCAAGCGCCAGCCAAACAGGCCAAGGTAACTCTGTTCCAGGGAACCCTTTGGCGCCGGTGTTGGCGGCGGCGGCGGCGGTGGTGGTCGTGGCATTGTCGCGCAGTCCCAGTCGCACCGCAGCACTCGCCGTGTACCATCACCCTGTTATGCTGCCTTGAGATTGCGTTTCGCACTTTGTAATTCATTCTGCGCCTGTTGCCTCTGTTGTCTTGTTCTCCCCACAGCCGGTCATTGTCCACCCTGGCTGCGACTGTATCGCTGCAGCAGCTCTGTTTTGCGCTACCCAGCGTAAAGTACCAAAGAGCACCTTGTGCGTAAATCAAGTCCTCTCTCTCTCTCTCTCTCTCTCTGTACAGATTACGGATACGGATACAGCAAGCCCTCTGTTTGTGTCGGTTGCGATCATCGTGGCCTGCGGGACGCTCGCATCCTACCTATCTCCCGTCCACCACCACCTCCTCTTCCTCCTCCTCCCCCTCCTCCCCCCACCACCATCATACCGTCTACCTTGTCTTCCAGCTTCTTCCGCAATCGCCTTTTACGCCTACCTTGGTAACTCTCTCAATTCCTCAATCACCTTCACGGCCGTCGTCAGTTCACACAGCTTGTCGCGGAATTGCCGCCATGAATTCTTGAGTAAAGCCAGTACGACTAAACTCCGTCTTCAAACTTTGTTCCCACCAAGAAAGTTTGGGCCGTGTCAGCCCAATTTCCCCGATTCCCTCTGCTTGGCACCCTCAAAGTCTCAGTGCTTGCTTGACTGCATCCTCCACGCTCCTTGGTTTGCCTCAGTCTCAGTCACAGCCTGAGCTTGAGCCTGACCACCACAATCGTCGCCGCATCTCACCACTGCGACTATTCCCCCGTACCTACCGTCCACATCACAAACCCCAACACCCGTCCCGTACTGCCCGCACTGCATACCTTGGACGGTCTCTCGGGCACGACGACGACGACGACGGTACCTAAGGTTGTTCCTAAGAGTCGATCCCTACGCACACCTACCTACCTACCTACCTACTACATACCTACCTTACCTTAGGTACCTGCTACTGCACAGCTGCGACCTGCCTCTCAACCTAACCATTCCCAGCCCGGTCCAGCCCAGCTCAGACCAGACCAGACCAGACCAGTCCGGCCCCATTTGTCCGCTTAACGCGTCCAGTCCAGCACAGCGACGACATCAGCTCAAGCGGCCGGTCGTCACCTTTTTTCCCTCCAACATCATCCTCCGCCGCGCATCCGTCTGCCCTTCAATTCAACCGATCCCGAATCGACCGCAACACTCTCCTCCCCCTCCGAGCCAACATCGTTCCCCGCCGCCATGGACTCTCAGTGGCAGCAGGGCTACGCCGACTCGGCCGGTTCTGCGAGGAGATACAATGGCACCAGCGCCCAGATGCCTCGGGGAGATTACAGCGGCCAGCAGGTCGCTCAGGGTCAGCCGCCCGCCGGCTTCAAATACGATCAATACCAGAGCCCTGGCGGCATCTCATCCCACGCCGCCAGCGCCGCCACATCGCCCATGTCCACCCCACAGATGCGCGATGGCAACGGCGACATTCCCATGCACGACGTCCAAGATCCCTACACCGGAATGAAGTATCCCATGAGGCCTCATCACCAGTCTCATCTCTCTGGGAGCCGCTCTTCTGCCCTGTACTCCCCTCAGGAACCGTCCGCTGCTGCTCAACGGTATTCACCCATGGAGGCCCTGTCCCCCACTTCGCCCTACGCGCCCAAGCCCGCCCAGAGCCAGTTCGCGTCCCCTCCAGGACAACGACAGTCGCCGACGAGGCAATCCGACTATCTCCCCCAGAGCCCTCACTACGGCGGACGTCAGCAGGGTCAGCAACTCCCCCCGATCGCCCCCTACGCCTCCGCTCACGACGGCTACCCATCTTCCGTCGTGGCCAACATCGATGGCGCCTTTGTCGCTGATCCGAAATCACCGCGACGCCCCATCCCGCACAGAGGACCTGTCCCCGAATTCAGACCGTGCCGTGCTCCGACCGACCTTCGACCCAAGGTCAGCTCGCAGCCCCCTTTCCGGCGTGCCAACCCGGAAGGTGGTTTTATCAGCGTAAGCACATCTACCCTGCGATTTCTCATATATCGTGCCTTGCTAATCCGCTTCTATCAGCCCCTCCAGGCGCTCACGGTGCACCTCCCTGCGACCTACAGGATATGCAACCCGAACTTCAAATACGAGTCCTCCCGTAACCCTCGCCGGGTTCTGACAAAGCCGAGCAAAGGCGTGAAGAACGACGGATACGACAACGAAGACAGCGACTATATCCTCTATGTGAACGATATTTTGGGCTCAGAAGAAGCCGGCCACAAGTACGTCTGCGTACCCAGCCTTCGAATACGCACACTAATATGTGGCACAGGAATCGATACCTGATTCTTGATGTTTTAGGCCAGGGCACCTTCGGCCAAGTTGTCAAGTGTCAGAACCTCAAGACTCAGGAGGTCGTGGCTGTCAAGGTTATCAAGAACCGGACTGCCTACTTCAACCAGAGCATGATGGAGGTCTCCGTCCTGGATTTGGTAGGCGAACTCCGTCTCGTGTGTGAATCCAGTAATTGATGTGTGTACAGCTCAACACGAAACTCGACAAGAATGATGACCACCATCTGCTGCGACTCAAGGATACTTTCATCCACCGCCAGCATCTCTGCCTGGTGTTCGAGCTCCTGAGCGTCAACTTGTATGAGTTAATTAAGCAAAATCAGTTCCGGGGTTTAAGCACGACTCTAGTACGCGTTTTCGCTCAACAGCTCCTCAACGGCCTGGCTCTCTTGAACAAGGCCAGACTCATCCACTGCGATTTGAAGCCAGAAAACATTCTGCTCAAGAACCTTGAGAGCCCTATTATCAAGATCATCGATTTCGGCTCCGCATGCGACGAGCGACAAACGGTCTACACCTACATCCAGTCGAGGTTCTACAGATCCCCGGAGGTACTACTGGGCCTCCCATACTCGTCTGCTATTGACATGTGGTCGCTCGGCTGCATTGTCGTGGAGCTCTTTCTGGGACTGCCTCTGTTCCCTGGATCTTCCGAGTACAATCAAGTTTCGCGTATCGTGGATATGCTGGGAAACCCGCCCAATTGGATGATTGAAATGGGCAAGCAAGCTGGCGAGTTCTTCGAGAAGAGACAGGACGAGTTTGGCCGACGAACCTACCAGTTGAAGAGCATGGAGCAGTACGCCAGAGAGCACTCGACCAAGGAGCAGCCCAGCAAGAAGTACTTCCAGGCGAATACCCTTCCGGAGATCATCAAGTCCTATCCTATGCCAAGGAAGAACATGAAGCAGAGCGAGATTGACAGAGGTAAGCCAACAAATCCCGCAGGTTTCCGGGACCTGAAGTTGACATGGGGCCAGAAATGAACAACAGGATCGCCTTCATCGATTTCGTGCGGGGTCTGTTGAACATCAACCCTCTCGAGCGATGGTCGCCGCAGCAGGCCAAACTGCACCCTTTTATTACTCAGCAGAAGTTTACCGGGCCGTTTGTACCGCCCATGAACCTCAAATCGAGCTCACTCAATCGATCTCCAGCGCCAGGTACCCAACAGCAGCAACAAGCCGAGGCACTGAGCAAGCAAAGGGCACAAGCCGCTCAAGCACAGGCGAACTCTGCTGCACAAGGTGCTTATGCTTCTATGGCTGCTCAATACCAACAACCAGGACACTCCCAAGGCCCTGCGATGTACGGCAACAACAACATGTACTCTCCCAGCAACGCTCACGCCGCTCAACCACCACCGTACGGAAACCAACAGGGCGCGTATGGGCAAATGGCCATGACTCAGGCTCCGCAACAAATGCCCCCCGGACCGTACGGCAATGTTTCCCAGCAAACTGGCCTCTATCCCCAATCTGGAATGCGACCGCCGCGTCAACGTGCCTCAACCATGGAGCAGCAACAAAGCGGCATTCCCATGGCGATTCAGCGCGTGGCCAGTCATCTCGACCCGAGCCAGCCTATTCGACTACAGCCGAGCCCGGCATACTATCCACCTCCTGCCGATGGAGGCATGGCGGGAATGGACAATACGCCTGGCCGTGCAGGAAGGCGTGGAAGCCGCGCGCAACAAGGTGGGCGGGGCAACCGGGATTTCATCCGTAACCTCGAGGAACGAACGCTGGAGGAGGGTTTCATGGGCAACCAGAACCCGTGGCATTGATTTCTGGGTGAATCTCGGCCATACGATCACCTCGATACTGCGATGGGTTTCGCTGTGGTGCAGTACAGGCCTTGACCCTCGCGAGTCGTCTGCACTGTCGGGGGCGGTTGAGCCAGGACAGCCCTGAGATTGATGCTGCCTAGCCAGATTTGCTGAGCCCTATAGGACAAGTCCTGATCTGCAAGATTGAAGTTGGAGTGATGTAAGATACCCAAAGGCCTCGAGAACCAACTTGCGAGCCGAGACTGTCATAGAAGACTTGTTTGCAAGGTGCTATCGGGAGAATGAGGAGCGGCTTGAAACGGGGGATGGGCGACGAGACACTATCTACGCTACGGAGCTTTGTCGGGGTGATGCATGCGGGAAAACGGAAGGACATCGGCGGCGGATTGGCAAAGGAGGGGGCCGGTCCTAGGTAGGGGCGAGGTGGAGGAGAGGGCCAAACGACCAACAACGACACACGAGACACGTCCTCCACACAACGTTCCTATCACCTACGTACCTGCCATCCTGAAGTTCGCAACAGTTTCGCATACGGCAGGGTGGCCTTGCAGGCCGTTTGACTAATACGGAAGCGATGCCAGTGCCCGCGCGATGGCTCATATGCAATTAACTTGTGTTTCTGTTCAATTCAATATTGGAAGCAAATTTCCCATGTCAGGCCACAGAGGATTTCAGTGAAGGTCAACAGTGGGCGGGCGAGTACAGCCGACGGTGGCAAGCGAGGAAAGCACTCATACCGGTAGGTCCTGAACTAAATCTACGGCGGCGGTAACTTGCCTAAGAGAAGTTCCGACTGGCAGTTGTGGACGTTTTTGAAATACAAAGGCAGGTTTTGGAAGGCTCACTGCTACCTGGATTGATACCTGGTTGATCGCCGCCGGTTCCCTTCGTGTTGCGGCTCTCATTCCTTGTCCTTGACCACTTTTCGTCAACTTCGCCGGCTTCAACACGACCGGTTCACCCTCAACAGCCTGCTACATCACCAGCCTTCCCCTTGGACTCCAGCTAGCATCTATCTAGGACACTTTGAGCCATCGCACGATTACCCTGCTCTTGATATTTACACCAATATGGGCCACCCCCTCTTAGCTCGAAAGGAGCTGGCTGCGAAGCACAATTCGCTAGCCACCACAGGCACTTTCCAAAGCTTAGACTCTTCACACGATCGGCGTTCCTTTCTGTCGAGACTATCCATATTCAGCTGGGGCAAATCGAGGAGCATCAATATCGAGAGAGGTCGGTTTCCTTCTGCAAACAATCGAGACCTCGAGCAATTCGACGGACGTGCCGCCACGGGCAAATCCAATGACGCGATACATCAAGGTATGACTGCCATCGTCGTATTCTGATTCATTTCTGCATACCTGACTAAAGTGTGAAAAGGGCAAAAGAAGATAACCAGACGGCGAAGTCTCGGAGACCTCCTCGGGAAATCACGTTCCCGGGACTTACTTCAAAAGCCCAAGGAGCATCCTGCCAACCAGGTCAGTATCTGACACAGTTCCGCCCATCGTTATTGTCGTCCCTGTCATTCTCGGCGTATTCACTGACAAGACCACAGGTTGAGCACTCGCAGCTAGACCACTTTGTCGTTATCCAACGCTCCGCAAAACCAGAGCCTTTGACCATCGAGCCCTTCAAGCCCTTGGAGGTGGATCTTGCGAGTAGTCTCTCGCAATTGCGTTCAAATGATGCTCTCGAGGAAGCCAAGGTTCGTGCTCATCCGAAGGAACTCGGATCGAACACAGACATTCCGACTGCTCCTTGGGAACAGGTTCCTGTGCAGCCACATCAAAGCCAAGGGCGAATGAGCCCGCGAGACACTCCCATGGTCGTACATCACGCATCAGATGACGACTTTGAGAGACAAAAAGCTCGGCATGATGGCTTCAGGAGAGGTGCCACCTTGGCTCCCATAGGTAGGCAGCCAGCGGACGATCAGATTCCTTCGCAGTGCAGTGAGTCGTCCGCCGTTTCAGAGCTCATAACGATATCTTGCAACAGCACCGAAGAGGACGGCGATGCCAACGATTCCGACGATTTTCAATCGCGAAACCATACCATTCCTATTGCCAGGTCCAATTCGTCAGGCCAATCATCGGCAGCTTCGTGGGAGACATTGGTCCAGGATACCGACGATGCTCATGCTCCCAATTCAACTGACGAGGCTGCCAAGACAGCCAGCACCTCCGAGTACCCTATGATAAAGTACAAGGTTGTATTTCCCACGGTAGAATGCAGATCGCAGACCCGTTTCGCCGAATCGAGGCGAGAGGCCAAGTGGATCATGCGTAATGCCCCAGGTTTCTTTTGCGAAGGTGGGTGGTTCAGCGATTCTGACAACACATTCTATGCCACTCTACCAGACGGTGTTATCGACGTGGAGGGCAACCAAGATCTGCTTCAATGGGTACAACTCGGTGAGGAGGAGACCTCGCCCGCGATTCGATCAAGAGAACCGAGCACCAGCTGTGTCGATGATTCGCAACCGACTCCAACAATGGGGCAAAAAGCCGAAACCAATGACCACACCGCCACGATGGACGGTTGCAAGCAACCCGATAATTCACGAATATGCGGGGAAAATTTGCCTGCTGGCAAGAAGAATGATGCACATAAGTCGGGAGAGGATGTTCCACTTGCACACGATAGCGCGGAAGAGTCCGTCGCGGTGCTTTTGACGGTGTCGCGTTCTTCGATTTCGATTTCTGGGGACTCAATTACCGCAAGGAAGGATTCCTGCGTTCGGGATAAAATCCACACAAAGACAAGGAGATCGACGGGACTCGTTACAGTTCCGAGCTTCCGGGCTTCCAGATCCTCCTCTCGGCCTGTCGTTCTCGACCAACCCTCTAACGGAGCGGCGCACACCAAGTATGAAGAGACGTTTTGCCACGATCAAGGCAAGTTCGTCTCCCAGTCATCACAGTCACCGAACGAATGAGATGAAGGAGTCAAATACCTGGGAGGTTTCCAATCAACGCCTGAGGGGCTGAAGTTTCCTTATGGTACGGATCAGGAGAACGGTACGAGTACGATTTCGGAATACTCAGAACCATACATGCGGAAACTGGAAGAGAGGTTTGAGGCCGCTGCTAAAAAGTACTTCAAGAAAGTTGAAGAACAAGGACGGAGCTGAGTACTCGACGGAATAAGGGAGGTGGACGAGGTCGAAAACGAGAGTGAGCAGTATTATTCATTGTAAGATGACTGTTTGGTAGTGACGAAGGGTCGCAGGTGTAGATGCTACAGTCAGAAACTGCTTTAAAAGTGTTGTACGGCTAGGTAAGATATGTTGTTAGGGAGTGAATAAATTAGGCGTGTCAACAACACCGCAAAGTCAGTGTCCGATGTTCAGCCGTTGAGTGCAAGAGCGTTAATTAAGGCCCGCGCAAGCTAGAGCCACCCTAGCAGTGGAGTGGAGTGGGGCGCATCGCGGTAAGTAAGGTAACTGTAACGAGACAGCTGCCGTCCAATGAAGTGCCTGGGTGAACAGACCCCTGGAATACGCTCCACGACCTTCCGTCCCAGACCAACGCGCCCAAGTCAGCCTCAGCTTGAGTTTGTTTCCCGTATCGTCCAGGGTGTATGCAAGCTTTCCGATTTCAATGCCTGCCTCGCTCGCTCTTGTCAACTTCTCTTGCACCGCGACCGGGAGCGACGACCGACTGCTTGTATTCACGTTTTCAAACCTTTAATCCTCCACTTGCGACAGCATAGACCTTGCCGTCGCCTGTTAAGCTCCCTGCGACCACCAGTTCGCACAGGAGTCCGCGACACGACCCCCGACGACAACCCCGGCTCAGTCCAGCAGAAGGCGCATTCCCAGAAGGTCAAGATGGCCAAGGTCGCGACCGACTTCGAGAAGATCATCAACGAAGGTAGGGTCTATCACGACACGTCACCGTTTCGAATTGGCCACTAACCGGGCATTGTTATTCTTCACGTAGGACGAGAGAAGAAGAAAAACGAGGCTCTCGCGCAGAAGATCTTTTCGAAGGACAGAAGACAGAGCGCCCCTACCAAACTCAGGCCCGGCGCCGGACCATCTCTGGCCAGTAGAGTCGGTGTGAAGAAGGTACGATGAACTTCCGTTTGCCGAACCCTGCCCTGAATGCGCACTTACTGACATCGCTCTGCGGCAGCGCACTGCATCTCTCGGTCCCAAAGCTGTTCCCGCTGGTAACATCGACGGCGACTGGACACACGATCTCCATGGCTCTGTAAACGGTGGAAGAAAGGGCGGAAGGAACGGCGGCGGCGGCGGTCTTGCGGCGCGCATCTCGGCGCCCGGAGGCAAGCCCGCCGCGGCTGCGACAACCAGACGAAGCGACCGACGCACAGAGCAAAGGGCCGCGATAGTGGCCAATGCATTGGAGCGCTCCGACCTGATGGCTGATGTGCAGATGACGAACGTCGCTTCGGTCAGGAAGGGCCTCTCGATCCGCGGTTTGGCAGGACCCTTTCCTATCATGGCGCAGAACTTTGCGCCCGGCACGACGGCCGCCGACATCGAGAGCGCAATGACGCCCGTTGGTGGAGAAATGCTGAGTTGCAGGATTATCAAAACAACGCCGTTGCTTCTGGCGGAGATGGTGTTTGCTACCAAGGAGGGCGCCGACGCTGTTATTTCCACGTTCAACAACCAGACGGTGAGTGCATCCCTCTAAGTGCCTTGCATGAGATTGTGGGCTGACCCCGGGATTTTAGGCCGACGGTCGTGTCATTAAGGTCTACCCCAAGCCTGGTGGCTACAGAGATCCCACTGCGCAGGCGCCTCCGTCGGCACCTCGCAGTCTTCGCTCTACCGCGAGCAATGTCGTTGACGGCTCCAATGGCTTCCCAGAACCAATGGCAGCTGACAACGTCGGTCCCTCCAACGGCCTCTACAGCGATAAGATGGTCGGTAACGGCAATGGCGGTGGCGGCGGTAACCGCAGAGGACGTGGCTGGAACCGCGGCGGACGTCGATGAGGAAACACGGCGGGACTGAATGAAAGTATGGATGCTTGTTTCTGGCGTTGGTAAAGAGCGGGCGGAAGGTCGAATACCAAGGCAACCCATGTATGCGGGTTCCCTTTCACGGCGATCAATTGGGGCTCGTTTTCTCTCGCGGTTCGAGAGTTCAGTATCTTCTTACTCAGAGCATGTGTACTACTAGACAACCCTTTTCATTTCTTGGTACCACGACGCTGCTTTCCCCGTTTTACATGGCCTGGAAAACGGGACACGTTCGGACTTGAACTCTGCAGCGCCGCACGGAACAAGTAGCTTTTGTTCTATGAACACATGGAATGAAGGGGTATATTGTAAAATGTGACAAGGCTATTCGTAACCTCTGCTGTATAATGGTATTGTTTTACATGTTGGTACATTTTGTAAGAGGATTGATCAAGAGACTTGTTGTTGCGGGTCGGTCAGCTCGACCACGAAGCGGTTAATGGTATTCCGCTTCTGCTTGATCTCCTCGAGCAACTCCGGGTCATTATCAAGCATGTTGCCCTTTTCGATCCTGTCAACCGTGGCAATCATATTGCGAGCGAGTTCAAGGAGACTCTTTTCGAAAGCCTTGTGGCGTTTGATCCAATCGGCGGTTGAGGGTTTCGCCTTGGACCTAGACTTGGACATGACCTTCAGGGCCGACCTGGCGTTGAGGAACGGGCTCCATAGCTCGTTTATGGCGGTTGCGAGTTGCTTGCCATAGCCCCTATTTCCGCCGTCTGAGTCCCCCTTCTTGATCATCTGGCGAAAGCTGTGATCCGCGGCCTGAGCCACGCGATGGTAGAGGAGAAGCGCGAGGAGGTCGATTCGTTGACCTCGGCCGGTTTCCTCCTTCAGGGCCTCCATACCCTGCAACATTTTGTGTAGTACGTCGGTGGCCGTTTGGAAGACGGCGGGGTTCATGTTATCACGGAGACATGCCTGCAGCGCTCGGTGAATTAGGGGTGATGTGACATATTTCGCAGGCATTTGCGTTAGTAGATTCTTCGCCCCAGCACTTGCTCCGGCGCGCTCGCGCTGTTTCATGTATGAATTGTAGTTGTCTGCGTCGGGTTTGAGACCGTAATGCTCAGTGAAGAGACGCCAGTACGCGGAGCTGATTTTGTTTTGTTTCCCCGCGCCATGCTCCCGGGCAGCAGTGAGGATGAGAGACAAAGTCTTCTGGCCGGGCACGACGTATGTAGCGTTTTTCGAGTCCGGAACCTTCTTGGGGGACTTGTGACCCGACACGGCAATGTTTTTCATGGTTTCGTCCGGGGATTTCTTGATGCTTTCGACAGTATCAGAGCTGGGTACACCCATCACATCCTCCAACAGCGCGAAGACCTCGGTGTTACCATTGCTGTCTTCGAGCAGCAGAACGCAACCCATGGCGCAGACAAGGTCCTCGTCAAGCTTCAGCTTGCCGTTGCGCCACTCGCGGACAACCTCATCCCAGATGGCCTTGCACTGATCGACCACCTGTTGAATCTCCTTCGCAGCATCTCCGGCCGGCTTCTGCTTGGGAGTCTCAACATCCCATTTCGGCTGGACCTTGAAGCGGAGGCTGTTGATGATGGTTGTGTACGTTCGGGCATCGGCTCTCCGGCCTGCTTTCGCGTCGGCAGTCCCCGCGATGGAGAAGAGGGAGTCGATGTCTCCCGCACGGCCGCACACCTGAAGAACGGCATTCAGGTGGATTCCATTTGCCTTGACACGCTCGTCTTTCAAGAGCGTGTGGTAGAGATTAACCGCTTTCGTAACAGCGGCCTGTGGGTCGAGAGCGTCGACGCAACCGCGGAAGATGATGGTGTAGGTCTGCTCGTTTGGCAGCTGACCTCGCTTCTTCATGTCGTTGAAGAGCTTGATGGCGAGGTTCAGGCGTTTTTGGACGTTCAATACATGGTCGATCAGATGATTCCAGGCTACCACGCACTGATCATTTTTGCTCGCACGCTGCGTAAGAAGGAGGGCCTCTTCGAAACGGTCCTTCTTGAGCGTGGCTTCGACATGCTTCGCAACCTTCCAGCGGTCTTGGAGATACTCGAGGTTTTTGTTGACGGCCCATTCTAGCTTCCTTCTCTTCCTCTCTTCAGCAACTTGTTCGGTCTCGGCGCTTTTGGTATGAGATGCGTCTAGGAGCTTTCCTACGAATTGCTCTTTCGAGACAACGCTGTTGGTTTCCGAAAGAGCATCTTTCTCGAAAGTTGCGCGGAGGCCCGCAACTGTTGAAGGTCTGCGCGGCGCAAATTTTCCAACTCGAGGGGGAAGATACTCTCGACTCTTTTGTCCTACAGTGGTTGCTGGCCTGGAGTTCAGTTAGCGGGGAAGTATGCTTGAGCAAGGGCGTAATACACTTCGACATCTTCTCTTGTGCTGGATATTGAGAATGGGCGCTGAAGGTGGCGTATAGGGAGAGTGGATTGGAGGACACGAGGCGACGTTGGGAGCGAACCTGCACCAATGGCTGGCTTGAATGTCTTCTTCAAGCAAGCGGTCGTGGCCAACATTTTGAGTACTTCGGGTTGAGAGACAGGAAGGAAAGTCCTGCGTGTCCCGTACCGTGAGACAACTTTTCGAAATTTTGCGACGAGGTCGCTGAGAGCTTGTCCTTCTTATCTTATCTTATCTTATCTTATCGCTATGCATTATTTACAGGGTTTGCGGCCGCGGGGCGGAGGGGGGCCTTCGATGCTCCCCATACGCCGTGGCTAGGTTCCCAGGTAAGTACCTAGTGACCAATAGGCCCGGTGCAATTAAGCAGAAAACGCGTCGCAAACACGACGCGACCTCCTTACGCGCTGCCCCTGCTTGCCAAATTATAGTGCACATGAATCTCCCGTTCTAGTTACTTACGTATCTCGCCCGTATTCCACCTTTCGACAATCACGCCGAAACGTCAACAATCTGACCTTCTCCGACGTATTGGCTTTCTCTTTGGTACCATGATCTAAGAATCTTAACGTGCCCTTTTTTTTGCTCCTCTTTCTTCGCCGATACACCTCTCAAACAAACAAACGCAGACTGCCCACCATGCCTAGGGTCGACAGGCGCTCGAAGCTCGCCGAGCTTCGGGCTCTTCGACAGTCCGGCAAGAAGGGTAATTACGCAGTCGAGGAAGTCGACGAGCTCTACGAAGAGGTCGACGAGAACCAATACAAGAAGATCATTCGTGACCGCCTAGACCAAGACGATTTTGTTGTTGACGACAACGGCGAGGGCTACGCCGACGACGGTCGAGAGGAATGGGATCGTGCCCCTCAGTATTACTCAGACAGCGACGATGAGGTCGTGGTGCAAGGGCGAGGTAGGCCGAGCAAAGCATGTAAGCAGATGACGCTGTGGCTCGTGGGAAACGGGACAAACACTGACAGCAAGCAGCAAAGAAGCAACGCGAAGAGGAGGCCGCCAAACAAAACGCCAACGACAGAGATATCAGCGAATACTTTACAAAGGGTGTTGTCAAGACACAGTCAAAGCCCAAGGTCCGTCCTCGAGACCTGGAGAACGAGTCCAGTAGTAACAGTGTAACAGGTTGCCAAGACGCAGGAAGACGAAGACTTCCTTGCCGATTTACTTGGTGAAGTCGACGCGAATGTCCCGGCCCCGGTCTCTCGATCGGGAGGGAAACGCAATAGATCTCCCGAACGACGACGAGCCCGCGTGCTCTCCCCCGCACCAGAGACCAGGCGACACTTGACAAAGAGACCCAAGACAGTTGACGACAGACTCCCTTCTCCTACCGTCGACGATTCAGTCCCCGACGATGGCTACATGCCGCCCATGGGCGATGGCAGGGAGGACAGCCCTGTCTTGGACGTTGCAGACGTTCCGATGTCTGATCCGGCGCCGTCATCACCTGCGGCTAAGGTAGCGCAACGCAAAGCCCAGATCAAGGCAGAGCAAAAGGACGAGGACGATGAGGATATGATGGAGGTTGCACACGCTGGTACCATTGCCGCTGCTAGCATCAATATCGCGGGATCAAGGCCATCCAAAAAGCTGGTCAAGCCTGAGCCGTATCCCTCTCCACTTACTTCGTCTCCTACCAAGGCAGCAGAGCCAGCGGTGGATTCCTCCGCCTGGAACTCCATCACCGACCAGCTAAACCTCGTCAGCAGCTCTCCTGCGGACGCTCGAACCGTCGGCAAGATAGACTATCAGGATGCCATCGAGTCTGACGGCAGTCTCAACATGTTTTGGACAGACTACACCGAGGTCAACGGCAGTCTCTGCCTCTTCGGAAAGGTTTTGAACAAGAAGACGGGGATGTATGTCAGCTGCTTCGTCAAAGTGGATAACATCCTCCGGAAGCTCTACTTCCTGCCGCGCGAAACGAAGATGCAAGATGGAGAAGACACCGAGGAGACAGTCGAGATGATGGACGTTTACTCCGAGATCGATGCCATGATGACCAAGATGAATGTCGGCATGTACAAGATCAAGGCCTGTACCCGAAAGTACGCATTCGAATTGCCTGGAGTACCCAAAGAAGCACAATATCTGAAATGCCTGTACCCTTACACAAGTAGGTCACTGATCTGAAAGATTTGAGGCGGTTGCTAACGCAGAATAGAACCCGTCATTGACGGATCATCCACGGGCCAGACATATTCACGCGTCTTCGGTACGAACACGGCCTTATTCGAGCAGTTTGTTTTGTGGAAAAATATCATGGGCCCCTGCTGGCTGAAGATCACGGACGCCGACTTTGGTGCACTCAAGAATGCCTCCCACTGCAAATTGGAGGTTCTGGTCGAGCACCCGAACATGGTGGCTCCGCTCAGCGACTCTGACAATCTCGATACCCCGCCCCTGACGCTGATGAGCCTCTCATTACGTACCGCCTTTAACGCTAAGGCTAACAAACAAGAGATTCTTGCAATCAGCGCCAGGATTTACGAGAAGCTCAACCTGGCCGACACTACGCCGGCTGAGAAGCTCCCCTGCCGGACGTTCACGCTCATCCGGCCTTACGGCACAGCATTTCCTCTAGGATTTGAGACGATGGCCAAGGATCGGAAGAGGGGTCTTCTGAAAACGTTCCGTCAGGAATCTGAGATTCTCCAGTTCTTCCTTGCCCAGCTCGACGTCGTCGATCCAGATGTCATCATGGGACACCAATTGGAAGGTGTCGATTACAGTGTCTTGCTCAACCGCTTACTCGAGAAGAAGACTCACCAATGGTCCCGCCTCGGTAGACTCAAGCGATCACAATGGCCAGCTTCCATGAACAAGGTCGGTGGCAACGTGTTTGCTGAGAGACAGATCATGTCTGGTCGTCTGCTCTGCGATCTTGCCAACGATGCTGGAAAATCTGCCATGTACAAGTGCCAGTCTTGGAGCTTGACGGAAATGTGTAGTCTCTACCTGCCAGGCAACAATCGCCGACAAGACATCGATAACGAGGCGGCGCTCAAAGGCTGGGCCACTCAAAATAAAGAGGGCATGATGAACTACATTACTCACATGGAAACCGACACGTACTTCATAACTGCACTGGCGTTGCAGGTCCAGCTTTTGCCCCTGACCAAGGTGCTCACCAACCTGGCCGGTAATTCTTGGGCCAGAACTCTCACTGGTACTCGTGCTGAGCGAAATGAGTACATTTTGCTGCACGAATTTCACCGCAATAAGTATATCTGCCCCGACAAGCAGACTTTCAGGGGCAGGATGGCTCAAGAAGAGAATCAAGAGGAGGACGGTGAAGGCAAGAAGAAGGACAAGTACAAGGGAGGTCTTGTCTTCGAGCCCGAAAAGGGCCTGTATGACAAGTTCGTTCTTGTCATGGACTTCAACTCGTTGTACCCGTCCATCATCCAGGAGTTCAACATCTGCTTTACAACTGTGGACAGATCAGCGATGGTGAGTTTGCCGTGTTCCTGTGTATTATCAAAGACTAACCCCGTACTAGAATGAAGATGCGGATGCTGTTCCTGAGGTCCCTAAAGACCAGGATCAAGGTATCTTGCCTAGGCTCATCGCTACTCTTGTCAGCCGAAGAAGGCAGGTCAAGGCTCTCATGAAGGACAAGAACGCGACCACGGATCAGCTTGCGACATGGGATATCAAGCAGCTTGCGCTGAAGCTCACGGCCAACTCCATGTACGGATGCTTGGGCTACACAAAATCCCGTTTCTATGCACGACCTCTCGCTGTCTTGACCACCTACAAAGGTCGCGAGATTCTGCGGAGCACCAAGGAGCTGGCTGAGAGCAAGGCTCTCCAGGTCATTTACGGTGACACCGATTCCGTCATGATCAACGCCAACGTCGAGAACGTTGCAGATGCCTTCAAGGTTGGACAGGAGTTCAAGAAGGCGGTCAATGAGCGGTACAAGCTTCTCGAGATCGACATCGACAACGTCTTCCGCCGGATTCTTCTACAGGCCAAGAAGAAATACGCTGCCATCAACCTGGTGGAAAAAGATGGTAAATTCGTCGAGAAGATGGAGGTCAAGGGACTGGACATGAAACGCCGCGAGTACTGTGGCCTGTCCAAGGAGATCTCCAGCAAGATTCTGAACGAGATTCTGTCTGGCGACGAGTCTGAGGTGTCGATTGCCCGCGTCCACGAGTATCTCAGAGAGATCTCCGCCAAGATGCGCGAGCAGGCCATCCCAGTGCAGAAGTATATTATTTTCACGCAACTCGGCAAGGCTCCAACCGAATACCCCAACGCGGACTCCATGCCTCAGGTTCAGGTTGCGCTCAGGGAGATCGCTCGAGGAAAGACTGTTCGCCGCGGCGATGTCATTTCGTATATTATCACTGGCGACCCTCAGAGCTCCGACCCTGCCCCGAAGAGAGCCTATGCCCCCCCTGATGTCATGAAGGCGGACTCGGGACTCTCCCCTGACGTCGAGTGGTACATTGGCAAGCAGATATTCCCCCCGGTCGAACGTCTCTGCGCCAATATCGTTGGCACCTCAAGCGCTCAACTGGCTGAGTGTCTCGGATTGGACATTCGCAGATACAAGTCCGTCCAGGACAGCCAACAAAATTCCGGCAATGACATGGAGATCCACCCTCTCGAATCACAGATCCCGGATGCTGTGCGCTTTGCCGAATGCACTCGTCTATCCCTCCGCTGCCGCACTTGCAAGGCAACATCCGTGTTCGAGGGCCTCCTGGCGCAGCCAGACCGCGTTTCCGCCTCTGGTGTACTTTGCGGTTCTTGTGGCGCCACTATGTCGACACTGTCCATCGTGGCCCAAGTCGAGCATGCCCTCCGCACTCAGACGGCTCGTTACTATGAGGGCTGGCTTGTGTGTGATGACTCTGCTTGCGGCATGCGCACCCGCCAGATGAACGTCTATGGCACCCGCTGTCTTGGACCTACGGGGTTGGCACGGGACTGCCTTGGCCGTATGCGCTATGAGTACTCCGAGAAGGCCATCTACAACCAGCTGGTGTACTTTGCCAGCTTGTGGGACGTGGACAAGGCGAAGACCAAGGCGTCGGCCGAGACTAACAACGACCTCCCGCGAGAGGATAAGGAGAAGATACTCGCACTGGCTGAGCACAACCGCGTTCGGTTCAGCACGGTCAAGGGCGCAGTGGATAAGTATCTCGACAAATGCGGTAGGCAGTGGGTTGCCATGGACACTCTCTTCGCGAAGCTCGGATTCAACAAACCCTTTCTCGTCGCCGCATAGGCAGTACAAGAGAGGCGATATGCGATGATGACTGGGATGGATCACTTGAGGGCATTGGCTTGGTTGAATGACGATGGGTAGCGGAGTTGGTTGGCTGAAGTTCACTCCGTTTTCAAATATGCACTTTTTTGTTGGTCTTGGCTTCATTTACGGCTCGGCATGAAGGCGTCTGATCTCTTCGATGACCCAAGGCCCGCACAATGGCGCAGGACGCAGCCAGAATCAGAGGAGTTGGCGAGCCGGAGTTTTGGGTCTGAGTTGTGGTAGACTGATTTCGATTTCTCGTATAAGAAGAATAACGTTAATTTCTACCGAGAACTTCCACCTACGTGATTTCCGGGGGGAGGGGGCAACGTAATCGATAACGGAAACCCCGCATCTCATCGTAGTATTCTGGTTTAATCGATCTCCTTCGCGGAATGAGCCAGCCCGACGATTCGTGTCAAACGGCACACATGAGGGGTTTCTGCGAGGGTGCATGCATCAGGGCCGGCAGGGGTGTCGACGAACTCGAGGCTATCCACGAAAAATAAGGGGGGAAACCCCCAATCCACATTCCGCGGACTGACCACGCACTCCCCGGGGTCACACAGGGCTGCAGTTGTCACAATCACTTGGGAGACAGACGTGCAATCAAGCAAAGTTGCGAACTAAGTAATCTCTTTTTGGGCTGTGGTCCACTGGCTGGCTCGTGCCGAATTAAATGTACAAAGTCAGAAGCGTAAGATCCTCCGTCCGGTCGATTACTCCCGCCGTCAACAACGATCCTTCCCAGCGTGTCATGTCCGGAACCCCCGTGGTCGAGCTGCTGTTGGCGACCAGCAGCTTGGATTGCGAGGTATCGACAAGACTCTGGGCTCAACCTCTCTAACCTCTTCATATGTTGGAGAGGTTATTTGGCCAGATCGTTACCCTCCCTTACCGAGGGGACCTCACTTCTCCCCAAAACTGTTTTCCTTTGCTCTTTGTTGCAAAGCTGTTTCGAGTTTCGTTGTGACAAACCAGCCAATAGCCAAGCCAATGCCGAAAAAGAATGGATAAGAAAATGAAAGACGAAATCCTCTTCTGACCAATTCCCGAATCCCCTTTTCGCAGAACAGGAATCACGACCTAGCCGAAGCTCCCCATGTATGCTTTTGAATGTTCCTGTCTCCACCTGAAAGAGCAAGCGTGTGTGCTGGCCTTTGTACGCACACGCGAGCTCTCCATTGTGCTGGATGGACCCTCCAAGGCAGTCTTCTTTCCATCTCTCATGTATCTGGCATTTCCCATCGCCCTTATCCGTTCTCCCAACGTAGCCAGGCATGATAAAAAAGGACCCGTAAAGCGTCGTGAAGTCATATTAGAAAAGAATAAAACACGTGATGAGATTGCATCGAGAGATGCAACCGAGAGGTGGAGAGGGTTGGATGTAACATGAAAAGGACATCCGTAGTCCGAATTTGGGAGAACCCCTCTTCCTTGCGAGAGGTTCTCTCGTTGCGAATCGTCTATGTCGGTATTCTTCTCGAGGTATCATGGTCCGCAGCAAAGATCAGGGTAACTTTTGAAACACACGAACTGTGAAAACCCTCATGTAAATGCACCAAAACAGCCCCCGACCCTGTCTATTTGCTGAAATGCAACGACTCTTTGGAAAAGGAAATGCTCAGATTCTCTCCTTATTTGTCTCCGCTGGCAGCAGAGCTATCAGGGACGGCCTTGGGCAGAGCAGGCGATGCCGCAGTCGAGGGAGGAGAGGCTGGGTTTTCGCTGTCCAAATTGGCGAGTGCGCTAAGAATATGTCAGTCGTTAGGTCCAATAGAGAAACATAAACGAGATCCTTACCTGAAGGCGTTGGTGTGTTGGGTGGTGGGGGGAGTTCCAGTGCGAGAAGAAGCACCAGAGTCCTCGCCGGGGCGACCAAGAGAGCCACCAGGTCCCAGTCTGCGGCCACTGTTGCTGCGGGAAGCAAACATGGAGGTAGGACCGAGAGTGACGTTGCCGCTCGCGGCTCTGCTCGTGGAGCCCTTCAGGCGGCGGAGGTCATCCATGCCGACCTGGTTAGAAGCAGCCTGCATGTAACCGGAGGAGAAGTTGCGGGAGTCGCCGCGACCAAGGTTGGGTCGACCACCAGGACCACCACGTTGGCTACCACTGCGCTGGTTCTCCTGTGCTTTCTGGAGAGCAGCAGCCTCGGCCTGTGTCTTTGTTAGCTCAGGTTGAGTGAACACGGATTCGATTGTCTTACCTCAGCTCGAATCTCCTCAAGCGTCTTGGGACCCTTGTTGGCTTCCTTGGAAGACCATCCAGATCTGCGTAGATCAATTACGTCCATGAGCATGAACTTCATTCTGCTGGCGAGCTCGGGTATATCGGCCATGTGCTGAATGCGGTCGAAGTAGACATTCATCATTTGCTTGCCCTTTTCAGAAGCATCGAGGTTGGCACCGATAGTTTTCAGCAGCTTGGACAGAGACTCTATCTCCGCCTCATCGGGCACTTGCTCGTAGTCGACGAGCTTGCGAACACACTCGTGCATGATACGTTCAGTGAGCATGCCAAGCTTGTACAGCTCGCCGATGAATTGGACGAGACCAAGACCGCGACGCTTGGCGGCGGCAGCAATGTAGTACTCGTCGGAGAGCATAGCAGCCTCCGCCGTCTGCGCGTTGTCCTTCTCGCCCTCCTTATCGGACGTGTTGACCTTCCAGCCACGCTCGAACTCTTCCTGGCAACGGTTGAGGAGGTACTTGCGGAACAGGGCGCCTCCGCTGACGACGACGCCGTTCTTGTCCTTGATACTCTCATCACGGATCTCCGGGCTCATGGTGTCAAGCATACGCTTGCAGAACTTGGCGTACATGGAGGCCCAGTGAGCCTCGTCAGTGGCCTTCTCAAAGGTAAGTTGAATGACTTGGCGGAGCGTACGGCCGTCGGACTCGTCCTTAGATTGGCCGGCGATAGCGAGAATTTGGTCGGCAATCTTGTCGAACTTCTCAGGTGTCATTTTGTTGAGAGCAGCCTTGACCTTGCGCTGGACCATCTGAGGATCCATGTGGTCGGCAGCGGGAGCGGCTGCTGAAGGGTTCTTGCCAACGCTGCTGGGCTTCCAGCCAGAAGCAGAAACCGTGATGGGCTTGAGATCCATACCCTGCGTAAGAGGCATGGTCTTAGCTGCCTGGGCTTCCTTGGCGTTGAAATCATTTCGCCTGCTACCACCACCACCTCTGGCAGAGCGGGTTCTGGGAGAGTTCGGTCCCATGTTGGAAGAGGACGGCGTACGAGCCATCTGTCCCGCAACAGGAAACGCGGGGCGGAAGTTGCCCATGCCACCTCCGCTCATAGCGGCATTAGACATCGCAAAGCGCTCGGCAGAAGTCGTGCCTCGAACGTTAGGGTTCATGGGGCCACCAGTGGCACCAAACTTGCCCATCACGCCGGCAGCAGAGCCGCGTTGAGAGTTTCCACGGCCAGAACCGGCGCGAGGGGTCGAAGCGGATCGAGAGCCGTCGTTATCGCCAATCAAAGACTTGACCTGTTGGTGGAACTCCATGGATGGTTGCTCGGTGAAGACCTTCTGGAACTGAAGCAGGAACTGAGCGTCATACTTGAACGTCTTGCCCTTCTTAGCGACAGCGGCGTTCAAGGCCGGGTTAGGAGAGTGAATGCCAGCGGGGTAGGTGTCTTGGTTAATGACCTGCAGGAAGCGCGCAGACTTGAGTGATTGAAGAGCGGCGCTAGGCTGGGGCGGGTCGACGGGCTTCGTGTTGAGAGGAGCCAGGTTGAGGGGAGACGGCTTGCTTCCACGCTTCTCAGTGGGGGTGGCCTTGGGAGCAGAGGCCTCAGTCGGAGTCGACGCCTTAGACTCGCCAATGCTGAGGTTGGAGAGCTTGTCGGCAACGTCGCCAACCTTTGAGGGCTCACTTTCGGTGGGTGCTCCGGATTTGCTCTTCGCGAGAAGCTCGGCCACAGAAGCACTGCCGCCTTGAGCGCGCTTCCGCTCCTTCTCCTCTTCGAGGCGCTCCATCTCGGCCTCGGCCTCACGAAGCTTGCGATCCTCGTCGGCGGCGTTCAGCTTCTTCTTCTCTTCTTCGGCCTTCTTCGCAGCCTCCTTCTCAAGAGCCTTCTTGGCATTGTACTCGCTTGCCTCCTTCTCGCGACGAGCGTCCTCCTCTTCCATCTCGCGAATCATGCGCTCCACTTCGTCCTCCTCAGGCTCGGCATTGGCGGCAGGCTCGGCAGGCGTCTCAGCAGGCTTATCGGCCTCTGCCTTTGCCTTCGCCTCAGACTCAGCTTTAGCCTTCTCCTCATCTTTTCGCTTGGCCTCGGCGGCTTCTTCCTCGGCCTTGCGAGCCTCTTCCTTGGCCTTCTCGTCAGCCTCAGCCTTGGCCTTGGCCTCGGCCGCCTTCTTCTCTTCCTCGACAGCCTTTGCCTTGGCCTCGGCTTCCTCCTTCGCCTTGTCCTCACCACCCTTGGCCTGCTGGATCTTGGCTCTCAGCTCATCCTGGATCTCGCGAGCAGTCTTGGGTGTGGCTTGACTGTCAGCCCGGGCATGTGATGGTGTTGCTGACTTGGGCGGGGGAGTAGGAGTGGAGGACACAATAGGGGGAGTCTTCGATTGTTGGATGCTGGGAGCAGGAGAAGACGGGGTCTTCATGCTCTTGAAGTCAACAGCCTCACCGGCGGCGTTCTTGATGACGATGGCAGCGCTCTTCTTGGGACGAACGAAGTTGCCGGAAGCCACAACAGGAGTCTTGACCTGTGCATTTTGAGGCTGAGGTGTGCCAGAAGAAACCACTGGAGCCGGGGGCTGACCAGTGCTGGAAGACGGTCGCTCAGAGTGCGAGGATGTGCGCGACATGGCAGTCGGGGCGGGCTGGTGGAAAGGGGAAGGCGCGAAGCCAGGCTGGAAGGGGGGGGCGCCGCCAGGGGGAGAGGGCATGTATCCCATCTGGTTGTAGAAAATGGGTCTGCCGTTATAGTCGTATTGGGTCTGCGGGGGAGGGTAGCCGTACTGTTGCTTTGTGCGTGTTAGCAATCTCTCATAATTACCAGACTCAGGCGAAAGATCAATAGGCGGAGGAGGAGGAGGAGGAGCAAGGAAAGGCCCTTCGCGTATCATCGCAGGTTGCTCGGTGAAGTTGAGTTCACCCTGTTGCTGATGATACTCGTGATAGAAATCAGGGTGTTGCACTGGGTTGCCTGCAGAAAACCGCTCATCATCAGCCATCCAGACGTTCTCGATACGCTGGGTGTTGCGTCGAGGTCTGTTGGCGTCGTAGAACTGAGTATCCTGCGAGGAATCCGTGAAACGCGACTTTTGAGACGACTTGTCCCAATCACGACGAGCATTCTTTCGCTTGTTCTTGAAAGGCGGGCCAAATGGCGCAACAGAAAGATCTTGAAGGAAATGGGGGTGCTGTACTTGTTGAGGTGCCATGTTCGGTGGCGGGTAGTGGTACTGAGGAGGAGTAGCCATGGGCATCTGGTGCATCTGGGCCGTAGGCATGTTCGGCGTTCCAGGCTGGGAATGGGCCAGGGCAGGGCTTCGGGTCGGCGGCTGAGGCGAGTTCGGGTAGGGTTGCATCGGTCTTCCGCCTGGGTGGAAACTCGGCGGCATGCCGCCGCGGCCTCGGCCATTGCCATATTGCTGGTTCGGCGGGAATCCCATGTTGGCGTTGAAAGGAGGTTGGTGCGGGTTGAAGCCGCCGCGGCCACGGCCGCCGCCGCCCTGGTAGCCTTGACGGTTGGGCCCTTGGTTGGGACCAGCGGGTCCACCCACATCACTGTGCTGAGAAACGCCTGATTCCCGTCGAATATGGGAGCCAGGCTGAGCCGGCAGAGCGGCCTGGGACTGAGGAGTGGAGGCTTGTCTCATGTGGCGCTGCAGAGAAAAGTTGTCAGTGAGAGAGTTCCGGGGGCACTTGTCAACATGGAGTAGAAGAGACTTACATCGCCATCGCTTCCGAGACTGCCAAAAGTCATCGCACCAGAGGGAGCCATGCCCGAGGGAGGACGGCCACCGCTGGCTGACGGTTGAGGAATCGGCGAGGGAGAGTGTGCGGGAGACGGCACTCTCTGGCCAGTTCCTGGGATAGGGATGGGAGCAGCCGCGGACTGAGGAGTGCTGTGCGCAACAGCAGGTGAGTTGTATCCGAACTGGATGCCGGGCTTGGAGCCGCCGACAGGGCCGCCGTTGGGAGCGAAGCTGTTGGGGCCGTTGGCGCTCAGAGTGACGGAGCTCTTGCGGCTGTGATCAGCCGCGTTGCCGTTCATGTTGGAAGAGCCGTGAGCGACTGCTGGGGCAGCAGGCACAGCGGGAGTGATGGGGGGACGTCCATTTACTGGTGACGGAGCAGACGGCTTAGCATTTTGCGCAGAGGAGCCACCGACCACCACAGGTGGGTTGGATCCCGTCGCAATCAGCGGCGTGGAGGCTTGCTTCTTGTTCGCACCGGCAGCGGACGCATATGAAGGAGCCGAAGTCGCAGCAGAGGAGTTGGGCGCCGGGTTGGACTGGGGGTTGGCAGTCGAAGTCATATGTGGAATCTCGTCGTTTGAAGTGCGGGGTGAAAGGTGCGTTGATGTGAAGAGGTTTGTTTCCAAGCCGAGAAGTCGTCAATGTTCGGGAGATGATGTAGTTAGTTGCTCAAGACGACGAAGTGGTCGAACTAGCGCAACTGACACGATCGCTCGGATACCGAATCTCAGATTCGACAGAGGGGTGGCTGGTCGCAGAAATTCAAAAGTGAATGACTGTCGTGAAGGAAGTCGATGAATCCTCGCTGGGACGATTCAGGATCGGATCGAGGTAAGGGTCGATTCGGTCTGTTGTCTACGTCGCGAAGGACTGTGTGGTCGTAAATTCCTCGACGGAAGGAACGATATATCGCAAGGCGACTGGGGGAGGGGAGAAAACAAGGTCGTTCAGGCCTTCGCAGCGGTCGGAAAAGAAGCCTGCGAAAGGTTTCTTTACGAACCAACAGGAATTATGAAGAGAGGAGAGTTATCTTCTGGAGGGAAATACAGAAGAAACCGTCGATGAAGAGAGGTCTCTGGGTGAAAAATTATCCACCTGGACCAGTTTCCGTGTTTGTGGTGAGGAAGTTTGAGAAGAGGGATTGACCAAAATTTTTTTGGGCGGGAGACTGTGAGGTAAAGACCCAGGAAAAGTACATTTCGGAGGTACCTTGACCTGCCTGGTCAGAAAGCCCGCGCCCACGCCCACCACGCCCACCACGCCCGCCACAACCACCATTCACTGGATGGGCAGCCCGCATTCACCACGGTGCCTGCCCTGTGTAAAAGAAAAGTGGGTACGGAACACTGTGGCCCCTCCAATGGGCGGCGTAGGTAGGTAGGTACCTAGGTAGCCACGAAGCCATTCACTGGCTGAATCATTCAGGTGCCGTACCTACTTATGAACACCACGACCGTACCTACACAGGTACCTAGACGACGGGACGTCGTGGTGGACCCTACCTACCCCAGGGCCCCAGCCGTCCGTTCAACGGACCTAGCGACAGTGCGTCAACAACCATATCGCTCGCTTATCAACACGGTATCAGACCCGCTATTCCCGCGCACAAATGACAGTGTGAGCTTAGGTAGAATTTGATCAATTAATTGCCACATACTCAGGCCAGGCACGTTACCTTAGGTAAGCTACCTTAGGTAAGGTAAGGAGATATCTGGAGATGGGCGCTGGTCGGGACAGTAACCACGTTGATAGGACCCGAGGGCTTTCGTTCGCAACCTACCTCACCTAAGGTACCTTATAGGTAGGTAGGCAGAAGAAGAAAAAGAAGCAGAGACTGCAGCGGCCGCGAGCAACGAGCAACAGCAAAGCCAGACGACTGCCAGACTTGCCTATTGACTTACCTAGGTAGGTAATTAATCAATCATCTTGCGTCCAGAGCCCGTGGGAATAAGCCACACATAAATCAGACCGCACCCTGGAAGCCCGACATGATTCTTCAGGTTGGAACGAGTGTTTTGAACGCCCAAGGGAAGAATACAACAACCTGGAAGGCTACCTACCTAGGTAGGCGGTACAGGGCTACAGAGAAGGGCTCCATCCCTACCTACCTAAGGTGCCTAGGTACCTTATTCCAATCATTGTTGACGACCTGGAGGCATTGGTGCCAGGCTGCTTCGAGGCAGCAAGCTCACACGTTGACTGGGGCCCGTCGGTGGTGAACAGTAGGGTAGGTACGCAATGATGCTCCAATGCAATGGGTGCCGGCCAGATTACTTGCATGCTCTTCCCCGAATTCTGGTTCTACCTACCTACCTTAGGTACCTAAGGTAGGTACGGTAGGTAGGTACGCGTAAGGTACCTACGCCCATGGAAGGCTTGGAGTAAACCCGATGGGGATAGGGCACGAACCACCCTGAGCAACACCTCGTTCTCAGAAACCCCGGATAGAGCACGGCAAAGCATCCAGCGATGAACTAAGGTAGGTAGAGGTCAACGCAGCAACGGTAGCGGCTGTGCTTTGGAGGCAAGGAGGGCTGAGTGGGATACAGCGTTATGGACGACGGAACCCTTCCATGTTGTTGCCGCCGTCCGGACAGGAGGCATGTGCAGGACCCTTCAATTCTTGGGGAACCTGAATGGCCAGAAGGGAGGGAAAAAAAAGTTTTCCATGAGGTGTTGGTGGGTGTATCCGTACAGAGCAGATTTGCATCTGATGCACTTTCCGTGGTTGGTGGATGTCAATGGAAGACTGCACCGGTCATGAAACTCCGGCATTCGGTGCCTAGGTGCCTTTCCTACCTTCCATGCCTACCTAAACTACGACACTTCTTCTTGCATATGTTACCCAGGTACGGTTAAGGTTCCTCGGTAGGTCGGTAAGCCTGTGTGAATGTGCGATTGAGAATTTCGATTTCAACCGGTGGGTCGTCTACGTCTACACTACCTACCTACCTACCTTACCTGACGCCGTCTGAGGTAAGGTATTCGTACGCTTCCATCGGATCTCCCATCCCAAGTCCAACTGCCAAGGTTGGTAAACTGCTGGAGGACAGCAGCGGCCAGATTTCCCACCTGCACCTTCTCACGACCCGTTTCGTGCCCTAAAGTACCCTACCCAAGGCAACGCATGTCTAGACTTCCGGTCTTCAAGCCGAATGTGCAAACCTCACTACACAGCAGCAGGAGTGCATGTCCACGACCTTCAACAACTTTCTGCAGGGCAACCCGAGGTACAGCGCCACTGACTGCATCATGCTCTAGAAGGTAAGAGCAGAGAACTCCTCGAACGAACAAAACGCTACCTTTGGGGGGGGAGTTGATTGGATCTGGAGGTTAGGTTGGTTTCAAACACTGACCTTGGCCATCACAAGGAGCAACAGCAGAGACGAGCAGGGCTGGACAGGGCACCCCAAACATGCCTCCCCTGCCCGAGCTCGCACCCCTGCAAATGTCCGGCTTAAGAGACACGCTGACACGTGCGTTTTGCCATGATTATTTTTATTTGCCTCCAGCTACACAACATCTGTCCGAACAGTTCAATATTCTCAAAAGCTACCTCCACTGTCAGTCTGTCGTTTGTCCCTCTAATAATGGCAATATCCATAAATGCCTCGCGTACAAAAAACAATAATTACTTTTCTACCAGCCGTTTGCCTATGTCATCGCCCAACTCTCCTCGTGTTTGCTCTTTAGCTAACTGCTGGAGTCTTTGGCTGACTGCTCGTAAGCTGGTCCTTGTTTCTATTCGTCCAAGGAAAAGAAGAACACAAACCGTTGCTCAACCCGACCCTTCCCTCAGGAGAAAAGACCAAGTTTGCCCATGTTCAAAAAATACCATAAGTCATTGCCGGCTAGCTAAGGTACTCTATAGTCTCCATCACCAGTCAAAGTGCTTCATTAACCATCAACCGACCAACCGACCGACAGACTGACTAACCTTTGCCAATGAATGTCCACCGGTACCCCGAAGTGTCAGAACCGTCACCCAAATGCTCATAGTGAGCTCACCTGCTTCGGTGACTGCAACTGTTGCTCATTCCACGTAAGGTGACATGTGGTCTCTGAAAGCTATTGGTCTGATCATATCAGATCCGATTCCCTTTACATGACCATCCATCGGCTTCACTCCACCGTCCCATCTGAGGTGCGCCGTCAACCTTTTTGACCAGTGCGGGAGCCCCAAAGTGCCAGAAAGAATTGCCCACGCGGATCGGCGTCTTTTTCCCATCAATCACCCACCGTTCTGGTCGACACGACGGGATGGGCGAATCGTAGAAGAGGGAGGCAGCTAAAGGAGATGAGATGGGATTTCCGAAACGCGTGCATATGAGCGCCCTGCGATGTGGCTGACAGGCCGCTTAATCCGTATTTTCCCCTTGTTGCGTGAGATCTGCGATGCGCCACCTGGTTCATCGCAAGGTACGAGCCCCTGGCAAATGACACTCTGCAGAATCAAGCTAACAGTAAGGATACTCTGAACTCAATGCCGGGGGACATGATCTTCACAACCGGAGTCGGATAAAAGAGCCCACAGGATAGAGGGTCCAGAATAGCCGGTTAATAAGATCAGGTCACAACGCGCAGAGTGGTTCCGTATTATTGATAACGCATCATTCCGTTGATTGATTGATTGCAAGGCACGTCCGCGACGCGGCAAGGGCGTGGTGTCGAATCGAGTCGCGTAACGCCCCCCGTTTTAGCTCTTCACGTCTTGCTGACTATAGTACAGAGTACCTTACCTTAGGTAACCAGTCGTTGTTCATGCTAAATACCTCTAGACTCTGATTCCTTGAGCATATGAGGCCATCCGACAGTTTTTTTCGGCTCCTCTAGGCGTCCAACCATTGAATACCTTACGCATGAAGTTGAGGAGGGAGGCTCTTTGGTCGCAAAGCGTGCGTGTTAGACGCGTTGACATGCGCCCCCTTAAACAGCAACACATACGCAGAGACAGCCAACGCTACCTTCGGGCAGTATCGCAGGCAAGAATAAATGCAAGAATAAAAAGATGTAACAGGGGGTTATCAGCCGTCGCACCCGGCATCAGCTGATTACGAAAAGTAAGATGAACGTGAGCAAGGCGAGGTTAGATGGCAGAAACGAAGCAGTCGGCGAGCCAATGACAACGCTCGTAAACCTATCCCGAAATTCCATTCCAAGAGGGAGATAGCGTCAACACTAACGGACGGGAACACTATTTTAGACGTGGTGAGTTTTCTTGCTGCGGTCTGGTCCAAAGAGTCTGCCGCTCCATGTTTGGGGCGAGTCATCTCTTTTGCTCTCTATGGGATGAGAACTAATCCCATTGTCGAGACGTCATCTTTTCTCCCTCTTCCGGTGTTAGTACCCTTCGAATTGCCACGCACTATTTGTCTGATCTCTCTCTCGTCCCCCCCCCCGGTACTCTTCTATCCTGCCTTACCAGCTGCCAAGAAACAGCCTCTCAGCGAGCGTCTTTCATGACACCATTACACGCATGCTTTTACAAGCTGAGCCTTACGAGGTGACTCATTCAGTCAGAACCCATCGTTCCAGAACAAGACAGACGCTATCATTATCATCTTAAAAATAAATAAAAATAAAAATAAAGGAAGGAGGCAAGTAAAAGAAAAGAGGGGGTGTCTGACGGTGGCCCAGGGGTAATTTGATTGATGGACCATAAGCTACTTATCCCTATTCGTACACTACCTTAGGTACGACAAGGCTACGACAAGCCATCCCGCCAACGGCCCTGCGCATTCCATCCGTCATTAGGAAGTACAAGATAGTAGAAACTAAACGCACACAAGGCACTATGGGCAGGATGTGCGGCAGTAATCCTCCGGTATGGACTAGTCCGAAGTTTACCACAGCTTTAGCCCTTGTTTCTCATTGTTCCTGCTGCTAGTTGTGCCTTCTGATACATGCATGTCGCCCGTCCCTTTTCCTGGTTCTGGTAGAGGAACCCAACACTTAACCCGTCGTCCCATCAACATTGCGCATTTCCCCACCTCTTCTAGAAGACGCCGTCAGTGTTGAGTTTTATGTGGTGCCCGAATTCCTAGAGACATTGTCACTGTTGCAGCTTAAGAGTTCATCACGAACAGCTTTGATGCTGGTTGATGTCGTCTTGAATCTCTTTTATTGGCCCAGTTGTAAGTCCACGGCCAACACCTTCCCCCCGATGTCAGTCATCGCATGTCCTTAGAACTCAAAAACACAAAGTGAGTCAAGCCGCATCGTTATTGCAAGGGCCTATTCCACGTCAACTCTCATTTATCGAGACGCGTGCATCTTATCGGCAAGGGATGTGCTTCTCCAACATTCACCCGAGATGTCCCGCCGCGTCCCTGTCACGCCTCGGAATTTGCTGGGGCTTCCTCCGGCCCCACGTCGTCATCCTCATCTGCAACCTCTTCCACGTCGTCAAAGGGCGTGTCCTGGATGTCCATCTCGGCCTCGCCCGGAATCGCGCCCTCTGCCTGCATTTGATTGACCTTGGTGTTGGTCATCTCGTACACGTACTGGCCAAGGTGCTCCACGCCCTCCATGCAGACCTCCCCGGGCACTTCGGCCCTGTCGGCTCCAGCGAGCTGTCTCTCTGCCGGCCACATCTCGCCGGTAACGAGCATCAGCTTGTCCGGTCGAGCCAACAGCTGTTCGAAGGCCTGCCGAAGCTCGTAGCATGCCTCAAAGATCTCGCGGCGTCCGAGAATGTACAAGCCCAGGCGGGCACGCGACAGCGCGACGGTCATACGTCGAATGTCTCTGAGATATCCAACTCTTGATGTGCGAGTCAACGACAAAATGATGTCTAGGGTCAAGTCAGTTCCATTCTGGGCTATTTCGAGTGCTTTTTACTCACAGTCGTTCTGCTCGCCCTGGTATTTGTCCACGGTCGTCACAACCCTGGGCATACCAAAAACGGCCTTGTTGGCACACCTGTGAGCTAAAACATCCTTCAACAGGGCTCGCTGTCCAGCATACGTTGTGAGAATGCTGATCTTGGAGGCCGGGTAGCCAAGTAGACGCATGTATTGATATACAGCCACCGCATACTCCGCTTCCCCGAGGTTCTGTACAAAATGGGGAGTCGGCTCCGTCTCACCGCGACCCTTGTAGTCGGGGACGTTGATGAACTGGTAGTCGTACTTGAACCCGGCGTTCGCCGCGAGGTATTCGCCCTCGCTCTCCACGTGCGGCAAGTTGCTTAGCTTGGGATACCGCCACTGGTAAAGGCTAGCAATGGAAGGACGAGCTCTTCCTTGCTGGTCAAGATTGATTGTAGGAACTCCAAGTCGAACGAGCCGTGAGAAGAGCGATTGTTCCAGGTTTGCGTAGTGACGGAACGCTAGGCTTTGGATGACTGGAGAATTCTGGAAGTGATCACCGCAAAGAACAACTCTTTGCAGCGCCATCTGTCCGTGCTGGGGCTTCTGCATAGCTAGGGGAATAAAGTTCTCGATCTCCGTGATTTGCGCAGCTTCCTCCATGACTACATTGTCATAGTGAAATCCGAGGGAGGCAATCTCGCCTCTCCTCATGGCCGCGTGTGTCGAAGTCATGGCAATGATTCGTGCCTCGTTGGTGAGGAGGTAGTTTGTCTTGTCCCTTTCTCGGCGCAAAATCTCAAACGGCATCGCGTCGGCCAGTTCGGAGAAAATCTTCTGGATGTGTCGATAACACCCGCTTGCAACATCGAGGATAGTCTCTCGGTCTGCTTCGGGGGCGAAAACAGGTTGAGGTGCGTTTGAGAAGAAGCCGTGGAACGGGAACGCCATGATAATGTCAGCGGTGCTAGCTTCTTCGCGCTTCGCGACATCTGTAAATTTCGCCCATGCTGGTTCGACATAGACTGAATTGAAGTAGCCGGCGGTTTCGGCAGAGTTGCCGTGGGCGCCTGGCGCTCCGAGACTGACGGCCAGGCGATTGACCTCCTGTAGATACCGGTCCCGGTTCTCCAAGAATGATTCTACGCGACCGTGTTTGCTGAAGTTGCCTTCTGTGTAGAGTTCTTCTTCTCCGTGGCCGAGACGTAGAAGATGACGCTCATCAATATCCAAAGCAACGATCTTTGCAAACAACTGATTCAGGGCTTGGTTGCTATGAGCAATCAACAGTGTCTTTTGTTCCGGGAAGTTGTGGTAAATGTTGTTGATGATTTGTGTTGCGACATCGGTTTTTCCCGTGCCAGGTGGTCCGACAATGACTGTAAGTCCGGGTTGCGTTCCAGAAGTAATCGCCTCGACTTGCGCCGGAGTGAATCGTACTGTGTTCAGTTTCGGTGCGTCGACCGGATACGGGCCCATGTTTGGCGGCTTATAGGTGGACACTTTGACAGTTTCAACCTCTGCTAGCAGAGCAGGCTCAATATCACGACGGCGCTTCTTCGAGGGCTTTGAAGGCGGCTCGACAACCTGCTTTTCGGCCGTCTCCAGCACATATGGTGGTCCGAAGCTGCCAGTGACATCATCGCTAGGCTCAACGATCTTTCCAGGCAAGCTTCCCGTAAGATGTTGCCAGTCCAAGAACGTGTCGCGATAGTCGATTGTTCTGATCCGGTTCGGCAGCTGCTTGTAAGTTGCACCGGCCGGGTCACCGTACCCGAGGAAAACCTCATGAAACCAAGAGGCAATAGGGACTTCGGAAAGCGTCAAACTGCGGATGGATTCCAAGACAGGCTTGAAGTTGTTTTCTCTTCCGCTACGACGCATCACGACGTTAATCTTCTCATATGCCTCAGGGGGGTTCGTCGAAGATCGCTCGGCATCCAATGCGTATGTCCTTGAATCCAGCCTCAGCTGCAATCTCCGGCGGTTATCGTAATGACCAACACCGTCGCGCACGACCTTGCCCTTATCGTCTGTGATCTGAATAATTTCAGCGGAACGAATGGAGACAATCCCGAGCTTTTCAGCCTCGGAAGCGTCTCCATTGGCGATGCTGTTAGGGGGAGGCGCCTGGATGGCAAGCAGAAAGACAACATCGTCAGGTCTCAGTGAATCCCATTCGCGTCTGATACCGTCGTTCAAGCGGCGGACGTCGATGGAGATCTCTGCCCGCACAAGTGAAGGCTTGTCGTCACCTACAAGCGCCGGGACAACCTCGAGAATCCTGCATCTGTTAGGATATCGTTTCATCAATGGGAGTCTGGTCATCAACGCACGAGGGTTTTGTTGTTGGCAGTGCCATCTTGGAGAATCCTTGGAAACTCGTCTCCCCTGGCCTCCGGCTTTCAGGGCGGAGACGACGAATAGCTGACTCCACATCTTTCCTGATGCCGTAGAAAGATTCAGCGCGGTACAAAATTAATGACCTCCATAGGAAGTCGCCAACAGACAAATACTGCAGGTTCAACTTTGGCAACGCCAGTGGCCGGGATCCGTCGTAGGTGTCAGTCCTCATGATGTTGTTCTCAAACATAGACTGCTCAGTGGGCACGAGACTCATGCCGCGAGCCACTTCTTCGAAAGTTTTGCGCTTTTCAAAAGTTGTAAGAATCACCTCAGTAAGGAACTTTCGATCGATGTTCACGCCCAACGATTCAGGGTAGGCGGTCCGGAGACGAAGCAGTCGTGCCAACTCGACCACCTCATCATCCGTGAGCGGCTCCAGCAGACCCAAGAGCTCGTCTCTCTTGTCAATGGAGCCATAGTTGGATAAGGCCAACACGGTGAGCTTCTCTTTGAAGTACTTCAGCGACACCTTCTGTAGCCGCGACAAATTCGCGCAGTGTTTGTCGTAAGCTTCGGTCCGACTGAGCTGTGCGCCCGTCTGGTCGTCAATCGTGAAATAAGTGTAGTGGCGGAGAAGCGTATGAAGGTCTCGTAAAAGACTGTTGTCTTCATCGTTGAACATTGGAGATAGCCGCATGGCAGACAGCACATGCAGATCGAGCAAAAGAGAGTTGACGTAGCGTCGAGTCGGAAGCTGGCTCTGAAGGTCCGTCAGGAATTCAACGAGACGTTCGCAGTATAATATTTGATCTGGATCTGTGTCAGCGACGACGTACATCACTTCGATGCGGGAACGATCTCCCTACCTGGCTTCGCATTTTCCGTGTAAATCAAACTCAGAAAATGCAAGACCATTGTGTATAGCCACGACCTGTCAAATCGCAGCTTCGCCTTCGTGGCATCATCAGCGGTATCATATCTCTTTCCTGCCGCCCTCCATGCCTTTCGCACATGAGCTTTTTGATCAAGCTTCTCCTCGCGCAGCTCCTCCGTCGACAGACTATGCCAAATGGAGATGGAAACCAAGGGCGCGCATTCCTTTCTCACGACAGCACAATCCAAGCTTTGGAAAGCCGATATCAAGAACGACAGCAGATGTGTCTTGATGGTAGGCGAAAGCGTCTGGTCCAGGGTCATCGACAAGATCCGTCTGAACAAGCTCGAGAAATCGTCCGCTTTGTCTTCGAATATACTCCAGGCCTCAAGCTGTTCGCGGCGCTTCACGTTGATGAGAAGAACGATAAGTAGAACATGATGGTTAGAAGAATCGTCCGTATATCCGGGCCATAGCCAGCTGGAGGAGACACCAATGTCAGTCAAGCTCTGAAGTACCCAGATAAGGCGGCGTACCTCTCCAGTGTCTGCAAGCTTTCCAATGTCAGGATGGACTTGTAAGGAAAGCCATCGTGCTCCAAAACATCCCAAATCTCTTGCTTGAGGACATCATTCTTGACCTTGACCTTCACCGGCTTCTTGTTGGATTTGAGCCAATGCTTTTTAGCGATCTGAGCGAAAGCGCTCTCCCCCTCAATATCTGCGACGGTCGGTCGTTCGCCGGTGGTCTTTGTTTTGGATCGAGTCGACGGCGCAGCTTGAGCCTCGCCGCTCTTCTTTTGACGCTTGGCCGTAGGCATACTTGGCGATGTTGATCAGAACAGTTCTTGCGCCAGTGTTCGCGATCGCATGCCGAATCGGGGAGGGAACGGCTCAGATGTCGAATCGGTGTGGGAAATGCGATGCGCGGGGGCGCAACTGTTGACAATGCCGAGACACTGAGCTCGGGAGCTCCAAAAATTTCAGCCTTGCGTTGCCAACTTTCCAGGTCCTTCCCGTTCCGGGTTACGCGACGCGGTCTGTAGGTTTGCACCTAGGTACCTACCTAGGTACGTAGCGATCGAATTTTAGCCGCCGGCAAGGTACCAGGTAAGGTGGTACTCAGTAATTTTTGGTAGGCACCTAAGTACCTAGGGACCACTTATTAGCCGTTTAGCGCGTGAGTTCCTTCCCATGCACCGATCACCTACAATCCCGAACTACGTAGGCTGATTTCTTCCAGTGTCCAGCCTCGCGCATCACCACAACCGTTCTCGGCCACCGCGAACCCAACAAGGCCCAGATTCGCTGCGGTACACCGTTTCCTTGCGCATGAGCCTCACGAAATTTCCAACTTCCTTGTCTGGTCGTAACCACAAAGCATCTGGAGATGCCGGCCGCCACCATGTCGCAGCGTCACGAGGTGCCGGGTGTGGTTTCGTTCGCAAAACTACTTGAAGGTCTCTTATCTCGCTCCATGGCAGTAAAATCCACGCCAACGATCGAGCCCGCTCTTCACAAAGCGGATTTTGGCGACCTCGACGATCAGCTTGCCCGCGTCCTTGCAACATCGACGACGACAGAACAAGAAGATGGAGCTACTGCTTCACAAAGAAAGGCGCAACAGTTCGCGGTTATCGAGACGGCTGTGCGAGATATGTTCAGCAATCTAATCGTACGTCCAACCTATGGATTATATCGGATCCGGACTAATAAGAAATCCGCACCGGCAGGCCACAACACCGATCGAATCCCCAGATTTTGTCAACGTCTGGAACCTGTTCGACCTACTCACGATCTTGTCCGACGATGAAAAGTGCGACCCTGCCTTGCTGTTCTGGCTGGTAGAAGAGCTTTTGGACAGTCAAACGATTGCCGGATGTCGCAAGATATTCGACTTCCTTGAGTCGAGGCGAGAAAGGATCACTGTGAAGCACTTCAAGCAAAAGCAGCTGGTCATTCTGCGCAGCTGTAATGAGCTGCTGCGCCGTCTTTCTCGCGCCGAAGATACCGCCTTTTGCGGCCGAGTTTTTATTTTCATGTTCCAGAGCTTCCCCTTGGGCGACAAAAGCTCCGTGAACCTGCGAGGAGAATACCATGTTGAGAATGTTACCGTGTATGATGATCTCAGCACCAGAAAGGAGGATGCCCCTGAAGACATGGAGTTGGACAAGTCAAACGGAGTTGCGGATGCGGATCCCAAATCCCAGTCAAAGGCTGTGTCATTCGATGCGAAGAAGGCAGCCCAGGCCGATCAACCACTCGAGCCCGACGTGCTGTATCCTGTCTTTTGGTCCCTCCAAGAAACATTCAGTCAGCCCAAGAAGCTGTTCGAAACAGAGAATTTGGCCGGTTTCAAGCGCGGACTGGAAGCCACCATGACGGCCTTCCGAGCGATCCAGAACGAGCAGGGCCAACGACCACCTAAGGCTGTAGATGAGGCACAGCGAAGCTTGAAGCGCAAAAGAGAAGACCTGGAAGAGGGCGACTTGGCAAACTCATACAACCCAAAGTATCTCACAAGTCGAGATCTTTTCGAGCTGGAGGCATGTTGCAAATCGATTTCAAAACAAAATCCACGCTAACTCTGTCAGATGAGCGATATATCGTTCCGGCGGCACATTCTCGTCCAAGCCTTGATTATCATGGACTTTCTCCTGTCCTTGTCCAGTAAAGTGAAGGAGAAGCTGGCTGGTAATGCTCAGAATAAGTCTGTTATCTACGTCGGTCAGGTGCTCAGCGACGAAGATGTGAGAGCCCTTCCTGCAGCGTCACAGATTTAATACCCAATACTGACACACAACAGACCAAATGGGCAACAGAGATGAAGAAAACAATCGTCGAGAAATACCTCAAACACGGTGCTGATGGGCCTTATTTCAGTCGAGTGGTCGAGACTGTTCTCGCTCGGGACAAAAACTGGATCCGATGGAAGTCTGAAAATTGCCCCTCTATCGAGCTACCGCCTGTATCTCCCGAAGCTTTTATCGAGGCGAAGACCACCGCTCAACGCACAACGATGAAGAAGCGTCTGAGAGCCATGCCCATGGGCTCTTTATCTCTCGGATTCTTGGGAGACGGTGATGGGGAGGCCGCGATGCAGAAACTCAAGGCCGAAGATAGATATAGCTTGCCCGAGTTGGAGAGCTTCAAGAGGAAGATTGCGGACGACGACTTCGAGATCGAAATGCCCACGAATAGTCAAACAAAGGCTGCTGCCGTCGAGAGCAAGGCCAGCAAGAGCTGGCGAGCGCTCAGAATAGCAAGCAAGACGAGGCTGGCTTTGTTTGACAACATCGATGATCCAGACAAGATCGATGCGGTTTTTGAGGAGCCGGTCGATGCAGATGAGGAGCCGGTCGTAGAAGAAGCCGTGGACAGCAAGAACGTCCCCGAAGACAGACGTCCCATCATTATCTCAGGGCCAACGGGTGCTGGCAAAGCGACAATTTTCGGCCTTCTTGCCGAGCGACGGCCTGGGGCGTTTAAGCGAGTTCTCCGACATACCACCAGGAAACCTAGGGATGGAGAGGTCGAAGGCCGGGACTTCTATTTCGTGGAACCGCAAACCTTCAATATGCTCAGAGATGGCGATGCGTTATTGGAATTCACAACCATCGATGACGTAGACTACGGTACGAGTCGAAAGATGACGGAAGCTGTGTCTGAAGGAGGAAAGGTCCCAGTGATGTATATGGACAGCGAGGTAAGGCCACCCAAGATCACATCGTGGTCCTTCTCTAACCTGATATAGGCTGTTCAGCAAGTTCGGGACCTTGGCTTTTCAGCGCGTTTCGTTCTGGTGCTACCTCCCAGCCAGGAGGTACTAGAGGAGCGCTTGAAGAAATCCGGGAAGAGCGAAGACGTTGTGCGAGACATTCTCGCCAAGGCCGTTCCATACCTGGAAGCAGAGTCGAGCGTGAAGGAGGGCTTCGATCTAGTTGTGACTAACGAAGATCGTGAGATCGCCTTCAAGAGCTTGGAGGCCCATCTGTATCAAACTGCAGATGAAGAGAAGCTCGCAAATGGACAGACTGACGGCGGCGAGGTGTCGATGGCTGAGACGGATGCCGACGCGACGATGACCGACGCTCCAGCAGAAGCACCGCCCGCTGAAGGGACCCAACAACGCAAGGAAGCCGAGGTGACGGGAACGGGGGAGAAGGGACAAATCGATGAGGTCAAGGGGGCGACGTCATAGACGGTGCCAGCCTCCAAGCCATCACTCAGCCCGATGTCGGGGGCTGCATACGATGGTCGAGATAGATGTTTTGATACCCAAAATTCTTATTGTCCTGCTTTTGAGACATGCTCAGAAACATGCCCGAAGACATTCCAATCACATCTGCAAGCCGTTGCGGGTTACCGCGCAAGATACTGTGAAACGCGTTGACTTGTTCTTGTTTTAGAGATTATGCAATGCCGCCCAGAATGATGTTGATAATTGGTCGTCGTGAGTCGCGAAAGAGCGGGTAGTTGTCCGTCATCAAGAAAAAGGGAGCACAGAAACTGAATTACCACAGCTGTCTAGAAGAGATGATTGTGGATAATGACGACTTTGGTATGGGCGCGAATGCGCTCTCCTGCGTCCCCAGAAGCCGCTCTACGGTCCTTGAGTAACGGAAAAGATGTTGCCTAACAGCCCCTTGAAAGCTGGATTCCTCCAGCTCTTCCAGTCACGGTCCAGCGCACCCCAAGTCTCTTCAAAATCAACAACCTTGTTCCTCACATAATATGTCCCTTGGATCGCCCACAACGCCCAGTCAGCGTCGTTTCCTTCCAGATAGGCCACGAGGCAGGTCAAGTACGCATGATCCTCAGCCGACAACCCATCCTCCGGCCCTCCACTCATGCCCGCGCCAAATTCGGACAGGAATAACGGACCGGTGTACCCTTTGCCCTGCTCAAGCACGAACCCAAACAGAGTGCCATACTCGGCGCGCTCGATGTTGCAATCGCCGAAGTTGGGCGTCGTGACGGTGAAGCTGTAACTGTGCGCCTCCCACACGTTCTTGCCCTTCCAGGCCGAGGTGTCCAACGCCCTCGTCCGCAGCGGGAAGAAATCCGTCGCAGAGTTGAGACCGCCAATGATGACAAGCACATCCGGGTTCGCCGCGTGAACGGCCTTTGCTCCGCGCGTGACGTATCCGTACCACTGATCTGCCGCAAATGGAATCTGCGTCCACGTCGCGCGGAGCTCGTTGCGGATCGATATGGCAACGACGCCAGGCACGGTGGCAGCCCACATGGAAACCTGCTGCAAACCCGCGAGCCACTGGTCGGTGTCGAAGTACCGACTGTTGGCAGCCCAGTAGAACCGCGCGTCCTTCCACCACCCGTTGCCGTCGTCAAGGTTGCAACACCAGCTTGCCTTGCTCACATGGTTGTCTAGGATGGTCATGATCTCGCGTTCCCAGAGGACATTGACGACGCGGGCGAATACATCGCGCTGAGTGGCGTTGTTATCCCCCAAGAAGGGGTTCTTTTGGACTGCTTGGTCGTAGAGTTTTAGGAGGTCTGCCTCGTTGACGCCTGCTGCTTTGGCGGCGTTCGCGAAGGAGTCTCGTACTTTGACGCCTGGGTCCAGGGCGTGATCAGTTGAAAAGGTTAGCCGAACGCAGTTGAAGCCTTCTTGCTTGATCCAGTCGGCCAGGTATTCGACAGGTTGCTTGTGGAGGCCTTCGGGCAGATTGACTTCCATATGACCAGCCCAGTTGATACAGCGGAGCTTGACACGCTTGTTGGAGGAGTCCGTAATCCAGCGGCTTGTTGAGAAGAGAGGTGTTTCAGGCCTCTGGGCGGTTATAGGAAGAATGAGCCAACAAATAGCCCAGAGACGCAAGGCGAGACTCATATTAATTGCGATGCTCTCAGGTAGACAAGTTTTGACTTTTCAGGGGCCTCGGAGAGGTTTGCGAGTGATTCGTTTCCGGATACACTGTATCGACGTCGATGCGAGAGAAGTTTTCGAAAGTCAAAGTCATAAGTCGAGGTTAAGGAAGAACAAGGGACTCCGACCAGCAATAACAGGCCGACAAGGCCAAACGGGTGTATACGGATGAGCGAATGAATGTCAGTCGAGAATCGTACTTGTCGAGTGACTGAGAATGGTCTCAGGTGGTGCTCAACAGTCGTTGTATGAACCACCAGGACGTCCTTCGAGACTGAGGCTGGCAGCTGAGAGCTTCGAGAGGAGATGACCAGCGGCAGGGTGCTATCAAAAGGAAACTCACATCCGCACTTGGAAGGGGTCGGTCGTTGATGAGATCGATCACCCGAATGAATATGCCCGGCACAACACGCGACCATGCGACCATGCGACCATGCGACCATGCGACCATCTTATCCTGTCACCTCCCCCTCACGATACATCACCTACTCATTTGGTCTCGAGCAGCCGAGAGCGAATAAAGGCAGTCGCCTTTTGGTCCCTAAGCATAGTTTCGTCCGCATGAGGAACCCGGCCTGTCAGTCGTTGGGAGCAGGTGAAGTCGGACGACAGCTGATTCGGTGAGGTCAACTTAGCAGGGTCGTATCCAGCAGCAGTGTCTTCGAGGGGGACGGTGTATATCTGACGACGAATAAGGCACGCCAAAGGACCGACGAACGACGAACGAGAAGCAAGAGAGTCGTTGCGCCTCCATGCTTGTCAGGTCCCCCCCGTTAGGTGCAGGGGGAGAGGTTTGCTGAGACCTGTCCGTTGAGGCGTGTGATTGGATGTCTCGCTCAGGGGCGGCATAAAGAAGGTGGATAAACCGTCGGATTGGCGTCGAAGTGGCGGACTCCAGGAAGGCCCGGAGGAAGGCCCGGAACCTGGAACGCCGTACAATAGGGCCGTCCGAAGGGAAAGACCAACGTCACCCGACCGAGCTATCCACGGGCCTGGACCCCTTGCGCCTCTTCCATTCGCCACAGGCCTTCTTCTTTTTAATCACTGTACGGATGCGCTCCTCCTGGTGTCGGTTTTCAGGAATCCTTTGCGATTGGCGATGTCTTTTGTCACATGGGCTAGTGACCTTGGGTACATGCAGATGTGGGCATCTGAAAACATCAAACAGACGAACGTGGACACTGTCAGTTATGGAATCATGTTGTTTATTATTTATTTATTTATTTTCCAAAGAAAAAAAAAGAGGAGGAGGAGGAGGGGGAGCCAGCAGTCATCAAGAGGTCGATTCTTTTTCTGACGTTGGCGCCAGGAAATTTTCACCGGGGGAGGGGGGGGGTTCCTTTTTTCTTTTTGGGATCTCAGCATCGTCAAATAGTCTACCTCAAGACCTTGCGATGCCGATTTATAACATGCAAGACACACTCAACTCTGAGTTGGGGCTTTGATTCATTTTTATCATTACCCATCATCCCGTCTCCTCAGCCGAAAATGCTGAAGGACTCAGTCTACCGCAGCAGCACCAAATCAACTATGCTGACATGGCAGTACAATTGACCGATTGGCTCATCACTGCCAAGAGAACTACGGCCATGTGAGCACGTCCCCCTTGACTGCAGACCCCAGCTTCTGCTGGACAACCTGCTCACGAATAATGTTTTCCTACTCGACTCCGTTATGTCCCATATATGTCGTCGCTTCATGCATCGTGAATAAGGCTGGCGCAAAGAAAAACTCCCGCTCAAAAAAAAAAAAACTAAAAAAAAAAAACTTCGTGCTTTGCGTCATGGGTGGGTGGCTTACGCAGTAGGCGTCGGCTGTGTCTCTGAGGCTGCCGCTCGGACTTCGAGCTCTCGTCTCTTGGCGAACAGGCTCTTGAACGCCCCAAGGCAGTGAATAAGGGACTCCTCGTCGTGTGCACAGAACCTGTAACTCTTCTCCTCCGTAATCAGCTGAAGGCAATGTGTCTTCGATTTGCTGACTGGGTCGATATCGACCACGTTGACGATTGCCGACATGGGTCTGATGAACTGGGCTGTATACTCGGACTCGTCCTTGTAGAGGATGAAATTCCGTGGCCTTAATACGCCCCAGAGGTTCTTCCACTGTCTCACGCCACCCTTGCTTCGGAGGAACCAGAGCCAGCCTTGCCAGATAACACGATCGGGATCCTGCTCGAGGTTCAGGCCGCTAACCTGGCTCGCATTGCGGTCTCCGAGGCTTGGCCGAACGGTCAAATCTTCGCCGTCCGCCGGCGAATGGACCGCCAAGTCTTCGATGGACATGCCCTGTATGCGCTGAATGTCGTTGTCCGAGAAATCGGAATGCGATGCCAATTCGTTGCCAGAGTACCCTGCCGAGTCGGCCATTTGCGAAGGGCGGCGGCGGTCCGAGCCGACAAAACGTGGCAGCGGAGGTTCAAGTGGCTCTGGGGAGCTTGATGCCAGCCTCTCAGGTCTGGTCGGTTCCGCGCTTTGTGAGCTGCTTGGAACCACCATGTACGACTGTCGTCTGCCGCCGATAGGACTTGCAAGCATGAGCTCACCATCCTCCTCTTCGATACGGGCGTGTTTCCTAATCAGGTCGACCCATTCCTCCGCGTCGCGGGCGCTGGTGGCTTGGAGATGGTAGTTTCGCGCCGGGGAAAACAGGCCAAAAACGTTCTTCCTCTTGTTCTTCGGGTCCTTCAGCAAAGCCACGGCCGTCAAATCGGCGAGGTACAGCTTGTGTCGCAGTTTGTCCTCCTTGTCGGATCGATATATGGAGAGTGAGGTGGGACGCAGAACGAGGTAGATGGACTTCCAGGCCTGTTGAACCGGTTAGAAAGGTATCTGCGCTACGGCGTCAGCCAGACAAACCTTTGTTTTTTGAGTGCGCTTCTGCAAATAACCGCTCTTGACGACGCGATCAAATTCGAAACTACCATTTTGGTTGACAGGGGACGAATAGGTATCGAGGGCGAGGCGGCTGCGCATTCGCGAGTTGGCGTCCGTCGTGAGAGATATCGAGGATGGTGGAATAGAGACGTCAATGGTGGGCGCGGGGAGAGTCTGGACCTGACTCTGCGCCATGGTGATAGTGATGAGAGATCAATTCGTATCGAACAGTCGTGGATGAGGATGGGTTGGCAGTCGCGTGCAGTCGCGCATCGATAGTTGAACCATTCGGTATCCCGTCGGTGCGAACACGAGAAACGATCGACGGAAAATGGTGATGGCGCGAGACAGAGAGGACGAAACAATAAATCGGGCGGCGGGAAAACCAGCGATTGAACAGGGTTGGCAGCAGGGTACCTGGATAACCAAAATGCTCGGGAGGGTTATTTAGGAGGATACGGAGTACCCTAGGAAGATCGAATGAATGCTGGGCAAGCCGTGAGGCAAGACACAGAGTACCTTAGTTTGGGGTGGTTGGAAGTGGATATGTCGAGTGGGAGTCGCGTGTCGGTGGCTTTATTATTTTGGGGACGGGCGTTGTTGTTATTGGCGCTGGGTATCGTTGGAAATGGGGATGGGTGTCTGAGGTGCCCTTGCGAGGAGCTAGAAGAGAAAGCAGAGGAGAGAACGAATGCAGCGGGTGTTCGGGCACAGGAGGTGGAATTAGACGGGACGGGGCAGGTCGGCCGGCGCTGTGGTTGGAGAAAGGGGAATCGAGAGAGGAGAGAAAGTGTGAGGTCTTTCGCACGGGTGTGTTGTGGAAGGGGAGGTACAGGTAGTTATTTGAGTGGTGCAAGTCGGGATGCCAAGAAAAGGAGACGAATCTCGAGTTTGAGAGTCGACGACTGGCACCCAGCAAGGGACTCCGTCGGGTGCGGCGGTATCGTGATATGTAATAGTAATGGATAGTAAGTACTTCTCTAGAGGTACCTTACACTAAGTAGGTCCAAGATGCGGTGTGAAGGATTTATGGCAGCGAACGGCTGCCTTTAGTATGATTGTGGTGTATCTATGTGTAGGTGGTATTTGGGTGGGCGTGAATAATATGAAATTGTATGAAGCTAATATAACGGACGGGACAAGGTGGAAAGCAGTTATGAGCCAACCTGAGAGATCTGATAATAGTAATCGTGAGAGCGAGATAGAGAGTAGGTAGGTAGGTACCTTAGGAGTAGATGATGACCTATTTGCCGGATAATCGATTGCCTACCCAAGTGAAAACGCGCTTGAATAATGTAGAGCGGAGGCTGCGGACGGCGGCTCTCTCTCTCTCTCTGGCAGTCATTGCAGACGGTGACGGCGACGGCGACGATGACTTGAGCTGTCCAAGTTAAGCTTTGAGGGGGGCACTGATCGGCACAGCGATGTCGCGACAAAATACTGTGTGTGTACGAAGCGAAGTACCTTACTCCGTCCTCCAGCTGGGCACATTCCGGTGCCAGGGTGTTGGGGAGCAGTCAAGTCATGATTGGGGCGCCGTCTGAAAACGGGCGAATCCAATGAGCAGAACTGGAAGTTCGAAAAGGTGATAAAATTAGGCCGTGGAGCTTCCTCAACCACCAATGCATCGCACTGACATTCCATTCCATGGCACTGGCCGGCATTGGCATTGATGAGATGAAGTGGCGCCAGGGGCTTGTCTTAAGGGGCTTTGGGTATCCGTACCTTGCCCTACCTTACCTATCCTCACCTCAAAGTAGGTAGAGGTAAGGTACTATGTATGCGAATGCATTGCACTGGACCACATCTCATAAAAGACTCACTGCTCGACATGGACCCGCGAGGGGTACTTGAGGAGAGGTATGGATCGTTGCCAACGGAACATACCCCGTTTGGAGTCAGGTCAGGTCACCAGCTCGACTGTGAGTGGTTGACGATAAATTCAAACAGATAGATCTTTCATAATGTCCAGGGTGACAGGCTTTGGAGAGACAGGGAAGAGGTGGTTGGGAATGAAAGCAGAGGTCACTGCGGTGTCCTACACTAGCGTCTTGAGAGCGTCTACACTATCTATTAATCCGTAGAACAATTCGGGAAGAAGTTACCTACACCTTCAGATGCAGAATCATCAGATGTATGAGTATCCGTACTGCGTACCGTAGTACGCGACTCTTTGAATGGGCAACTTCCGAATGGCTCACTCAATATCGGGCAGCACGCTCATCTGTCTCTGATCTCTGCAGTGCGGTCGAAACTCTACATACCTAGGCACGTAGTCGTAGCCTCTTGACTTCAGACGGAGACCTACGACTGCATCCGTACCTAGTGAGCGACCAGCACCGCCCCGTTTCACCTCCGAGCAGTTCGACAAGACGGTTGGGATGCAACTCCCAATCCTCGTCCGTTCAGCAACCCCTGATTTCTGAAATAAAGAATGAAAGGGGGGTGCCTCCGGGTTTACTGCTTAAACAACACAGCATACATCCGTACAACTCGCCAGTCCGCCAGTGCCATGTTTGAGGTGGACCACGCCCGTCCCATCTCGCGCCCCAAGAGTCTGGGGATTTGTGTATCGTTCTTTGCCTGCAGCCTCTTTCTTGTCTCTGACGGTCCGAACATGTTTCCATCTTCCCAAACTTTACTTCGCCCAAGCTAAGTTGATCAACCCACAGCTTGTGACCTTGCGATGAGTAAGCCAACTTGGGAGAGTTCCACGGACGCTGCCATTTCGTCTCAAAAGAACCTAGAAAAACATCCAGCTTGGATTTGCGCTCTCACATGCTTGTGAGACAATCGATTGCAGTCTTGCAGTCTCAAACCAGACCAAAGCTCATCGTGTTCATCTTAAACGCCTTGACTTGGCTTGGTCTTGTCGGGGCGCGAGCGCGCGCTTAGGCAGCTTGCGTTTGTGTATCCTTACATGAGCAGAAAACCTCTCCTAGTCCTCCTTCCATCTTCATCCATCCGAGCAAAGGAGGCTCATTTTACTTACGTCGACGTCATGCTCCAGCCTCTACAACTTGCGCGCTTGTCTGACCACGTACAGCAACTCCCGGTCCTCGCCAAGCACGAACGAGCTGGAAGAGGGCGGTGCGGACATCAATCATTGTGACATCCTGGCCTCCCGTGTGTATACCCGCATCACGACACAGGGGGGCCGCTCTTCATCCTGGACGGGCCAGCCTCTTCCCTTACACTTCCTCTGCCTGGGTTTTCTGGTCACAACTGCGGATCGAATCAAACGCTCAAAAGAGCGGTGAAACGCTCAGATAAGCTTCTATTTTGTGGCTAGCCGCCGGTCTGTCGTAGCTTGGAACCAAGATGCTGCCGTGATTTGGCAGATGCTAGCGTCCAAGCCCGCTGCGGCCCGGTGGCTGGCCGTCGCTCTCACGTGCATTCGTGGCTTGCCTCCTACGTAACCCAATTTTCCTCTGCTTGACTTCAATCCTTCGCGACCGGACCATCTGTGTTGACTGCTGCCGTCTCCGTGTCTTGAATGTTTGACCAGGGAAGCAGAGCAGGACTCCTTGTCATTCGCATAATGCCCCTGCTCGCACATTTTCCAGCTTTGCCATCGTAGCTGGCTGCGCAGTCACAAATGCCGTGTATAATATAAAGAATAGGGCATGCGATCACTCCCTTCGACGGCAAGCCAGACTGGGCCCATGATGAAAAAGTTAAAGGAACAAACTTGTGGTAATGGTTTCGTCTACCGGGCCGTGGTCCTTTGAAAATGCCTGGGCAGAATGCGATCGCGAGAGGCTCATCAAGGGAAGTGACGGTGATAACTAGCATGGTGGTCTGTCGACGAGTACTTTTTTTTTTCTTGGGCCAGTTGAATGGTCTCTCCACCTACCCTCGAAAAAAAACGCAACCCAGAGGATGTTGACTAAACCATTCCCGACTTTTTGACCATGCATTCAGCAAGATATCCCTTCCCGCAATTGCCACACGCTCAACCTGCTCTGCGTTTCCCCAGTCCGGGACTGTGGTGCCAAAGCTGATCAGATGGACGCCCACGTGAAGCAAAACTCTGAAGGCAAACTCATCATCGGTTGGACCGTACCCCTTTACGAAGCTCTCAATCAACCAGAGTCCAGCGTCAATGCCTTTGTACAACTTGAGCTCATAAAGCTCCGCAATCATTTGGCCCAAGTCGAGAGGCGCGGGAGAGAGCTGGAGCATCTCCCAATCCACCACGAAAAGAGTGATGTTTGCCGATTGCCAAGGTTGCCCCTTGAGGAGAATGCTAAAACCAATATCAGAAAGAGTCCGCAAGGGTAGGGGTTCGGGCCACAGACTTCCCTGTCCAAAAGTCTCCGTGGATGACTTGGAGAGTCTTCTCATCCTCTAATTCCTTGGTTGAAATATCCACGATGGCGGCTAGTACGTCGGCGCAGTCTTTCAGGACTGATGAATGACGCTTGATGGCATCCGGAAGCCGCTGGTAGTTTGCCCAGTGTTTGATAGACTGCATACTCTTGTTGGCCGCAGCGATATCCCGAAACCTCGCCTGCTCCGGTAAGTTGCCCCAATTGTGAAAAGCGCGGAGCCATTTGCCCAATGCCTCGCCAATTTCTAGACACTGGCTTTCGACATGGTCAGGTTCTGAAGATGCATGATACTTCAAAGTGTAAAGCTTGAGACTGAGCGGGCTTGGTTGGTACTCCTGAACCTGCGTATTGGTCTTCTCGTTGAAGTAGAAGAGCCTCGGGGTTACAATGGAAACTCTGGGCCCAACGTGCGGAGGGAGAGCATCGAGATACCCGAGGCACGATTCCTCGATCCGCTGTGAAGTAATGAGTCAACAGGAAGGACGAAAGTGCGAAGAAAGCATACGCATCGGGACGTGTTCAACTTGAAATCAGGGCTCTGGCGAATGAAATCCTCGCCATGCTTGATGGCGACTTCGGTAGTTCCATCAGACAAGGCTTGGTCCAAATGCGCTCGGTAGATGAAGTTAGCTGTTCCACCGGCCAGGAGATGAGCAGAGTCAAATCGATATGGCGTATTGGTTAGTTCAGCCTGGATCTCTTGCAGAATACGGTCTGATGTGTCGTCGACTGCCATGATGGCGATGAATGACGAGAATGATTTCGGCTTTCAGTTCGAAGAGACGAAGCAGTTGGTTTATCCGTGGCAAGGAAAGCTTTATGACTGACTGGAGCCGTAGGATTATAAGTGTGATAGTGCAGTCGCCACGTTTGTGCCTGACAAGTGGCGGTTGTGATCTGCAACTTCCTCGCCGATGACTCAACCGGCAAGAAGTAAGGTTTCTGTCACGTCGCAGCTCAGGACCGGGAGGCGTTGACTTGAAATTGTAGTTTATCGATATTGTGGCTTTCATCCCATTCGTTTTACTTCAGTCGTCCTCAGTTGCTTCCGCCGGATCCATCATACGTCTGTATCATGTCGAAGCAATCTATGCACAATTGGCCTTATTGCAGCCCATTCGATTATGTTTCACAATACATTGGCTAGCAGCTGGGTACTGGAATAAACGGCAGGTTGCAGCAACCTATGATGTAAGATTACTGAAACACCACTTTTCACCTCGGATGTCTTTCTGTATCACAAGACATCGGGTGCTTCAAATTAGGAGCGACTTGGACACACATGTTATATCATAGCTAAATTCGGTAAAGCTATAATTCATCAGAGTAAACACTCCGGAGGGGATAGCAACAACAACAACAATAACGATAGCAACGAAAATAGTAGCGGCGACAACGATGACGACACCACCGAAAATGACTCCAAAGGCATCTCTCACGTCTAGTGATCATCTAACAGATGTTAGACGCAGCACCACGCTTTACGGGGAGTCCTACCATGGTTGCAATTCGGAGATGGGGAGAGAGAGGAATTAGGTAAAAAATAACGGTCTCCAGAACGTGGCTGAGGTTTTAGAATATTCATCCATCCCGGGGACCGACTTATTCCTTTGCAAAAGACTGACGGCCAAGACTGTTTGCTTCGAGTTCGTTCCTACAATTTCGGATTGGACGGAGGGATCGGTGGTTGCGGCTAAAGTGCGTGACAAGAAGAAAGCCGGATCTTTCTACAGTCAGACAGCCAGTCATTCGGCTGAGTGCTTTCGTTGGGTCATCTTCAGTAGTATATTCGTTATCTCGATGCATAATCTCGTGGTTTTTTCCGGAAGTTAATGCAATGCGATTTGGGTGCTCGTCTGTTGATACCTAGTACTAAACGGCTACTCTGGGTGGTGGGATGAGAATGGAGAAAGGTCGAGAATTTAGCCCAGAAAAACCCAGTTCCGGAGATTGAGTCAACCTGAGTGGCGGAACCCAAACGCCAAAACATTTCTCTCCCACAACCTCAACCTCAACCTGCAACTGACTGCGTAGACGCGAGAAGCGCCACATTACGAACGAACGAAATAACTGAGCAACTGGATGTCTTTGAATTGCAACGCCAAAGGCACTTAGGCCCGCAAGCTCCATCCGCGTCCGCCTGCTTCTGCGGCCCGACTCAGGAAAATGAGTGGAAACAACGAATCGCGACCCTGCAGACGATGCAAAACGCCAACAACCTTGACAGTGAGAAAAGATCCGTTGTGCGAGTGAGTAATTTGAGGGAATGTGAGGTCTGTTCTGAACTGCCCAGGCTAACCCTCTCGCCCAGATCCTGCTATGAGCAGCACATCTCTCAGCGGGTGGCCAAGGCCCTCGGCAAACCGTACAAGGATCTCAAAGACAAGATAGGAAATGCAGCGAACGCCAAAGCAAAGTACCTACTCGGTCTCTCCTTCGGTCATTCGTCTGCCGCCATGGTACAAGTGCTGGACAAGAACCTACAGAGCCTCCACGAGAGGAAGCTGCGGGTCGCATACGAGGTGCATGTTGTCCACGTTGACACTGACCTGTCCGATACCTGTACCTCGTCAGGAGGATCTGAAGCAAGTGAACTACTGGAGAAGCACAAGGCCAGATTCCCGAACTTGCCCATGCGGTGCGTCCCGCTGAGCGATGCCCTGAAGCTGGACACGATTGACTGGTCTGTCTTGCCGGCGCTGCAGAAGGATCTCGAGCCAGCGCAGCAGCTCAGGGCCATGCTTGAGGCGCTGCCATCTGTCACGTCGAGGGTGGACATTATGAGGCTGCTTGTACGGCACTTATTGTTGTCGTTGGCGTTGGGTAATGAATGCCACGCTCTGCTGCTGGGGTGCACGACAACCGCCTTGGCCGAGCTGACACTCGCAGAGACGGCCAAGGGCAGGGGCTTCGCTATACCGTGGCAGGTGAACGATGGCCCGGTTCCCATCACGACGTTCCCTCGCTGCAGCGAGCATGCAAAGGATGACCAGATGGTCAACGAGACGCAGACAACGACATTTCCTGTCTACTACCTCCTGCGGGATGTCTTTAAGCGAGAGATTGTTACTTACACTGGACTGGTTCAGCCAACTATCAGGGACGTAATCAGAGACGCGGGGCCAAGCAGCAATACTATCGTGTCGCATAAGGAGCTCAGCATAGAAGACGTCATGGCGCGATACTTTGAGGAGGTAGAGGAGAATTATCCGTCTGTTGTCGCAAATGTCGTTCGCACCAGCGGCAAGCTCACGCGAGTGAATAATGGCAACGCATGTGCGGTTTGTGGCATGGACCTGGACGAGCAGGGGGACGCTAGATGGAAGGGAGAGATAGGCGAGGATCCAGATGACACGAAGCGCAAGAAGACTGTCGGACGAGTATGTTACGGGTGCGAGCGGTCTATATATGGATAGATCAAACAGAAGGCATCTTCAAGACATCTCTTCGCAGAACCTTGACCTGTGCTCTGCTGCCTTCATGAACCCTCCCCCAATCCCCAGCGCAAAGTCGATCCCCGGCCATGACAAACCCGTCCAGTCTATCCAGCTCTTTTGAACTCCATATATGCAAGGAACGCTGATTTAGTAAGTACAAGGTCGATCTCCGATCACGGATTTTGCAGGGCAGATGTAGGCAGAATACGATCTTCGAGCTTTTTCATCAGCTTGTTCGTCTGCTCAGCGAGAGTCAGGGTCAAGATGGTATGGGGGAGGATTCTCGCCAAATGGGGAAGGAATCCCTTGTAAATGGCGAAAAGTCCCTCAGTGCGGACAGTCTTAGACAGGCAGTCGAAAACGCCCTTGTACAGGTTGCCATTCTGGTTGTACAAACGAGACATAATGGTGTCTGCAGGAGGCTGTCAGTAAGCACCGACCAGGGACGCCACCGTCACGAGATCCACGTACCAGGAGGGTGCATCACGCAGCAGACGACGAAACCGCTGACAGTGCTGCTAGCAAGGTGCAGAGGTAGACCCTCTTCCATACCCAAGTGGCGAACCAACCTCCTTTTCGCGAAGAAGTAAGTGGGCAGCTGCACGGAACTTCCGAAACCAGTTCTGATCATGGCAGCACCGACACCGCGGTAGAGACCGCGGACCCCCTCCGTCGTGTAGATCGAGCTCAGACCGTTCCAAGCGTTGCGATATTTGTGTTGCGTGCCCACGGGCAGGAAGGGGGAGAAGCTCTGCAAACGGGTCTTGACGAGGAAGAAGGGGCTGCCAGCGGCGGCGCCCATGATGCCTGATCCTGCACCGCAGAACATGTTGATCCCCAAGCTCTGCTTGCTTCCGTCGTTGTATATGAAGGAAGCGAGGGTGTTGCGCATCGGCTCGTAGAAACCTAGACGACAACCATTGAGGAGGACCTGGTAAATGTACGCACAGCCAATACCGCGGTAGATGCCCCGAACGCCCTCATTCCTGACAATGACGGAAACGCCCTGAAGAGGGCCTCGATACTGGTGCGGCTGGTGTCCCTTATCCTTCAACTCTCCTTGTAGTTGCATGCTGCACGTCCAAGGCAGTCAGCGCGACGCGGCGAAAGCGAGGGAAAGGAACGAGCGTCGCTCTGACGAACCGAATCTTGACCGTCTCGAAGGGATGCGTGGCCGTGACGGCGCCGCAGGCGGCAATGCCGCCAGCAATGAAAGCTCTGATGGAAGAGTTAGTGGTGCTGTCTCGTGGTCTGCCGGCCGGCAGGTCGTAACTTGCCCCAAGGTTGTTGACATTGCGTCAGACTCTCTGGTCGCGCACGTAGATAAGAATGTTAGGGTGTCAATCAGACGATTTAGTTTCGCAGAATCCGTTATGAGCCGAAGAACAGTCGGAAACTTCGGGAAAAGATTGAAAAATGAGCGACAACGTTCGGGGACCTAGGACCTAGAGCGGCGGCACAGGGGCTGGTCAGCGAGGCGAAGGAAGAGAGACTATCGTGGCAGGCTGACCGTCAGCCAGCCAATGGAGGCAGAACGGAGTGAAGCGTAGAATTGGAGTTGAGCCTTACATGTTCACGTCTCTAACCAGAAGCCATCACCTGCGCGTCCCGAATCAACAAAGTCGCAATGCAGCAAGAGGATGTGGATTGGTCGCCGAGATAAATTGACTCTTCAGTTCTGGGGGGTATATCTCAGTAGACTCCGCGCGCGGAAGTGGATTTGGGAATTTTCTTGTTCGGTGACTTTGGCCGTGGATAGCCACTGCCGATCCCGGCGTTCGGAGCTGCCAAATAACTAGCAGACCAGGGGTTCGCGGACTGTTGCGGCCTGAATCGGTACCCCAGATCCTGGCGGAAATGGGAGGCGTCAATGTAGTTGGCCCATCGTCGGCCAGCAGTTTCCAATGCTCCCTACCCGCTTACTCCGCAGCTTCGGATTTTCAGGCGCCTCGTCCGTCATCGCCAAAGGTTACGATCGGCCCTGGTCGCCCAGTCCCATTGCATTGCGTGATGTAAAGGCTGCATATCCGTACTCTGTGTGTCCGTACCTACCGTAGGTAAGGTAGGTAGGTAATGAGGCTGGAATGAACGAGCCTCAGTGACTTACCTAATACATTGGATGGACCCTGGGCTAGGTACCTTAGGTGGTAAGACGGGACGTGGACGGTAGGTACGCTGTGGCTCAAGGTGTGAACGTTGGAAGGTACCTTAGGCCGGTACCTGAAGTAGGCCCGGAACGGAAGCTACTGGACCTCACCTAGGCTTGCCCACCAGTCTTCAGAGCTCTCAAATCCTGTCGCATCTTCATCACCAACACCTTACAACCGCGTCTGAACGGCTGCTATGCGCCTTTGCGCGACGAAAACCCGATTTCCTGAGTAGACAATCTCACGTCAACCGTGGGCTATTGCGGTGTATTCACTCGCGGCCCAACTCACCTTTCGACGAAGGAACGAGGCTTGATATCCTTGGTGTTTGCCGAATTCCGCCTCGTCGCGCTTTTCCCATCGAGACGGGAAAGGCCGCAATACATCCCAAATCGTCAACATGTCCTCCACACCCATGGATTTGGATCACCGCGAGTCCACTCCAGCTAATGGTACCTCGCTCAATATTACGCGATCTTTGGCAACGAACAACAATTCGCAATTGAGCGATGTTGTGTCGACATTCCGCCCAACAAAGGTAGGTGACCTTGCACTTGTCAAAGTGATTTACACGATGTCTGACTTGACCTATGCAGCTCTTTAAACGAGACGACATCAAAGACGGCCGACCGCAACCCCACGTCCTCTCACTTGACTTCGACGACCCAGGCGATCTCCTCATGACGTCCGAAAGCGATGAAACCATTCAGATTTACAGTGTCAAGGAAGGAAGGCATGAGAAGAGTCTTTTGAGCAAGAAATATGGTGTCAAGCTGGCCAGATTCACTCACACAAGTTCGAGTATTCTCTATGCAAGTACGAAACAAAATGGTAGGCATCGCATCGCGGACACAATCTGCTGCGCCAGCTGACCGTTCACAGACCAAATTCGATACCTCGCCACGCACGATAACTCATTCATCAGATACTTCGAGGGCCACGAGAAGAGTGTTACAGACATCGCAGTACACCCAGGAAAAGACAATTTCATCTCCTGCAGTCAGGACAATACAGTAAGACTCTGGGACGTATCAACTAAGCAATGGTGCGGCCAGTTGTTTCTCAACTCGCCGTACCTCGCTGCATACGATCCATCGGGAAAACTTTTCGCAGTCGCTTCTCCTAGCAGCGGAAGCGTGCTGTTGTATGACTGTCGAAACTACGACAAAGCACCCGTCTCGACTTTCGACCTGATAGAAGCTGGCCGACACGTGGATCCCCAATTTGTCGTTAAGGGCTGGACAAAGATGGAGTTCTCGAATGATGGAAAGCATATTCTTGTAGGCACACGCGGCAGTGGCCACTTCCTCTTGGATGCCTTCGACGGCAGTTTGAAGGCGTATCTCCACAAACCCGAAGGTGGCACGCGGCGACTGGCCGCCGGTGAAGTGCCAAACACCAGCTACAACGGAACACCGAGAACAGACCCTCCAACGGTAGAGAGCAGTGGCGACTGTTGTTTCTCGGTAGACGGCCGATACGTTCTGAGTGGCACCAAAAGAGATGTCCTGGTTTGGGACATTTTGACGCCGCCTAACGAGACAAAATCTCTCAGTCCGAGTTGGACTTTAGAAGATAAGCGAGAGGCGGCAGTGCTAGCATTCAATCCGCGATACAACTTCTTCGCGACTGCGGATCAGGATGTCGTTTTCTGGTTACCCGACCCGCACGCATGACAAAGGAATCGAATCAGTCTGGAATAGGTCGCGAGTGCTGCCAGTGGGAAGCTTGGACAGCAGCAAGCATTTTTTGGAGTCTAGAAATCAAGATACCCGTCCGTGAATTCCGCGCAAACACACAACACGCACGTCATACCATGTCGCCCGTTCCTACCGGGCATTTTTCTATCTGCGTTGGCCTGAAAATCCGACATTTCGGGTTGCAGCGTCCTATCTTTGGTTTGGTGCGCTTGAAGCTTGCCTTGCATTAGGTACCTACCTGGGTACGTAGGTACCTCTGAGGAAACGGGAGGTACCTAAGGTACCTACCTAATCGGAACGTAGGTTCCTACCTTACACTGTACCTTAGCTACTGGGAACCCCACCAAACTTCGCTCCACCACCCGCGCGACCAAGCCAGGTCATTCATTTAACGTCACCCCAACCAACCACCGCCACACGACAATCTGCGAATAGCTTCTGGCGCGACCAGACGAGACACGAGCGCACATCAATCTCCCGGTCGCATAGGATACGGCAGCGTCCGGTACACCCGCGCAAGCTACCTCCAGCGGTGCCAGGCTTTTGGCCGGCCTTCCCTCTCATCACGATGCCAACCTACAAGACCAGCCAGGAATGGCTGGAACAATCCTCCCTCCTGCTTCAGGCGCGCCCAGCAAGCGTAAGTTGACCTCAACAACTAGCCCAGGCGAAAGGCTGACACCAGTCGCTGCGCGCGACCCGGCTGGCAGACTAGAATCACAACAAAGTACTCGATAAAGCCCGTCAAGCCGAGAAAGTCGAAGAAGGACGACGGGGAGGACAGCACGATGTCCGACGCAGCGACAGCCAAGCCTCCGAGGGGCAGCCTCGAGATCAAGACCTTCGACCCCATCAGCGGCGTCGCGCTCAAGTACCGCACCACCAAGGCGGCCGAGGTCTCGCGCCTCATCACCACGCTTGGCTCCCTGGGGCGCACAATGTCGACGTCCAAAGCCCCGGAGGAGGTCAAGGACGAGCCGACGGCGGACACGCCGGCCGAGGAGAAAGGCGCAGGGGCACTTGAGCTCAAGGGCGGCCCGCAGGAGAAGACCCAGCAGGCTGGCGTAGGTGGTGGAAAGAAGAAGAAGAAGGGCAAGAAATAAGGGCTGCTGGGCTGCACGAGGGACACAGGCAAAGGTAGAGACATCAACCAGCTTTTAGGGTTATAGTGCCTCACAGAAGAAGCAACATAAACCTTGGGGCCATGTGACGGCATTTCTACCCACATAAAGGCGATTGACGCAGCATCAAAAGTTACTCGCACAAGCATCGCCTCAACTTGCTCTCATATGTGACAAGGAAAAAGCCAACGTAGTGAGACTGGTTCACCATAGAATAGAACATCCATCAGCTTTTATCATTTGTCATGTCTGAATTACTGAAAACAACAGTCCTTGCCAATACATTATCCATCAAAAACATCCATGCCCCCCTCCCATTTTCCACAGTCATCCAATCACCCAGCCCGTGGGAGCCTCCAACTCCCCCCTGTAAAGATACCTGCCAACGCCGTGTATGTACGTGTGATAAGAAAAAACAGCTCCATGCCGAAGCTCATCAGAGGCGGCAATGGAGCGCAAAAAAAGACGACGCCGTGGCAAATACCATTCGGATGCAATGTACAAGGGTATAGTGGGAAAGAAACGGGACAGAAACAACTTCAGGCACTCCAGTTTAGAAGTCCTCATCGAAGCAGAAGTCACCGCCGTTCTCATTCTTGGACTCCTCAGAAGAGGCGGAGGTCTCCTCCTGGTACTTCTTGGTGCTGTTCATGACACCTGCCTTCTGGTAGTCGGCAACACGCTTCTCGAAGAAGTTGGTCTTGCCGCCAAGGGAAATGTTCTCCATGAAGTCAAAGGGGTTGGTGGACTTGTAGACCTTCTCGTTGCCGAGAGCAACCAGCAAGCGGTCGGCGACGAACTCGATGTACTGCTTCATGAGGTTGGAGTTCATGCCCAGGAGGGCGCAAGGCAGGGCCTCGGTCAAGAATTCCTGCTCAATCTTGACAGCATCGACAATGATGTCCTCAATTACCTGCTTGCTGGGGCGGTGGTTGAGGTGAGAGTAAAGGAGGCAGGCGAAGTCTGTGTGCAGGCCCTCGTCACGGGAAATGAGCTCGTTGGAGAAGGTCAGACCGGGCATGAGACCGCGCTTCTTGAGCCAGAAGATGGAGGCGAAAGCGCCGCTGAAGAAGATACCCTCGACGGCAGCGAAAGCGACAAGGCGCTGAGCAAAGGTAGACTTGGTGTCATTGATCCAGCGCAGGGCCCAGTCGGCCTTCTTGCGGATGCAAGGAATAGTATCAATGGCGTTGAAGAGGTAGGTGCGCTGGGCAGGCTCCTTGATGTAAGTGTCGATGAGCAGAGAGTAGGTCTCGGAGTGAATGTTCTCCATCATGATCTGGAAGCCGTAGAAGCAGCGGGCCTCGGGGACCTGGACCTCGCCACTGAAGCGCTCGACGAGGTTCTCGTTGACTATGCCGTCAGAGGCGGCGAAAAAGGCGAGAATGTGGGAGATGAAAAATTTCTCATCGTCGTTGATCTTGTTGTTCCAGTCGTGAAGATCCTTGGAAAGGTCGATCTCCTCAGCGGTCCAGAAAGAGGCCTCGGCCTTCTTGTACATTTGCCAGATCTATGCGGCCAAGGTCAATTAAGGTTCGCGATGAAAAAACACTTTACGCGTACATGACGCGTGGTAATGTGACTAACCTCGTGGTACTTGATGGGGAAAAGAACGAAGCGCTGGCCGTTCTCCTGAAGAAGAGGCTCATCCATCTCGTGCTCCTTGATTCCAGGGGCGACGGTAGGCTTTTGTTGTTGCTTCGCGGGCTCCTCTGTGGGCTTGGTCTGGATATCGGTGTTCTCGGTTGCGGTGGCAACGTCGGAGCTGTTGGGTTGGTTCTCCTTGTCGGCAGCGTTGAAGTTGAGCTTCTTGACGGGGGACTCCATCTTGAAAGACTCGATGGCCGAAGCAGCCTGCGGGCATTGATAGTTAGTTAAATGCTTTCGTAGACGCGTACATAAGACGAAGTTGGAATGAGAGCGTGTGGCCGAAAGCATAGTGAAAGTCGTGACGTACCTGCTTGGACGGGGTGACTTCAACAGACATGGTGAAGGTTTGGAGAGAGTGACGGGAGCAAAATGTGAAAAGACGAAGATGTAGAAAACTGAAGTTGAAGTCGATTCAAAATGAATTGAGGTTATCGGCCGTTGTGTGGTAAGTTGTTTTCTGTTTGAGTGTGAAGAGAAGTGAACGCGATGGATTGATGGCTTTGGAAAGGCTTTTGTAGCAGACAAACCGGGCAGCACGTGTAGAGGGAACGCGTCGCTAAATACAGGGGGGTCCGCGTTCGTGTTTTGCGGGTTGGGACTAGGTAACGAATGCTCTCCGACTTGCCTGACGCTTGGGACCCGAACCATCATTGCCCCTCGCCCCACCAGAAAGCGCGTTGAGCAGGGGTAAACCGGTGATCAACGGCGCGTTTCGCTGCTAAAGTGGCAGGATCCTGTCGCGGCTGTCTGCCTTCCACTTTCAGACCCTTACAACGTAGGGGAGAGGGGGGAAAAAGGGAAGGAAAAAAGGTGGGAAGGGCGCCATGACTGTCATGTCCGTCGGGCCCCAGATGGAACGCGTCTGACCCAGCCCTCTTTTTTCCTTCTTTTTCTTCAACGTTTGGATAGTTACCTGGCCATTTCGTAACATGGATCCAAGTGTCCGCTTGCGTTCCACTCTCCTCAAGCCGGCCAGGCAACCTACCTTGACGATGTCATGAACAGGGCAACCACTTTGGCAGCGGCCTACCATACCGTCACATACCAACTCCCGAGAACCCTCGGCCGAGCAGACGCGTTCCTTGACTCCATATCATCCCGCCAACCTGGGCCAACCCCCCCTTACCTCTACTTCCGCATCCGTAATTCCGTATGGACCTTACTGGGTTCAGCCTCGGCGTTACGAACCGACGCGTTCCTGGGTCATGACCCTCCCGGTCTGGAACTTCAACTGAGATTATCAGATCAGATCAGATAACACCAAATTCGTCCAAGCCCCGGCTTGGGCGGGACGAAGTGGCTCTTCCAAGACCTGTTGCTGTGTACGTGTATGATTTTGCGCAAGCATCGACAAGTCCCATTCAACTATGACTATTGACGGCGGGTCGACACGGTCAATCACGCCTATCATCACTGTCGTGATCATCCAACCTTACCAAGCGCAGGTTCGGGTTCAATTTCGGCTCCAAACAGTCCATGTGTCACAAATACGTCAGGAACATTTGTGATATACACGCGTCGCATTAATCAATTAACAAGCTGGTATGTTGAGCTGTGGTATCATCTGTGGCCGTCTTTGTATCCTCTTCCAATCCATCTCATATCTCGTCATGTCTCGTGTCGAGCTTTGCCAAGCATCCAGAGAAAGAAACCGTAGTTCACATCTAAGCAATAGCAAGCCGTCGGGTGGGGGGAATCGAAGTGTTCCGGGAAATGTTGCCTGATCCCCTATGTGGACCGGGTTCATAAGTGTTCGTTTCAGCGGCGCGAGGGCCTATCCCTACGATCGCGCCCTTCATGAGCCATCTCCTCGTCCTCCGTCCTCGAGCGGCCGAAGCCGAACCATCCTCGGCTTCCGCCAGACCGATCATCTCGGGTCTTGGCACGGGCCGGAGTAGTCGGGGTACGGGCTTCGTCAGGGTGCCGCCGACTACCACCGCGACCGGACGACATGTGTCCATTTCGGCGCGGTTCGTCCTCGACGTACTCAGGCGGTGAACGATCGTCATCCCAACGATCAAACTCGTCTGCCTCGCTTGGGTCGACTGCTGGAAGAGGCGCGCCGCTTCGTCGCAAATTCTTCTTTCCTTGTTCGCGGAGATACTCTTCCAGGAGAACGGCGTTTTTGGTGTTGCAACGAAAGGCGGCGTCGACAATGTCTCCCACGAAGGGCACGAGACCAATGGCGAAGTCGACGACAATATTGAACAACATCTTACTCTTGACCGATCCAGGAAGCCCGCCTTCAACTTTATTGCAAGTCTTGAACACCATCAATGCCATGAATGCATCGAGAGCATCACCAATACTAGATTGCGGATGTCAGTTTGGTGTTTTCAGTGCCAAAGAGGAATGTGGAGAATATGCAGGGTAGGCACTTACGCAGGAACAAGACCGATGACGCTGCCCCAGCCGAAGCGAACACCGCAGAGGCTGAACAACGACATATCAAGGCGATAAGCTCGCCGCTTGACCTTGGTCAAGATTTCGCCATCCTTGGCAGAGATACCTGGCGGCAAGGCCTTCCTACGTTTCTTGACTCTGCCGTTGGGACGACCATCAAGTCTAGTCGCAGGAACGGTCTCAAAGTAAGGATCCTGGAAACGGGGTCAGCGCGGTCCTTGAGGCAATCGATGCTAGTCTCTCAATCCCAATGACCGACACCACCGAAAAAGGGGGGGGGGGGGGGGGGGAGGGGGGGGGGGGGGGGACGGCAGAGAGGG